CAAGAGCACTCGTCTTACGGTCTTATGCCTGAATGTTACCTCCCGCATAGTGTGGGGAACCCTTTGAATTGACGGCACTTGGGCGTTGGTGGGGACGTCCATGGTGGAGTTGGCAGCAAAGATCTTGGCTAGTACTTCCGCCTTGGCCTTTGAGTCGAATACAATAGTTCCATCCTGACACGTAAGTGGTGGAAGGCTACTGTGTGAGAAGTTCTTTTCAATCTGCTTGGCCAGCGTCCAGAAGGACCGACTGCCATTGCGCTGCGACATTACCCTGTGCCTAACATTTATATCATGCTGGTTTTTGGCATTGCGAACCGCTTCGTTATATTTGTTTCTGGACTCGACGTCGGCTTGTCTGTTCTCTACAGTGGGGTTTTGTAAGTAGGTTCTGTGGACCTTGATCTTCTGCTGGCGAGCAGTGTCACACGATTTGTTGAACCAGCCGTTGGACCCTGGTTTAGGAACTTTCACTGTGTGAGGGATGTATTCCTCCATTCCGACGTGGATAATTTCTCTTATCGAAGAGCAGACAGTCGACGCATCCGCGTCAGTGAAACAGACATCTCTCCAAGGAAAGCTAGAGAAGTCTCTGAGCCCCTCCCAGTCGGCATGTCCGTAATGCCAAGTTTTGCGGCCTGTGCGAGTTTCTGCGGCCACAGCGGCTTCTGACCGAAACCTAACCTCCACAACACCGTGATCTGAGTTACCCAGGGGGGACAGGACAGCAGTGCTGTAAGGGGCAGGATGCGTGGTCAGAAAGAGATCCAGCAGGCTACTGACGCGTGACGAGACGCGGGGGAAAAAAGTAGGGCTCGTCACCAGCTGGGTCAGCCCTTGAGTAAGAGCGAACGCTTCGACTGCACGACGTGCTGCATCGGTCTTATTTGAGCCCAACCAAAGCTCATTATGGGCATTGAAATCACCGAGAAGAACTACCTCTGAAGCGGGGTGATTGATGTTCAGGAAGTCAATCTGGACGGCGAGGTATTCGAGTAGGTCATCCCAGTTATGGTTCGAGGGAGAGCGATAAAGGCAGCAAATAAATTTGGGTGATGTTTTGGAGTTGAGGCGAAGCCACAGAATGTCCTTCCGGTCTGATTCCAAAGAAAGATCCCTGGAGCAGGAAAGACTGCTGCGGACAAAAGCCACAACTCCCCCGTTCTTTCTCAGATTGGAGTGCACCTCGTAGTTTGGGAAGTTGAGATGGTTAATCGGTGCAGTCTCTGAGATTTTTGTCTCCGCCAAGAAAAGCACGGCGGGACGATTGGATTGCAGGTAGTGATGAACAGCATCAATGTTGCTGTTGGTCCCGCAGATGTTCGAAAAACAAATTTTATCTTCGATGTTGTTCCCTCGAGCCCACCCTCCACCCGGACATTCCGAGAGTGGAGTGAGTTTACGTCCGGAGTTTTTAGTGCTCGAGGGATCCATCATCATTAATTTCTTTGTTTTGGTAGATAACCGACTGCATAGCTTAGGTGTTTTTCAAATTTGGGAAAATATGAACCATTCTCTTTGCTTAACTGCCGAAACTATATTTTACGTGAAGTAAGGTTATGTTAATGAAAAGCCATTGTGCTAAGTTAGGAATTGCTTTTTGGAACAAACCTATTGTTTATTCTTCATACCTCTAAAAAGAGCAGGCCATCTCGCTATGAGGATAATAGAGGTAGGTATGCCATTAATAATCCTTATCCGTAGTAGTTTCTTTAGATTGATTAAGCCAGATTATAGATTTTGGATAGCGCAGTTTTAACATGAAGTGCTGTTACTAGGGTACTTCGGCAATATTTTCAATTTATCGAAAAAAATGATAAAATGCGCGTTGAGCAAACCACCTCATACCACCATTCCTGCGGATTAGTGTGCAACTCCAATTTGGCAACCCTTTAATCAAGCTGGGGAAAATTTTAGCAATTAGCGATTGCCGATAAAAAAAACAGGCTCCAACAAAAATAAATGAACTTTAAAAGCAAATGGATTCTATATTCTCTATGGCACGAGTATGGTTACAGCGAAAGGATTAAGAACCAATTTAATAAAAACGGTAATTCGGTGCATCAAATATTTGTCCATAAAATCAATAAGAATTTCATAACGTAATATCATTCATCAATTACTTGATTGAAAATAAGCTTTTAGGGTTGTCATACCTATGATGTAAGGTATAACTGCTAACGATGGTAAAACGATACCTTCATTATTTTAAATATATAATATTGTTTAAACTGATTGAAATTCAGCTTGTTCAAAAGATAAAAAATCCATCATTTATATTATCCCTTTTACATTTAAAATTTCTTCAATAATTAAGAATATATCTTTGCCATCTGCTGTTAGCCATGCGTATCATAATATTGACACCATAATGAAATAAATGAAAACTAGATGATTTAATATCCCTAGTAAAGTAATTAAACTTGTAATTTATAGATGTCACCAATAAAATAATTCTGTAGCGTCATCTGTTAATGAAGCAACTTAGTACGAAATTGAATCCATAGCAGCAGTAAAGAAAACTACCGAAAAATAAAACGTTGTCTGTAGTTAAACATTTATTCAATAGAGGGCGCACACAAATAATAGTGCAGCGATACTAGGCAAAATGCTAATTAAACAGGTTTTTCTGTCATACAGGATTTCTTGTTTATCCGACTTTAGTTTTGCAATACAGTATAAACAGTTGACAATGGCCCGAGTGAAGATAACATGGCCACGCAAGACCACTGTTGAAATAATACTATATACAGGGTGACTTTGAAGTTGAGTCATTAATTTTCAGATAATGATTGTAGAAGGAAGATAAACCAAAATATGTGTGTAAAAATAAAAAAATAAATAAAAAAAATGTTACCTTGTTTAATAAAGTATCGTCCCGACAAGTATTTCAGTGCGGACCTGTATTTGATCGTGCGGTCTTGGAGCAGCATGCCCTGACCTGTAAGGTCTTAAGTCACCTGATTCACGAGCCCTTTGTACTACATTAACAAAGGCACGAGGGGTTGGTTGCACTCGATTGGGAAACCGATTCGCATAAATCCGTGATGCATCCGGGAGCATTTTGTAAAGACTGCCCCCCCGTAAATAAGAATCATGTCCACAAGTTCAGCATTTTCGTAAACATGTGCCATTTTTGATTTCGTTTGAGCCACGCAACAAACACTACTATTGACTAACGCGTTATCGACTGACGAAAAACATCGTGATAAACATTTCAAATTCTTTCGCTTTTTTGTTTCCGATGCGATGAACCGGTCAGGCGGATTATATCCGTTGTCGCCAAACACGAACATATTATTATTGAGACAGGGCAGTACTCAAACTTCCAAAGGGCTATAACTTTGTTACTTTAATTTTACCAGAAAAATGGTAAAGTAAAAAAACATTTCTTTTGATCAGATCTACTCACTGTTAAAATAAATGACTTCAACTTATACTCTAAAACAGGGCTGTCCAACATACGGCCCGCGAACTCCTTTCTTGCGGCCCGCTTCACGGGTCATGTAAACATCACATGTATAAATTACTATCAAATACCGAATATGCACAATTCTTACATTAACTCTGTGATAATGTTGTATAGAAAAATTTTATAATGCGGCCCTCCAAACTGCATTTTTTTTTTGAAGTGGCCCTCGGGCCACATTAAGTTGGACAGCCCTGCTCCAGAAGACTATCCGTAGCTAAATTTTTCTCGAAATCGTTGCACACCGCTTGAAAAATGTAAATGAAAATTGGAAAACTGCCGCTTTGACGTACTAAATGAAACTCCGTTACCCCGGGATAGACATACGACCTTGCCATTCTTGTCACCTAGATTGCGGCGTTGCCAGCTCATCGGACAATTTTACTACCTCTGCTATTACGGTAGAATGTTCTAAAAAAAGAAGCTTTGGATAAAATAGTGAGGGATATATAAAATCTGAGGCGTAGCAATGTTTGCCAAAAAACTAAAAAAAAAGCTGTTATTTACATTTTGCATCGCCTGGCGACTATGCGGCCGAACGTTAATGTCTCTGAACAATTTTATAAATGCCCAGATTTCTAGGATAAAATACTTTTTGAATACGGGAATTCTTCCAACAATTGGAAAAAACAATGTTTTATTATATAAATATATTTTTTAACTATGTGATCTAAAATTACATGATCATTAGTAGAATAAGTACGATTTTCATTTTACTCCACTATTTATTAGTATCCGTCTTATACGCATTCATTTTGAGGAAGCCAAAAATGGACAGCCTGATAACTTGAATCCAACTTATAACTCGTCGATCATGTGGAAATACAGGCAGACGCATTTTGGACGCATCACATCCCTACTCTTGTTGTACATTTGGTGCCCACGTATTCTCCAACAACCAAGGTAAGACATTATACTCGTTGTTTCCTAAACACGGGGCTGAGATTCCGGGTTTGAAAACGCCAGAGAATCAATGCTTGATTTGTTGCACCATATTTAGTAAACATAGTGCCAAGGGCTTAGTGTCAAAGCACGATACTGTCAATTATAGACTATCACCAATTCCTTGGACTAAGAATAATATTTTGTTCGAGGCTTTGCTAAATGTACGTTTTTGAGAATTTCTTAAATTCACTAATCATCAATCATTTGTTTGCAACGCCTACTTAAATAAAATGAAAAAATAGAAAAATAACACATCCTTCGATGAGCTGTCAACACCGTAATCCAGGTTTCAAGAATGACAAGGTTATCTGTCAAGACGGTGTCTATCCCGGGGTACCAACGGAGTCCTTTAGAACAAAAATTCTTCTTCTAGATCTAGAGTTTAGTAGAATACATTTCAACAGTTGTCTTGTGTGACCATGTTATCTTTACTCGAACCAAAACAACTACTATTTTGAGTATCTACGTCAGGTTTCACAAAAAAAGCCTAGGTATTGACATTTTTTCGGCAAGTTTTTTTGTGATACCTAGTATTTAGACAGCATGAGGTCTTACTTCTTGCCAGTCTTCGTTCTTTGTTCTTGAAGTTGACATTTATGACATATGTCAAAGAATCTTCTGGAACGTGCTGCCAGAAAAGTCCGGTTATGTTTTTCGAGAAAGAAGAATAATCTCTGTTGAGCATTTCGTGTGCGAGGTTCGTAAACGTGCTTCATTTGGTACCAAAGAGAAAGAAGCGTGCTTGACACAAGTTAAAGCGTAATAAGGTGCATTATACATTTCAAGTGAGCCGTACTACCTGCAAAAATGGACCAGGTACGATTAAGGTTATTTCTCAATGTCTTCCATTTACATACCTTCAAAAACAGGAATGAAACAGCATTTTTCATTGTGCCCTTAGGTAAACGCGCTGAAGGATAAAGGTAACAAGGCGCTAGCAGAAAACAACACCCAAGAAGCAATCAACTGCTACTCGGAAGCTATAAAGTTGGACTCTAGCAATGCCGTGTTGTACTCCAACAGATCTGCGGCTTACGCCAAAGCGAATCAGTACGAGCTGGCGCTCAAAGACGCTGAAAAAGCTGTAGAACTGAAGCCTGATTGGTCCAAAGCATACTCGAGAAAAGGAGCTGCTTTATCATACCTGGGACAGTATGATGAAGCCATATCCACTTATGAAAAAGGACTGCAAATTGATCCTAATAACAAACAGTTGAGTGACGGCTTAGCTGAGGTGAGCTATTTTTTTTTAATAATGTGTTGATTGATGCTGGCGAGGATCCAAAATCAAGTGCTTAAATGAACTTAAAATTTGGATATTTACCAACCAGATTCAATTAACACCTACATACATTTATCAATTGAAGACTTTGGTGCAAGAAGTTGTTAACTAAATTTTTAACTGTTGCATTATAGGTAAAAAGGTGTAAACTCAAGAGTTAACGCCTTTTTCACTACAATTTCAATTTGTGTACCTTTGAGCATGTTTGTGAGAGGTTTTGTTTTTCTGATTTTTACAACATTTGGACTGCTTTTTTCAATGGATAAGGTGTTTGAAGTTTTAGTATTTTATTAGCTTGTAAGATTATATAGCAAAATGAATTCAGTTTTCACTTAAACTGTAAAAATGAGTTTTTTAAAATTACAAACCACACAACCTCAAATTTCTGATAATAAAACAATTTTTCAAGAAAACCTTCAATAATTAAAGCAGCCCTAACACTACTCAATAAAAAATGTCAGGAATTAAACTTTGAGGCCATTTATCTCTAAACTATAAAATCTGAGTTAACACCTTTTTGACCAAAGGCTTCAATTTACATGTTTTTTCTGCAAAATAATCAGTTTTTACTTAACCTAAAGTTAATTGATATGATATTTTTATGTTTATGAGTGGCCCCAAGAAGGGCAATTACCAGCAAGAGGAGACTTTTGGAGAGCAACATTTTGAGGGCCAAATCATAAGAATCCCCAATATTGTGCACAAAACTGACCAAATTTTAGGCAATCTCCCTAGCAGACTTCAATGATTATGCTACTTCTTAGATTTTGAGCAGGTTTCATTTGGTTTTTGACCTTGGATAGATTAACCACACCTCTGGCTAAAAGTAAAAATTCTTTAAGTACATGTTTTGAGCAACCTTTTTTTTTTCACCTTGCCTCTCTAGTCTGGATCAGGGCGTATCGACATCAATGCATGTTTTCGGTTTTTTCCCCTGTTTGCGATACTTTTTATTAGACAACGATACCTTTTTGGAAACTGTGAACTCGGCGCTTTACGAGCGAGTACAAATTATCGCGGTAAAACGAGGAAAAACGATAAAAAACGGCGGTTAAAGTCGAAAAAACGTTGGGTTTCCGCCATCGATCCCTCATTTCTCAAAATATCAACTCGAAATCGGTTCCGCTTTTGATCCGTATCTTAGTTTTTTCCTAGAAAAAGGAAATAACCTGAAAAATATTCGTTAAAAAGCCGATAACTTCTCTACAGCAATGGATAAAAGAAATTGCACATTTTGTACATATTGACGACTACTGTAAATTATCGAGAGAGTTTTTTCCGTTTAGAGCACCCTTTTCGAATAAAAAAATTTCTAACGAAAAATTGCATTTTTTTTGTTTTAAACATGCTTTTTGATATTCAACATATGTTTCATCCAAAGATAACGGAGATAGAAACCTAGCAAGTTTTGCATAAGAAAGCCCAGACTTGGGACTTCAATATGTATGTTTTTATTCTCCCACTGAAAAGTTTCGATTTCTTAAAATTGCTTAACATAATGCTACTTTTCACATGACCCTCATTGCTTTCGATTTTTTCATACCTCCTATTCAAGTTTTGCAAAGTGTTATAACGCATTTTTATGCTTTTGAAATGTTCTTTCACAGTTGCTAAGCGTATTTGTATGTTTTTTTTTGTTTTTGAGAAAAAATGCAAAATATAGAAAAATTTATTATCATAATTTCAGCACACTTCCCGTTATTTCCCTTTTGCAAGATTCATGACCTCTGTTAGACAGGGTATTGTAGGTATAGAAATATTACAAAAGCAAGTGCAAGTCTTGGATATTAAAATTTACATACTTAGCATTTGTATACAATTATGGGGATTTATAGGATCTCCTCTGAGAAAACTTGCTTCTCCCCACTCTCCTAAAAGTGTGTGGGACAGGTACACTGTCACAATAACTGGCCTTCTCTGAAAAAACATGCATGGTCAGAAATTCATCTTTTGGAACTTATGTTGACATTTATATAATAATGTAATTTCTGCATTGTATCATCAGGTGAAAGCTCAAAAAGCAGCAAGAGGCAGACCATTCTCAAACCCATTCCAAAGTGCTGATGTACTAAATAAGCTGAGAAATGATCCTAGAACAAGAGACTGGTTGAACGATCCTGAGTATCTGGCACTAGTTGCAGAGCTTCAGTCAAATCCACAAGCTATGGCACTTAAGCTACAAGATCCTAGAGTACTTACAACATTAGGTGTATTGATGGGAGTTGGTAAGTCGAGAATTGTGATGCTGAAAATAAACATTGTATATAAAATTTTACTCATCAAGTCATTGTTCGTCTCTTTCTGATCTCAATTGTGTTGTAGCATTGTATTCTCTGATCAGACACATAGAGGATCACAGTAATTGTCTCAACTTCACTTGTAATTATTCCTAAGATTTCATATTTACAAAATTTCTTAATTATAAAAAAAGGGAATGTCCTGTGTCAACAGTCTCAGAGGTGGCAACACTGACACCCAAAGAAGGTGGTGGGCACATATACAGATAGTTTTAGGTAGTACAGTCTGCAAAAATCTTATTATTAAATATATGTTACGTTCCTAGATTTAAATGGAATGGATGAAGCAATGGATACCGAACCATCACCGCCTCCTCAAAAACCGGAACCAAAACCTGAACCTAAAAAAGAACCAGAACCAGAGCTGCCTGAGAATAAGAAATTAGCTAAGCAGGAGAAAGAGCAAGGCAATTCGTTTTATAAGAAGAAAGATTTTGCAAATGCTATTATACATTATCAAAAGGTAAATGGAGCAGTCCATATTTGTTTCTTAACTGATCCATCTACACATTTTTAAAAGAAAAGTGTAAAATCTTTTTTGTTTTGCAGGCTATTGAGCATGATCCTACAGACATAACGTTCTACAACAACTTAGCAGCTGTATATTTCGAACAAAAAGAATATGAAACCTGTATTAAAGAATGTGAGAAAGCTATACAAATTGGTAGAGAAAATAGAGCTGACTTCAAACTGATAGCTAAATCCTTTATGAGAATTGGTAAGGTTCGATACATATGAACTTATATTGTCAGTATATTCGAACCTGATGAGTTGATTTATTTAAATATATTTTTTAGGCAATGCGTATAGAAAAATGAAAGACTACAAAAGTGCGAAGACCTACTATGAAAAATCAATGTCTGAACATAGGACGCCAGAAGTGAAGACTTTACTGTCAGAAGTAGAAAGGATAATCAAGGAAGAGGAAGAAAAATCTTATATTAATCCGGAACTAGCTGAAAAAGAAAAGGAAATGGGTGAGTTCGTCTACCTAATGATTTGACACAATTGGGAATATGCATGTTATTCATTTTTTATTTACAGTCTACATTGTTACAGAAAGCCATCTACATACTAGTATCAAAATTACGAGTATTAATAAAGAATTGGTGTATCGGCAAGTGAACACCCAATCCTTTATCAATGTTAACAATAATAATAAGAGCCTTTATTTAACCTGGCGGGTGTCAGCTAAAAGCTGCTTTTCATACCAACCAGGGTAAAAAAAAATATAACAAGCAGTCAGCATTAGAATGAATGAAATGTGTGTTTACGGTAGTATATTACCATAAAGAATCAACAGAAAATACAAAAATATGTATATTTCCTATTGAACTGCTTAATTTCAAAACCTCCTGGATTATTGATCGACACGCTCAAAATTTAACATTCTGTATTTTTTTTCCAGGCAATGAATTTTTTAAGAAAGGTGACTATGCAACAGCTGTGAAACACTACACTGAAGCAATCAAACGTAACCCAAGTGACGCGAAATTATATAGTAATAGGGCTGCTTGTTACACAAAATTAGCCGCATTCGATCTAGGTTTGAAAGACTGTGATAAATGTGTTGAGTTAGACCCCAAGTTTATCAAAGGCTGGATTAGGAAAGGTGAGTCACAACAACAAAGTCACATACGAAGGTTGTTTCAAAAATTAGGTTAAAAATGCTACTACTATTCGTCATTTGTTTGTCAAATGTACGTTAGTCGGATCTGTCAGTACTGGTTTTTATTACAGTATAAGCCGTGGCCTTGAATCTATTCGAACTTGCTCCACTGTGTAGTCCACTGAGTCGCGCAACAGAGGGTTGCTGTGCGATACCTCATGACTATAACGTCACTGCGCCTGAAGTTTGACATAATCCCTCAAGTAAGGAATGTCAAGATCTCTGTGTAGTATCTTGTTTGAGACACACCATGGAGGGTTGCAAATTGTTCGCAAAGTTCTACTTTGCAGTACTTGAAGACTTTGCGTACGTGTCTTGCCAAGTAAACACCAAGCCGCACATGCATAAGTAATGGCTGGTCTAATAATCATTTTATATAGGCCAACTTTGTTTATCAAACCCAATTTGGAGGATCTACATAACAAAGGATATAGTTGCCGAAACGCAATTTGGAATTTTGTTTTCAAGGCTGCTGTATGTTTCTGCAAGGTCATGCCTTTATCAAGGGTGACACCGAGGTATTTAGCAGAATTTGTCCACGGTACACGATTGCCGTCTACAGAGACCTCTGCTGGAGGGCCGCGACGTTTTTTGGTACAATAAATAGCCTGCGTTTTCGAATGATTAATTTTAATCAGCCACCGTTCCGCCCACTCTAGTACTTCTTCCACCGCACTCTGCAACTCATCATGAACCAGATCACCAGTACATGACTGGGCGACAAGTGCAGTGTTGTCAGCATAGAGGTAGACTTCACAGTTGCTGGGGCAAGGGACATCATGGATAAAAAGCGAATAAAGGATTGGTCCAGGACCGAACCCTGAGGAACACCGGCCCGTATTGGCCGTGTTGTTGACAAAACGTTAATTTTGATCCGAAACTTCCTTCCTTCAAGAAAGGATTTCAGTAATTTTAGAAGCCAAAATAACCCTCTTGGATTAGTTTATAAAGGAGGCCCGCGTGCCACACCTTGTCAAACGCTTTTGAGACATCCAAAAGCAAGATGCCAGTACTCATGCTGAGGGTGAACCCTCTGGTTACATGTTCCACCAGCCTGACTGCCTGTAGCTCGGTGCTATGCTCGGACCGAAAACCGAATTGAACGTCAGGAATCACATGGTGATTTGACGAAAAATTCTCAAGGTGAGATAAATCATCTTTTCGGCGAGCTTAGAAGAAGCTGACAGCAGGCTTATGATGACCTCGGCAGTCTTCCACCCAGCAGGGAAGTACTGGATTCTGAGCGTCGCGTTGATTATTGTCACCCAATATCGACGAGAGCAGCTTCAACGCCTTGTTGGTGATTTGATCCTTCCCAGGTGCTTTACGCACCTTGAGGTCTTTAATATGACTTAGGAGCTCCGCTGGTGTGCAATGTGGAAACTCGGAGGGTTCCGCTAATGTGCTATGTGGAGCCTTAGACGAATCTTCTGAAGAAGAGTCATCTGAAGAGGATTCAGTGCCTCCGCTAACGCCGTTGGCCCTAAAATATCTCTTGACGGATCGTACGTCGAGGTCATTATCAAGATCATAGTTGGGACAGAACTGTTTTTCCATGGCATCAGCGAAAACCTCGACCTTTCTGAAGACTATGCCTTCAGGACCGTGGATGTGCGGGAGTTGTTCTCGCTTTCCGTTTCTGAGTGACTGCGACCCTCCAGGGAGGAATACTTGAATCTTGAGTTCGTGCAATGCGTTTCTCACTTCATGGACAAGATTTCTAGCCCTACGAATGTCATCAGGATGAGTTAAAAATGCTGTAACTTTTATAACACTATTATGCCGTGCCCTACGTATTTTCCTGTTTGTAGTAAAATTGAGTTGCATGATTTTTTTCATTTTATAGGTCATATTCTGCAAGGCATGCAGCAACCGACAAAAGCCATTGCGGCCTTCCAGAAGGCATTGGAATTGGATCCGAACAACGCTGAAGCATTGGCTGGTTACCGAGCTTGCGCTCTCGAGAACAACATGGATGGAGATCCGGAAAAGATCAGACAACGTGCCATGGCAGATCCTGAGGTAAAGTTTTTTGATATCAACTTTTTATCTTGATACGATGCTCCGGAAAGTTGTAGATGTTTTGGGAAATACTCTATAAGTTAATAATAGTTAATACTGTAGATTAACATTGTGTCTGGCACAACGTAAAAACCATTAAAATAGCCCGGCTACTGGAGTCACATCTTTTGATAGACCCCTAAGTCACAAGTCGTGACCAAAAATTAAACATCATACACAGGACCGCATTTTAAGGTGGGTCTTCTATGTAACATTTTTTACTCGAGGGCTTCATTAGAAAGATACAGGGTGTTGAAGTTTGAAAATAAAAACATTTTTTTTTTAATATCTTCAAAACCGTCAACTGGAATAGACTAAAATTTGGTATGTGGATTTACCTGAGTATTGTCCACATTCAAAAGTCTTTACTCAAAAATTAACTTGCATCAGTGGCGAAGATACAGGGGATTGGTGACATTATTTTTCCAAATAAAAATAGTACGCCACTGTTTTTTTTTTTTGGAATTTTACCTTGAATTTGCTACAAATTGTGCTTTTTATTTTTAAACTTCAACACCCGGTATCTTTTTAATGAAGCCCTTGGTGAAAAAATGTTACATAGAAGACCCCCCTTAAAATGCGGTCCTGTGTATGATGTTTCATTTTTGGTCACGACTTGTGAATCACCATGTATATAAATTTCAGCTTTTATGTTTTGGCGAAAGTCTAACTCTGATTCATTAAACTTTAGGGGTGTTTGGCAGGGGGTTGAAAGTGGGCTGTCTGACAATGGGCGACGTCATTTTTAATAGATAGATATATAAATATGCTTTATTATCTGGAGATTACAGTTATTCTTAATAGTATAATATGGTTTGCATATTAAAAAGTTTCACTGCGGAATATCTTTAAATTGTAAATTCTTTTGATAGCATCCGGAAGACCCGTGCAAATTTTCAGACCATTATGAATCATTGAGTCTTCCCTATTGTTGATTTAGGTGCTACTAATTTATCTTGTTTTCGTCTAACATTGTAAGGTTTACAAATAAATGCCTGCATGTAGTTCTAGGATTTTAGTTATACAGGGTGACTTCGAAGTTGAGTCATCTATTTTAACAGTGAGTAGATCTGATCAAAAGAAATGTTTTTTTCCTTTACCATTTTTCTGGTAAAATTAAAGTAACAAAGTTATAGCCCTTTGGAAGTTTGAGTACCGCCCTGTCTCAATAATATATTATGTGCTCGTGTTTGGCAACAACGGATATAATCCGCCTTATCGGTTCATCGCATCGGAAACAAAAAAGCGAAAGAATTTTGAACGATGTTTTTACAATTATTTTATTCAGTTGTAAACAGTCAGTGTCAGTCGGGTAACGCGTGAGTGAATAGTCGTGTCTGTTGCGTGGCTCAAACGAAATAAAAAATGGCACATGTTTATGCGGATCGGTTTCCCAATCGAGTGCAACCAACCCCTCGTGCCTTTGTTAATGTAGTACAACGGGCTCGTGAAACAGGTGACTTAAGACCTCACAGTTGACGGCATGCCGGTGCCCCAAGACCTCACGATCAAATACAGGTCCGCACTGAAATACTTGTCGGGAGGATACTTTATAAAAGGTAAAATTTTTTTTTATTTTTACACACATATTTTGGTTTATCTTCCTTCTACAATCATTATCTGAAAATTAATGACTCAACTTCAAAGTCACCCTGTATATCCAATAGTTCGTTTTTGTAGAATAAGCACTTTTTTTAAACAATTTTGGGTACAGACACATCAAACCTGAATGCTATATTTCAATCTGTTTTCAAATAAGGCAAAGAAACTGCTTAAGGCGGTGCTTTTCCCTACGTTCTAACTAATTGCTAGTTGAGTAAGCAATTTGTTTAGATGGTTAGTAAAATCAAATATACACATATGATCAATGGTCAGTCCAAAAACTGTGATGGTAACTGCTTTGTATATCAATTTATTATCTAAAGTTATAAAATCAATGTAGCATTTAAAATCAATATATTTCAACAATGTGACATCATTATTTTGAAAGAAGTCTATTGTGACTCTTGCAACATGTGGTCGGGCATTATCTTGTTGGAAACTTGGATCTGCCAGGGTGTCAAGATAGGGTAAAAGATGGGGTTCTAGAACTTCGTGGATATAACGCTGCGCGTTCATGTTACTTCTGATGAAGATTAAAGGTGACCTGGAACCATAAGCTATAGCACCCCAAACCATAACTCCAACAGTGTGATGAACATGTCTTTCAACAAAAAACTGTGGATTCCTCCTTTCACCACGTCGCCTTCTAACCCTGGCACGACCATCGTGCATGCCTAAACAAAATCGAGACTCGTCACTAAAGACAATACTGTTCCATTCCTGATCCCGGAGTGACCGTTGTCTGCACCACTCAAGGCGATTACGTCGGTGTTCTCGAGTTAAAGGGAGGACACAGTGTGGCCGGTATGAAAACAAGTCAAAACTTCTCATTCGTCGGTAAACACTTCGCATGCCAATAGGTCTTCCGTGTTCTGCAAACCATTCATTTGCAATGGACCTGGTAGAGGAGAAACGGTCCCTTAAGGCCAATAATCTTAGGCGGCGATCTTCACGGTCTGTTGTTCTACGACGGCGTCCAGTGCCCCTTGCTCTTTGCGTACGGCCTTCTCGAAGCCATGCCTGACAACACCTAACCAGAGTGTCTACACTTCTTTGCACTCTAACTGCAATTGCCCGAAAAGAAAGTCCAGCTTCCCGAAGTCCCACTATACGGCCCCTATCAAACTCACTAAGTTGACGAAATCGTACAGGTCTCCGTACTCTAGGCATCGTAACCGATTGTAAAGGATGTCAAGAACCAAAATCCGCCAACGTTGATTCTTTACTGCGGCTGAAATATTCATTTTTAGAGCGTTAGTGAATTAAAAAAAAGCAGTATAAAAACCGGAATGTCCAACTGATAAGGCTGAAAATTTTTTCACTTGTTATTTACAGTAAGATAAATACATTCACCAACTTTTATTGAAATAAAACCATTTAAACTGGGTGTTCGGATTTATATGTCACTTAGTATAATTCCGAAGAGATTATCAAAAAAACTGGACTTCATACTTTAACGAATTTGAGGTATAATTTGCTACCTATTACCTACCAAAGTAACCACTATCCATATTGCATAGTCTCTGATCGTTCTTTACCCTGTTGGAGAGTTGCACAGAGTATCAGGTTTTATAAAATAACAAAGGTCTGGTGTAACTATGAATTGGTGGTCATCCCAGATCATTAGGCCGCAAATCGTTAATAAATGTTGAAGTCTGACTCTTCCCCATTCTCTTAAAGGTGCAGTCGATTCTTCGCGACCCAGCCATGCGTATGATTCTGGAGCAGATGCAGAACGACCCTAGGGCGCTGCAAGACCATCTGAAGAATCCGGACATCGCCGCTAAGATACAGAAACTTTTGGAATCAGGCCTTATTGCCATCCGCTAGTTCGGTTAGTCTCAGGCGTTTATTTACATTATTTAATTGCATTATCATATGTTATATGTAACATCGATTTTGTATCGTACGTACTCCATTGTTCGTTCGTTTTAGTTTAGGAAAGTCTGGGTTATTGTAAACTTTTCCTCGATCATTTCACATTGGTGACCTTATGTCAAAAAATCTCAATTATCGTAATAAAGGCGTTTAGATAATTACTAGAAAATACCTGTATTTGCAAGCAAGAAGTGTTTCAAAAAAATTGCAATTCATATGACTGCCATTTTTGGCATGTGGTCCCTAGCCCAAATCACAAGGTTGTAATTCTTTATGCAAAGAAATATTCAAAGGCATATGGCTTTAACTCACTTATGAAGGCATAAATTGATTTTTGTGATGCATTTTGACACATTGAAAATATACAGTGGCAATATCAAAATATCCCAAAAATTACGTGTCGTAGAGAAAAATGTTTGACAATAGTTGTGAGGTTTGAAAGGGGTTGTCTAATAGCGACCTTGAACCAGACCTCCAGGGATATGTGAAGGTCAATGCAGTTTTATTCAATGGAAACTCCTCTATTCAACAAATGTTGTAATAAATAGCAACAATGTCCATGACATTGAAATCCAAGGTAATTTTAAGGTTAAATGAATTTAATTCTAAATTGTAATTGACGGATAATTTTACGCTTAGTTATAGTAAACTACTTTTCGAGGAAAGCAACACATTTTGCGGTCAAGGTCACTATCATGCATTTGACGGTGACCTTGACTAGGAAGGTCATTTAGAGGACAAACAGATTTTTTTAGCAGGATACTTCTGTTTTCTTCGCTTCCTGGTATATCCTCGACTACTGTAAACATTTTAAAAGTCAAGAACACCGCTAAAGGACTCTTCAAATTGCACAACTTTTTTAAGATACTTTGTTTTACCCGTATTTTTGAAAGTCAAATGACCTTCAAGGACATTTTAACTTCTGGTGTCAAAAATAGATTCCATTAAAAAACCTCGACCTTGAAGGGTAATGGACAAGGTCACCATTAGATAACACATACAACTGTAGTAAAATAGTGTCGAAAAAGTTGTAAGATGCTTAACAGAAATCAATTTGGTGCCTCTATCAAATCGAATAGATTTTTGAATCTATGGTTATATACAGTTTATGATCGATTCCAGCAAAGCACTAACTATAATAAAATGTAGTTGCTTAAAAAAATGGCAGTTTTATTTCATCCTGATCCAAAATCCGATAAAAACTATTATGAAAGCCACCGATATCAATCGTCCCAACTCGGATCTAATGTAACGCGTACGTTTTTCAAAACAGTAAAAATAAAAGTTTGAATGTTTTAAATATGTATTTTCTTTAGGCGTCATAGAAATCGTCCATTTTTTTAGAGCGGCTACTCTTCAAAAGATGGTGTTTCGAAACATCACGACCACAAGACCCACAAAATTTAACTAGTTCACGCGCTCAAGCAATCTATCACGCGTCTCCACGTGATCTCGCGCAGTCTACCAATGCAGCACTCTCAAGATCAAGGAACTCAAACGGTCGTGAGGGGGCCAAAGTCCCACATTCTTATTAAGAAAGAATTTGTGGGAATCTAATTTTTAATCATGGTACTGGTCTGTCGGACAAAAATTGCCCTCTTCCAAAAATATATTTACTAATCTTTTATAAAATCGCATTGAGTAGTCTATGAAATTTGTCCGACTTGCGATGGTAAGCATACTGCCGCGCCACCTGCCAGACAATGGCTAAATTATGTATTTTCTTTTGGCGTTACAGAAATCGTCCATTTTTTTAAAGTTCAGCTTCGCTTCAAAAGGTGGCGTTCTGTAAACATCACTAACACAAGACCCACAAAATTTAAGTAGTCTAAAGAATGTTGTAGGGGCGGATGGGTCGGGGTTTGGGTGGCCCAATTATGCACTCAAGATCAAGGTGTTAATAATCCCACATTCCTGTTTGGAAGAAATTATTCTTTGTTGAAACTTTTATTGCAACCATATGCTGGTTTGTCGGACAAAAACTCCTCCCTCTTTGAAATATAGCTTTACTAATCTTGTATAAAATTGCATCGAGTAGTCAATGAAATTTGTGAGATATGTGACGGTAAGCATAGTGCAGCGCCATCCACCAAACGATAGCTGAATTAAAAATGTTTATAAAAAAACCACGAATTCTGAAAATCCACTGATCTTATTTAATTAAAAGTCTCCGATGTTTACTGGTTCTTAAAAAAAAAGCAACATGCAATCGTCGTGTTGTGGGATGTTAGCTGACTGCAACGCCCTCTATCACACAGTAGCCAAACTAAATAGGTTTCGGGAATATAAAATAAACTACGCTCTTGTTTATGAAATATATATTTGAAGTTATATAAAATATCAAGTAAAACAAAAAAAAATATTGCACTTATAACTACATTACAAGCAAGACAATGGCCACATACACAATCACTAATCCAACGAAAATTTGGACACATACAAAATGTGAAGATATTTCCACTACCAACAGAATAAAGTCTTACTCGGAAAAGAAAATATAGCTAAGGATCCTACAACTAAAACATATAATGGTGTCCTAAAAAAATAAATATACAATATTCACAATTACTTTTGTTTCCACTTGTCAAGATACAATAATTTCTCAGTAACAATTTTGCACATCCAATTGTTTTATAAAATTTTTGTAAATATACTTTGACAAATACATAGACATTTTTCCAATTTGTTGTATAAATATAATTTCAAGGCAAACAGGATTATTATCAATGCGATAAAAGGCTTTTTATGGAAAATGGCTTTAAAAATATAGACGATGAAGAGTAGGGATGCACCGAGTACTCAGTTTCAGCTGCTTTCAGTGATATTAGGATTATATTTGCGTTTTGAAACAGTAAAACTCAAATTTGACTCACTTTTTCAAGAAACAAGTTGCGTAGCTTAGACAATTTCTTGGCAACCGCAGCTTAGTAGTTTAGTGTATTTACGGTATTTTTAAATGTTTATTTTTTACTTCAGCAGCTGTGATATTGAAGAAGGATGGAAGCCATGTTTTGAGACTATATTTTCAGAGCAATTATACTCGATATACATCCTATTCCTGCTATTACAAGCAGATTTGTGAGACATTCAAAAATGATAACTAGAACATATTTAAACATGTTTATTGAAGGTATGCAATGTGCTGCCTTAAGTTGCTCAAATTTCAAGAGACTACCTACAAGAATCATGTCATGGTCATCACCGACACTAAATTTAAATCTTACAGGTTTTCTAGCTGCCTTTCAGCGGAGACTAAGCAAAAGCACCACAGAACTGCTGGCTGTACAATTCTAATTGGAAAAGAAAATATTCTTTTAATGACCCTTTTTATATAAATTTGCTATTTATTGATTTTGTGGTCCACAGAAACAGTCTCCTCGTACAAAGTTGCCGATGTTTCGGAAAAATCTATTTCCTTCTTCAGGGCTCTTTTTACTTCCACACTGTCGTGGTAAAAAATCCAGCGTTATGCGCGTCGTAGATATCATTTAGACTGAATATCGGAAGATCATCTCATAATAGTCTTTCATTTGTTATATTGATCAGTTGCAGTCTAAATGATGTCTAAGATGTGCATAACACGCGGATGCGTCGACTGTCTGTTCTTCAATAACCGAAATTATCCACGTCGGAATGGAGGAATACATCCCTCACACAGTGAAAGTTCCTAAATCAGGGTCCAACGGCTGGTTCAATAAATCGTGTGACACTTCTCGCCAGCAGAAGATCAAGGCCCACAGAACCTACTTACAAAACCCCACTGTAGAGAACAGACAAGCCGACGTCGAGTCCAGAAACAAATATAACGAAGCGGTTCGCAATGCCAAAAACCAGCATGATATAAAGATTAGGCACAGGGTAATGTCGCAGCGCAATGGCAGTCGGTCTTTCTGGACGCTGGCCAAGCAGATTGAAAAGAACTTCTCACACAGTAGCCTTCCACCACTTACGTGTCAGGATGGAACTATTGTATTCGACTCAAAGGCCAAGGCGGAAGTGCTAGCCAAGATCTTTGCTGCCAACTCCACCATGGACGTCCCCACCAACGCCCAAGTGCGCTCAATTCAAAGAGTTCCCCACACTATGCGGGAGGTAACATTCAGGCATAAGACCGTAAGACGAGTGCTCTTGTCCCTCAACATCAACAAAGCTTCTGGTCCGGACTTGATTCCTGCCATTGTACTGAAGAGATGTGCAGCGGAGCTTGCTCCAGTTCTTTCGCGTCTCTTCCAGATATCTTATGAATCCGGCACCTTCCCAGAAAACTGGAAATTTGCTCATGTACAGCCCATCCCAAAAAAAGGATCTAAAACCGACCCTTACAACTACAGGCCTATAGCTCTGCTTTCTGTCATAAGTAAAGTGATGGAGAGGTGCATAAATCGCGAGCTTCTGGACTACCTCGAACGTCACAGCTTGATTAGCGACAGGCAGTACGGTTTCCGGCACCAACGATCCACAGGGGACCTCCAAGCTTACGTCACGCAACTGTGGAGTAAACTCATCCAGTCTCATGGTGAGGCTCATGTCGTTGCTCTTGACATCACGAAAGCGTTCGATCAGCTGTGGCACGCTGCCCTCTTAAGCAAACTTCCATCCTATGGCCTCCCAGAAAAGCTTTGCAGATGGGTGGCTGACTTTATCTCTGGCCGCAAGATATCCGTCGTAATTGACGGATTCTCCTCTTCATCCCACAACGTCAACGCGGGTGTTCCCCAGGGATCGGTCTTGGCTCCAACACTGTTTCTCTTACATATCAACGACCTCCTTTCCTGCACGATCAACCCAATCCACAGCTTCGCTGATGACAGCACTCTACATGCAGGAATTCAAAGTGACAAGCCGGTCTCTGCCGCTGAGCTGGAAAAAAGAAGACTAGCGACGACTTCTTCTCTGACAAGAGACCTGGAGGCTATCACTGCTTGGGGACGCAACAATCTTGTACAGTTCAATGCTTCCAAAACACAGTACTGTACTTTGACGAACAAAAAGCGTCCTAGCGCTCATACAGTTTCGATGGACGGTCGAGTTCTACCAAAGAGCCATTCATTTCGGCTGGTCGGAGTCCAGATCACCGAGGACCTGATCTGGCACGAACACATCTCTTCAATAGCTGCAGCTGCTGGGAAAAAGCTAGGCTATTTGTTTAGGGCTAAGAAGTACTTTTCTCCGCATGACATTCTCACTCTATACAAGGCCCAGATAAGGCCTAGCCTCGAGTATTGCTCACACATTTGGGGTGCTGCCGCCCCGACTACATTGTCCATGCTCGATGCTGTCCAGAGGAGGGCGGTCCGACTGATCGATGACTCTTCTCTAACAGACAGTATCGGGACTCTTTCGCACCGGCGGGTCGTCGGCGATATAGCTCTTTTCTATCGCTACACCAACGGGCTTTGCTCCTCAGAGCTCTCTTCCATGATGCCGCCGCGCGATGTGCCTGCCAGACAAACCCGCCTGACTTCGGCGTTCCATCCTAACCGTGTCAAACTTCGTACATCCAGAACTGGCCGATACGACCGCTCCTTTGTCCCGAGGGTGTCTAGATTGTAGAACAATCTACGGGAGGAAGCTTTTCCCAGTTCTACTAACCTTGGGCAGTTCAAAAATCGTATCAACAAAATTTCTTTGGGGATCATCATAGCAGCCGCGGTGTTCCGCCATTTAGGCTTCTACCTGCGCGGCTGTTTCGATATATATAAAAAAAAAAAATAACAGTGGATTATCTTTTTACCACCACAGTTTCGAAGTAAAGGAAGCCCTGAAGAAGGAATTAGTTTTTTCCGAAACGTCGGCAACTTTATAATAGGAAACTGTGTTTCTTTAGAACCCAAATCCAATTAATTACAAGAAATCTTGGAGAAGGTCTAAACCGAAATTGTCCGCATTTGGGTGCGGTATCGCCGAATATATATTTACATTACTTTTCGACTTTTGCTGCAGTTTGTTTTGTAGGTTTTGCCGTTTTTTGAGTATTCTGTATGACAGGAAAAAGAGCAACAAAGAAATACATTGCAGTTTCGGTTTAACTGATATAGAAGCTGCCCCACGGACTATTTTTTATGACTATTTCCCCCGTCTTAATTTATATCAATCACAAATACGCAATTTTGAATTGCAAATGGTTTCTAGACGGACACATTGTATGACAGCACCGGTCAGCAGTTTTTTTGAGTTTACCCACGGCGAAACTTGACAACTGGTGTCAAAAATTACAAAACCTTTGATAAGTAATAATTATGGTCTCCTAGGTAACCACAAAACGAGGATTTTTCTGATTTTATTGTCAATAAATTTTGTTATATTGTTTTTAACCTTCATAAACCCGAGCGGGATGCAGTTGCACCCCAGACATCAATTTTTGGTGTTATACTTTTTTTAATTTAATTTCCTTTGAGTTATGTTTCTCAAATATGTTTCTAATATAGTATAAAAAATTTGTGATTGATTGTAACAAGTTATAGTGAGTTTTGTTCCTTGGGGTGCAGCTGCACCCCGCTCGGTATGTAACTATAGGTAAATATTTTGCATACGCTGAATACTAACTGGGGTATAAACAAACCCCAAATTTTTCAAACGACGGAGATTCCCCGTATCGTGACGGCAACACTGTCGGGGAATCCCAATAGCGGCTATGTATAACGTGTCCACGTAATTATCGCATTATAATCTTAGGTTTCGTGTGTGTCGTTACGTTTGTAGTGATTGTCGCCTACGCGCTTATAAAAATGAGTGAACCACCGAAATTTCGAAATGAAAATAAGCTAACAGACGAAGAACTATTGGCGATATTAGAAACGGATATTTACGACCATTATTTTAATGATTCGATACTAGAAAATGGTTCAAGTGATATCGAAGAGACTGATATAGTGACTGAAACTAATGAGATAGATGATGTTTTGCAAGTTAGTGATAGTGAGAATGATTTGGCAGATTCTTCAGCTGTAGTTGGCCAATCAATAACTTATACAGAAAATCCAACTTATACTTCTAAAGATGGTAGTATGTAGGCAAAAGTTCCACTTACTGCGAGGACAAAGAGAAGAAAATGTAATATACAAACTGGTCCAACAGGTTTGACGAGATATAGCTCCCAATTTTCCAGCATAAAAGAATCCTTTGAACTATTTTTTTCACAAGATATTATGAATGTGATTTTATCGTAGACGAATAGAAAAGCCGAATCATATTATGCAAGAAATGGGAAGGCTTTTTCTCCTTTTGTGCAAGAGGAACTGGAAGCATTTATTGGTTTGCTTATTATTTTTGGAGCCTGGCATGCTGCTAAAGAGCCAATATGCGTATTATGGAGCCAAGACCCAACTTTATGTCGACCTTTGGTATCATCTACTATGTCTCGCAACAGATTCCAACAAATTATGTGCTTTCTAAGATTCGACAATTTTGAAACAAGAGAAGAAAGAAAACGCACTGATAAATTTGCCGCAATCAGAGATTTCTTTGATGTTTTTGTATCTAATTGCAAGAAATCTTTAAATCCATCTGAACACTTGTGCGTCGATGAGCAGTTAGTTCCGTTCCGAGGCAGGGCTCCTTTTCGGGTTTACATGAAGAGTAAGCCGGACAAATATGGATAACAAATTTGGGTCTTGGCAGATTGTAGTTTGGCGTATACAGTGAATATGCAAATTTATTTAGGTAAGCTATGTCCTAGAACATGCAGATATTATAGATTTTAAAATTTTAGGCAAAGAAGGAAACAAACCAGATAAAGGTCAAGGTCAAAGGGTAGTGTTAGACCTGGTAAACCATTTATCTACAGGATATGGGATAACTACTGATAACTTTTTTACCAGTATTGAGTTGGCCAATAAGCTCTTAGATAAAAACATTACCTTGTGTGGAACACTGCGTAAAAATAAACCTTATATTCCAAAAGAACTACTTCCAGCAAAATACAAGAAAGATTTTTCAAGCATGTTTGCTTTTATGGAAAATAAAACATTAGTTTCTTACGTACCAAAGAAAAATGCGGCAGTTATCCTTTTATCAACAGAACATAACGATGACAGAATAAGTGGAGAGGAATGTGACTATAAACCGGACATCATTTTACACTACAACAAAACTAAGGGTGCAGTAGATACAACAGATAAATTGTCAAAGGAATTTACCACTCAAAGAAAAAGTAATCGATGGCCGATGGTAATACGAGTATTTTTTCATCTGCTGGATATTGGTGGCATCAACGCCTATAAACTATGGATGTTGAAAAATCCAGATTGGAAAAAAATCGTTTAGATAGGAGAAGAATGTTTCTGTTGGAGTTGGGCCAAGAATTAATTAAGAAGAATATAATTCGTAGATACCATAATGACAAGTCGTTACATTCCAATATGAAACAATCCATATTAACAATTTTGCCAGAATTAAATATTGTAAGGAATGAACCACCTGCTCCCGCTATTCGGAGACAGCAGCGATGTTTTTTATGCGACAGAAGTAAAGACAGGAAATCTCCAAAGTTTTGTATTCGGTGTAATCAGTACGTATGTGCAGAACATTCTAAAAATATAACCGTTTGTAATAAGTGTGATAATTAAATTATTATTTAAAATATCACATATTTATCTTCTTCTTAATTATCTTTCTTTATATTATAATCATTTCAAATTATTTTTTCCAAATGTGTTTGTTTATCAATGTTATAGCATACTTATGTAAAAATATATATTTTTTATAATCAGAATGTGTTTATTTTTTGAAAATCTTTAATTACAGTAATTAAATAAGCCACCAGAAAAACGTTGGGGTACATTTGCACCCCACTCGGTATTTAACGTAAATTTCTGACCACGGGTTTATGAAGGTTAAGCAGGTTTGTAAAAAGCGTACGAGGTTAGGCTTTGCACTGCACAGATGCAATTCTTTGATTTACACAAGTTGTGTGTCTTGCCTTCAGACCGAGTATTTTAATAGCAGGCGAAACAGTAGGGTAAAATTTGACAAGAATGCCGAGTACTGGCTACAAACCGAGTACTCACTGCATGCGTAATAAAAAGAATAAACATCAAGTAGCTAGGTAAGACTGCATTTTTTTTTTAGAGAACTAGTCGGTAATTACATCCATAAAAATCTATGCGTCCTTTTTAGTCCCAACTCAAGGACATATTCTAACGATAACTTGTTATAAAATTAAACTGCACCGTAAAAACAAAAATTTCCTATAAAGTTACGCGAAATTTACGTCGTTAAGATTCAGCTTTTTCAACGGAAAACATCGCATAAATTATACGTTAATCGAAACGAAATTGACTTGAGAACATGCACTTGCTACGCGATCTCCTATCTGATGTAACGGTGAACGTCCGTGCGTGTTGGCAAGAAGCGTGTATAAATGAATATTTAATTTGCTCGAATGCGATTTTACGCTGAACGCACTGTTTGCAGAAAGTTGTTTCTTTGCTATAAATGCCAATCATCCAGACAGGAGACTGTTAGAGTACAAAATATTTGGTGAAAACGTGTCAAAATCACAAGAGTATTGCTCGTATAAAAAAAATACCGCATCTGGGAAATCGGCATAAAAATTAATTTTTTACTTTCAACTCTGAAAATTATTTTTAACCAAAATAATACAATTACATTGACATGAAACTACAGTAAATTCTTAATCTTAATACGAGGGTGGTCTGAATAGTTTCCGATGGCAGCACTAGTAAATAAAAGCTAATGTACAGTCGTTTGAGTGAGTTGTGAGTGTTTCTGTGAAAATGGACAAAATCGAGTTTTGAGCTGTCATTAAATATTTGTTTTTGAAAGGCAATACGCATATCAAAGATGAGTTGGATTCTGGGTATGGGGATTTTGCACCATCATTTACCGCAGTGAAATTTTGGGCAGCTGAATTTAAACGTGGCCATAAGAGCTTGCTGCATCGACGCAACTCGTGCTCAAAACGCTGAGAAAACATAACCTTTTCAATTTGTGATTTTGGAATCCCAGAGCTGTAATTAAGAGATAAGCTTGTTTTCTAAGCTTTAAAGTGTGTGTATATGTTCAAAGTGATCGGTGACTATAATATATGAGAAATAGACTCCAGTTGTAGTGCTTCTGTGCTTTAAAAATAAACTAAGAAGTGTGACTGTGGCTGTTCGCGCCTCAGGACGCTAAGGATTTCAACTATTGAAAACGTGCAAATTCAGGTTGTATTTTTCTTTTTTCATTTATCAAGTATTTGACGCAGACAATATGCCTCGTTGTTGCTGTGTTCCTTTATGCAATGCAAACTATAATTCTGCTTTGAAAACAGAAAGCTATGTTTCAACTTTTCGCTTCCCAAGTACCGAAAGTCTGAAAAACAAATGGCTTATGGCAATTCCCAGAAAAAATTGGACACCTTCAAAATATTCAGCTGTGTGCAGTCGTCATTTTAGAGAATCGGATATCATCAGGACAGAAAATATAGTTTTGGCGGATGGAACAGTCCAAAATAATATACCTTTGAAATATCCAAAATTGAAAGAAAATGCTGTTCCCTCCATTTTCCCAAACTTGCCATCATATCTTTCAAAAACTGAAGCACCCAAAAGAACTGACCCAATGCAAAGAAAACAAAAATTAATTGAGAAACATGAAAAAGCTATCCAGAATTTCGATGATATGGATAAGATCAAAGATAAATTTAGTTCAAAAATGTGGATTTGAAGTTAATTGTGTTGTTACTGATAATCACCGAATTAATAGAGCAATGTTCAGGAAATTAGCAAAGGATTCATCAGAAAATTATTCTATTCCAAATCCACATAATCCTGATAAGAACATATATTTAACTTTTGATGTTGTGCATATTTTCAAGAGTATCAGAGATAATTGGATTGATTTAAAAAACCTAGACAAAACTTTTGTATATCCTAATTTTGACAATAATGATATTATTCAGTATGCTAAATTTGAAAACATTCGTGCTGTATATCAATTGGAAAAAGAAGTATTTGAGACAAATTACTTAGCCAATTGTGACATAGAGGATAGTACTAAGACTTATATATCTGGATATGCTTCACACGCTATCTCTAAAAACCTAAACTGCGAGATATGCAAATCGCCACTAGTTAAAGAAAAAGGTTCATTAACAACAAATGTTTATTTTGATCATTTGCAAAGAGGAGGACTGTCAATTCCAACCAGTTATGTACCAATCATATTCTACCATATGTATGCCATTTTTGAATCTATTATTAATGTAGTAATGGAAATTTTCTTCTTGAAAAGCAATAATCAAAAATTTATTTTGTGTCAGTTAACCTTGCTCAGCATTCAGTCTGACTTTATATACAGTGAATTTTCTTTAACTTGCATCTGTGGCCGCAATTATGCAGATATTTTATCTAAGCTTTTGTCTATTTTTTCAAACATAATTTTGAATGATTATGTAAAATTGAAAAATAACAGTAAAACTGAAAGTAACTGTATTAAAAACAAACAGGTAACTCCACATTTCCAAGCTGGGCCTGTTGGAACACAGTGTGCTGACACCAAAAAACGTAAACTAAATACTTTTAATTAGGTTAACTGCATTAGCGACTGATATATATCACGATTATTTCGTATTTTTAAATTTTTTAGAGCTATTTCATATTCAGACGATTTGTATCGAATCGAACTGTCCTCTTTTCCAAAATTAAATTTAGTTCTTGAATGTTACACGGAGACGGAGCACACAGCCGCTGGCGGCCGACGTTCACAGGTAGCACTACATTGCCTTTCTTTCATCACGGCTCGTAGTTGACGTCGGCTGCGGTTCGGGACGTCCAAAAACTGCAACTAACGACGAAAACATCGCCAAAGTTCACCAAATGGTGCTCGACGACCGCCGAATTAAAGTGAGAGAGATAGCAGAGGTATGAACATGTCAAAGAAACGTGTTTGTCACATATTTAGGCAGAGATTTCCGTCAGATGAAGAGGCAATCACCTTCGTGAACAACTATTCTGCCGAGAAAAAACGCCGAGTACTATTTTAGACGGGTTACAGAGATGGGAGCATAGCTCGGAGAAGTGTGCAGAATTATTTATTATTATAAGACTATGATGAAAAATGAAAAAAAAAATTCAGAAAAAATGTCTTGTATCTTTGTTGGGTGGGAAATTTTCAGACCACCCTCGTAGAATAAGCACTCACTGAGAACTGTGTAACACCTGAGCTGCGTCAGTTAGTGAGACCACTTTACGCCGGATTTTACACATTGATCTACACCTCCATCCATACAAAATCCAACTAACACAAGAATTGAAGCCGGCAGACCATCAACAGCGGCGTGTTTTTGTTAATTGGATGCTGGAAAGAGAAGACGGATTTTCGGCCATAGGCTCTTTTCTGATGAGGCTCATTTTAACCTCAATGGGTACGTAAATAAGCAAAATTGCAGATTCTGGGGGGCTGAAAATCCACACCAATATCATGAACAACCTCTCCATCCTGAAAAAGTGACTGTTTGGTGCGGATTATGGGCCGGTGGCATCGTTGGACCTTTCTTCTTTGAAGATGCTGAAGAAAAGGCCATTACCGTCAACGGGGAACGTTATCGCGGCATGTTAACAGACTTTTTGTGGCCACAATTGGACCGTATTGGTGCTGACGATCTTTGGTTTCATCAAGTCACACATCTCGCCAAATAATCGCCTTATTGCTCATGAAATTTCAAAACCGCATAATTTCATGAAATCCGAGATCTTGCCATTTAACACCTCTTGACTATTTTCTTTGGGGATTTTTTAAAGGAAAAGTGTATGCGAATCGTCCTCGGACAATTCAAGGCCTAAAGTGCAATATTCGGAGTGAAATTGCGGCAATAGACCCGATTATTCTGGGAAAAGTCATTGAAAATTCTGATGGCCTGTAAACGAAGCCGCGGTGGTCACATGACTGATGTTATTTCCATACATAAATGGCATAAACCAACCTCCATTTATCAATAAAAAAATTCGATTTCACCTCGTAAAAAGCGTGTTGATTTTTCAAATAGAAAAAGTAATAGATGGCGCATCCTGTATACTATCACTCCTTGAAAGGATGTTCAGAATAGAAATCGGCTTCCTTAAGAACCTTTAAATAAGGGAATAAACTGCATCATCACTGGAAAACGAATGCACAATATTTCAGTTATTAAAAATGCAATTTTTTGAAGTCCATTCACATCTATTTAGAAGTAAATTTAACAAGATTTTGATTATGCAAAGTTGCTGAATATAATTTACTAGTACTACAAAATGTTGATTGAACCTGACTTTGGCTTTTTATCTCAAGCATGTTTTTTGTTACAATTTTCGTTTATAGTTTGCAAAATTAAGTTTATTAGATATTTTAAGTATATGAAAATAACGTTTCTTCTACTAACCTTCAAAATATTGTCTAGAGGGGATTTTTGCTAGTTATCCCATTTATGTTCAACAACGGGACAAATATTAGCACAAAAACTAAAAATTATTTGATGAAATGTTGATTTAGTCCAGTTGAGTCTATATTTTCATTCCACATTGAACGTAATTTGCTACTTCTTCATTAAAAAGTATTTTGCCAATTTTGGGGCATTTTTGATGTAATTTGACTGTACTGGAAAAAGAGTTCAATGTGTACTTTTTAAGTGAAACTTAAACTGAAATGTCTATACACGTCATAATATGCATTACAGAGCATTTGTACTAGTTCTTAAAAAACTATACTTACTAAACAGTACTATTGACAAAAAAAAAATGTTTAGGGACTATGGACTATAATAATTGTCTAGAAAGGTACAATTTCCAAAGTACACATGTTGCACTTACATCTGTTTTTCAGGGTTGCTGAACACTTCACTGTACCTGAAATAAAAAACGGAAACTTATTTAATTATAAGTTACAAGTGGAATATGGAAACAATATTTAAGTAAGTTTTGAGGATGCTTCATTGATCCAAACATGAAAAAAAAAGCGATTTGTACAAGTTTAATAAGAATTCATATGCTATACTGAACCACTGTTTCACAAAAGTAAATGGGTAGCAGACAGCTGGGTGAATAGTTGAATAGTTTTTTTAAGGAACACATGGGATGTTTCTTTACCTTATGACACAGAGCTGATAGCATTATGCGGGGCTCCCATTTGTGTAAGCACTTTGTCCAACCACTGAAGTGGCCCATGGAGATGTACTTCGATCCAACAGGGAGTACTAGTCACGTCTTGGCGGTGGTACTCTGCCCCCCAGCCTTTCACGAAGCTCATACGAATCGTGCACATCTGTAACAAAACAAGAAAAAAATAGTCACTCGTTTTATGTTTTATGAAAATCGATTAATGAAAAATTAATATAAGCAGTGGGGTGCGATTTTGATCCTAAAACGAACTGAAATTTTGTTGATTTCGAGCGGAATCGATACGTATTGGTGTTGCTCATGGGTGAGGAAGGGCGTTCCAGCTAGATTTGGTGAATCTGGAGCGGAGACGCTGCAAGAGTTGTCCGAGTTTTTGGATGCAGAACTTTCTAACAGACATTTATCAGATTTACTAGTTCAAGCCTTTTCTAGAAGATATAATGGTGATTTTTTTGCTAGTATCTTTTTGGCAACACTGTTTTTGACAGATGACGAGTGAATCGTGTCTTGTGTCATTGTCAAACTTGTTCAATTTGGTCTATAATTTAACCATGAATCGACTTACGGACGAACAACGCTAGCAAATTATTGAATTTTACTATCAAAAGTCATCTTCGGTTAAGAGTGCATCGAGCACTGCTTCCAATTTATGGACAATTTGGTCGGCCTACTGAGGGAGCTATTCGGACGTAGAGTGAAGACTGAAGAAAATATTGCGGCTATATCCGCCAGTGTTAGTCATGACCGTGAAATGTCGATTCGCCGCCGTTCGCAGCAATTGGGCCTCTGTTACTCCACTACGTTTAAAATTTTGCGACAGGATTTGGGTGTAAAACCTTATAAGATACAGCTGGTGCAAGAATTGAAGCCACACGACCTCCCACGACGTTTCCAATTTGGTGAATGGGCGCTGGCAAAGTTGGAGGAAGATCCACATTTTTATCGAAAAATTGTGTTCAGCGACGAAGCTCATTTCTGGTTGAATGGGTACGTTAACAAGCAAAATTGCAGCATCTGGAGTGAAGACCAGCCAGAAGCATTGCAAGAGCTACCAATGCATCCCGAAAAAATCACTGTTTGGTGTGGATTATGGGCCGGTGGCATCATCGGCCGTACTTCTTCAAAGACGACAATGGCCGAAACGTAACTGTGAATGGCGAGCGCTACCGTGCGATGATAACAAACTTTTTTTCGCCCAAAATGGAAGAGCTGGACTTGGCTGACATGTGGTTTCAACAAGACGGTGCCACATGCCACACCGCACACGAAACAACGGCCCTATTGAGAGGCGAGTTCGGTGAACAGTTTATCTCCCGTCAATTGGCTGCCTAGATCGTGTGATTTAACGCCATTGGACTATTTCTTGTGGGGCCATGTTAAGGCTAATGTCTACAGGGATAAACCAGCAACAATTGACGCACTGGAAGCCAATATTGAAGCATTTATTCGTGAGATACCGGCCGATATGTTGGAGAGAGTGTGCCAAAATTGGACCTTGCGCATGGGCCATCTAAAGCGGAGCCGCGGCCAACATTTACATGAAATAATCTTTAAACACTAAATTATATCGACCGTTCTATCGACTCAAATAAAGATTTAATCGTTTTTTTCAAATTTTTTGTGTTTTTTTTTGAAAATCAAATTCTATACCTCTTAAAAAATCACCCGTTACAGATGGAGACAACAAATGGTGAAGAAGCTAGTAATGAAGTAGAAACTAAGAAAATATTGGATGAGAAAAGTTTTTGTTTAAAATATGTACTCAAATTTAATGACTATAAAATATCAATTTAAGATAAATTGATCAAGGAATTATATGAAATGACTGAATCATTACAAAGACAAATTGAAGACCTGGGGAAAATAACAACCATGTAAATCTTATGCAGACGTAAAAAAAAACGCAGCAAAATTCAATTATTTTTTTAATTTTAATTAATCTACTACCACTGTCAGAAGCTGGTCTTTATCTTTTAGTGATATGAAAAAAGGTCGAAATCTTTATTCAAATTAAGAACCAACAATGGCAGTAAAGGAATGCAATATTATTAACAATGTATTAAGCATATATTTGGATATTAACCTGGCCAAAATGAATGTCCCTATAACAAAAATTACCGATTTGAAAGACGAAGGTGTGAAAACTGGATGTTGTAATGTTATAAAAAGTGCATTGATTGAATATTACCACAATTGTGATACAAGAGAAATACAAATTTCCATTTACAAAATTGCAATAGTAATATAACTAGGAAATTAATATTTCAGAAGGGATTACTTGAATTTAATAAACTAAATGATATTAGTCTATAATTTAAAAATGTTTAAAAGAAAATTAAAGGAACATTTTATGGACAGCGAAAATTCTTAGAGATGCAAGTTTTGTTTTATTAAATATTTAATTTTAAAACGAAAAAGTCGTTTTTTTTTCTATTAGTCTATAAACTGCATACTTTTCTATATGATAATAATAAAATTAAGTTACTAACATCAACAATTATCAGAATAAAAATCAAATAAGATTAGTATAAAAATTACCAAAACAAAAAGCTGCTTTCATAATTCAAAAACATTTACAAATGTCTTTCAGTTAAAAATCGTATTAGAATTAAAATAAAAAGGCGAATACAACAAATAAAATATTAAAAAAACCTAGAGTACAAAGCAAAGCTTTTTTCGAGCTTTTATACAATAAAAAATTGAAAATAATCATCGTCGCAGATGTTCAGTCTCAGTGCCATTTAACATTTGACTAGAATGAGTTAAATGAACGACATTTATAAGAACAAAACCACCGACTTATTGTCGCTAAACAAAAATATTAAATTTTACGATAACTCCATAAAAATCTAAAAGGAATTGTTTGTGCAGAAGTGCAATCATTCAGCGGTGCTTTAAAGCTAATTTGGTTAGCTTAGGAAAAGTTCCGTCAGTGCTCCTCAAAGAAATAAAACTGCTTTAAAAGGTATGAAAACTGTTTTACATACTTACATACAGATGGCATAGTTCGAGTTTTTGTATCAGTAGCTTACAAAAATCGATTGAAATTCACAATTTATATAATCGATTTATTAAATATCGATTATTATGACTAAGAAGGTCGATTCGATTCGTAGCTGAAGAAGCCAACAAGCAAAAAAAATACGTATTGCTCGGGTTACCTATCCATTTTTTCTGCTCCACTTTCCTTTTTTTTGCGGAATTTTTACTACTTGTTATCTAACTTCCTCCGCACGTCTTTACTCTTTTTTTTATTAAAAATCGATTATAAAAATGCCGTCAAATAGGTTAAATATACACCTCCTACGCATCGCTATCATCAGTTCATAAAGGATCAAAGTCAGCACAACCCTCTGATTGTGAGAAAAAAATTAGTTACAAACATGAATAGAGAAATTAGAACGGATCAAGTCAGCCAAACAGGCCCATACAATTAGTTGATAGACATTATTTCCTATCGGTAGTTAGCATCCATGTCCATCACTACAACTATCTAATTTTTTACTCCTAAAATGTTTTCATCAAAAATTCAAAATCCTCTGAAACGTCAACAAACGAAAAAAATAGCTTTAGCAGTACTTTCCAAAATATAGAGGAGCCAAGAATTACCGGACAGACCAACGGAAACATCAAAAAAAACTCGCATTTTCGCGATTACAATACTATCTCGCCCAGTTGCGCAGGAAGTAAAATAATCGATTAATTTTAATAAGATCCCTTTTATGTACTCCTAACCGTGTTTTTGCCTCGATAGTTAAAAAAAACGTACCTTAGTGAGTTCGTAAACAGCTTCGAAGCCATGGTTGACGCACTGCGACAAAAGCTGCGCGAATTCCGCGTTGTTGAAGATGCGTAACGAACAGCCGGCTGGAATCTTGCAGACGGTCGACGGATGGAAACCGTGATGGTGGTTGCAATTGCGAGATTGGACGAATATGGCGGAGTCCGAGAGACATTCGGCGTACACTTCGCCGTTTACATAGTACAAATGCACACCTGAAACAGAACAAAAAGAGATGCCGTCAAGAAGGTTGATTGCCCATTTCACGCGCAACGCTGTCATCAGTACACAACAAAAAACTAAATGGATCAACCGAGTCAAAAAGGCCCACATAATTTGTAGCTAGTCCCTATCCATATGATAACACTGGACAACAAATTTTAGTTTTTTAATTGTATCTTGTGGGAAAAGTGCACTTCTTTGTTAATTTTGGGGCGCTGAATCCAAAAATGACAATGAAATAAAAAAATTAGTTGCGGTTTAGAAAAAAAACTTTTTATTTTTAAGGATATATTAAAAAAAGTAACAAGATTCATATACTTATAAGAATCACTATATGCGCTGTCTTTTTGCTGTTCTTTTATGGAGCATCTCTACCAAGAGTCCAACAGTAGTCTGCAAGCATGGAAGGATTCCACTTTCCCTGGTACCTTTTTTCCATTGTTGAAATATCCTGATGAAAACGTTCGCCGTGCTCATCACTTACGGCTCCGCAATTGTCAGGAAAAAAGTCCAGGTGTGAGTGTAGGAAATGTATCTTAAGAGACATATTACAGCCCATCTTTTGATACGATGACAGCATATTTTTGACAAGGGTTTTATAGTTGTCAGCTTTTCTATTTCCCAAGAAATTAGTGACCACCGGACGGAAATCATTCCAAGCAGTTTTTTCAATACCTGTTAAAGTGTTTTCAAACTGTGTATCTTTCAAAATATTTCGAATCTGTGGCCCAACAAAAATACCTTCTTTAACCTTTGCCTCACTTAGTCTTGGAAATTTCTGACGCAGGTATTGAAAAGCTGACCCATCTCTATCTAATGCCTTGACAAAGTTTTTCATTAGGCCCAACTTGATATGCAGTGGTGGTATTAAATTTTTTTTCGAATCTACTAATGGCATATGCTGTACATTTTTTTGACCTGGCTCTAGGAATTGACGACCAGGCGAGTTTTGTCTGGTGTAATGAAGTGCCTTTGCCCGACTGTCCCATTCACACAAAAAACAGCAAAACTTTGTGTAGCCTAGCTGCAGCCCAAGCAAAAGTGCAACAGCTTTCAAATCGCCACAAATATGCCATTGGTGCTCATCGTATTTTATGCATGTCAATAGGTACTTCATATTGTCATATGATTCTTTCATGTGAACTGCATACCCTACAGGAAGAGATGGTAAAATATTTCCAATATGCAATAACACTGCCTTTAAACTCAATGTTGAACTGTCTATAACCAATCTCCATTCTTCTGGGTTATAGTTTATATTTAAAGCCGCCAGTAAGCCGTTAATGTTACTGCAGAAAACCAAGTTATTCTCCATATTGAAAAATGGTTCTAAGTCTTTGTGGCGTTTACGAAAAACACATACCGAAACATCGTCTTCTAACAAGTTCCACTGCTGCAGTCTTGATCCAAGTAACTCTGCCTTACATTTTGGAAGTTCTAAATCTCTTACAAGATCATTTAATTCTGACTGTGTTATTTTGTGCGGTTCGTGGCATGACGTGCTCGGTATAAAATCAGGATCTCTTGACGTTGATGGCATATCTTCTTCCTGACGAATCACTCGATCGCCATGATCTGATTTGTTTTCTGATTCGCAAGTGTAGGATTCGGGGGTTTTGGAATAGGATTTTCGTCACTGTGAGGCACAGGTCTCATCGCAGATGGTATGTTTGGGTAGTTAATAACCGATTTTTTTTACCCTTATGGGGAATATTACCAGACGAATGGCGAAAAATAACCCCATCCACTTTAGAAAAATCAGTTGCGCGTTTACCGATCATTTGCCAGGCTGTAATTAAAAGTAAAGGACGACATAATGGTGACTCAAAAATATTATTTTGATAATAAATAGTTGTATTTTGTTAAGAATTAAGAAAATAAATGGTTCATACACATATTGTAATGTTTTTTTTTAATAACCTCCATCAGTGTTCTTGCTTACTTTTGACCGGTAGTGTATATCTACCTATGTCCGTTGCGTTCAACGTGTGTGTTGAAAATATTTCTCTGTATGATATCAAATTTTAAAGGCAAATATGTATAAAAGATGCTTCAACTGCCGGGGTTGGAAGCGATTAAATGTATTAGAACCAACAAATTGAAATATGATGTTAAAAGTTATAGGCGGTTATAAGATTAGCGGACAGATCTACGGAAATAACAGTGTTTTGTGATGTACATGTCATATAACATCAAAAAAAAAAAACATAATACATATATCATTTATAAAATTTTTCGCGATTAGAATACTTTCTTGCCCAATGGCGCAGGAAGTGAAATGGATGTATAGGCTGTGCATAAAGTATGAAAAGGACTAAATATCTCAAGAAATAATTGGAAAATTTAAACACGGCAGGGGTGCTGGCGGCTCAAAGCATAGTTTAAGTGAGAAAAGTGAGATTTTCAAGAAAAGTAGTGAGAACATAAAAAAGTGAGTTAATTTTCTGAGAAATTGAATATCATAATGCCAAATTTACACGGATAATATAAATAAGAATGTGTGAAAAAAAAACCGGAATAACTCATATAAGGTATTTATTACTGCTTTATTGACGTGAACAAAAGTAATTATTCATATGTATGCACATTTTGTGATCAAACGAGTACAATGACTTTTTTCATAAATTTCACGATAAACTAGGGCAGTGTGTTTCCAACACAGAAATTGAACCAGGTTTATCATAAAAAAAAAACGCTATAGTATCGACTTACCCTTTCCTATATGCCGCCTGGTATTCTCAATGGTGGAATTCCTGTTGACATTACTCAACTGCCCCAAGCAGAATCTGTCGCTGTTGTTGCTGGGATTTGTAAACCCGTCCACGATGACCGACGTGGAGTGACAATGAAACACCTCCCCCACCCTGCTGTTGAGTTCGTAGTAAGCTATCGAAGCCCAGAAGGGCTGCTCTTGGTACGCCACTGGCTGAACGTCCGAATGGGTGCTTAACGGGGGTTCCGGGCTCGGGTTATTGTTAGTGTTCGAGTTGTTTTCATCAGTGGGGCTGTATGCAGGGGGCGGGGTTTCGGCCAAGGTGGCGTACGGAGATTGAGGGTTGTTTGAGTTCACGCTGCCTGGGCTGGATACGTTAGAGATCGGAGAACTGGAATAAAAAAGAAGTGTCAAGTAGGCTGACTTATCACGTGCCAAAATCACGTAACCTTTTTTTTCTATTTATCACTTATCCGTAATTTTAATTTCTCTCCATCGATAATAGAGTGCCCATTCCTAGGCCAAACCCTTTTCAATGATGTTCTTTTGGCAAATTTAATAGTTTATTGATTGTATAATTTGTATCTTTCTTTCTCAGCGGTTCAGTATGGTGTTAACGTTCAGCAAAAAACTCTGTAGTTTTTCTCCGTTAGTTGGTTTCCTATAAAACATATCTTCTTCAAAGCCACTCAAGATACCTTTTTCTAGAACGTTACGTGTTCTGCGTGATTCGCTTTTCTGTTTCCGTTGAGGTGTGGTGCAGGGGTCGTTTCGTCATTTTCCAGACTCTGGGATATTAGGCCCCAAGCGCCAATTCATAGACTAGCACCATTTTTTTGTGTAACTTAAGTTTAGTCATTTTGGTTTGGGTGCTTCGTCTTCCATTTTTTTATGGGATTTTGACCCTCAGCGTCAATAGAAACAGAAGAAAATCATCATCCTTTCTCCTCCAGTTGGTTGCATCTTGTTGCAGTTTTGCAAATTCGTGGAAGCCATCCCATTGAAAAATAACCCTGATGTGAACAGGTTTTTTTTAGTACCATAATTTTTGGCAACGAGGCAAGCAGCCCCTGCCCAGTGACGTGCCCACTACTGGCCACTTTTCGACCAGAGTTGAGGACATCTCGGCCGCGCCTGACAAAGAAGACAATTTTATTTGATATTTAATTAAAAACATAAATAAAGGAGGTTGATGTCCCTGGAAATGGATTACTGGAGAAGAAGTTGCCGAATTTCCAGACTAGAGCATGTTAGGACAGAAAGAATTAGACAAATTATGTAAGTAGACGACAACATCTTCGAAACGATTGAAACAAAAAGATTACTTTGGTATGGTCGTCTTCAACGTACGGATAATAATAGATGGCCAAAAAAGTCTATGAGTGGCTACCACCGTCGCAAACGTGTTAGACCTCCAAGCAGTTGGAAGCAAGATGTTGCAAATCGTATCATTCCCGATGCCAGAATGTTTTCTAGAATACACAGAAAACTACATGAAACTGGGAGTTTTAGCATTGTCAATAGTTCCAAAGCTGTTTTAAACACAATTGAGGTACATCGAGAAAAAAGCACTAGGAAAATTGCGGTAAAACTTAGTTTCCCATTTTCTTATTTGAAAAATAGATGTTGATAATTTAATATAACCCTATCATATTCAAAGGGTTCAAGCACTACTGCCACGTGATTTTCCATTGCTATTAAGTTTCTGCCGTTGGTTTTTTGAAAAACTTGCTGAAAACCCATTATTTGAAATCAAAATACTCTACTGATCATGTATGCGCCGAAGAAAACCCATACGCAATTACGGAGGCACATCATCAGGAGCAGTTTTCCGTGAATGTGTGGGCTGGAATAGTTGGAGATTTCCTCATAGGACCGTTCTTCCTTCCAGGACGACTGTCACTTTCTTCAAAACGATTTGCCAATTATTAAGAGAAGAAATGTGGTACATGCATGATGGTGCTCCTGCATATTATAGCAATTATGCTAGGGAATTTCTAAGTGAAGCGTTTACGAATCACTGGATAGGACATGGGGGAACTCAATTTTGGGCTCTCAGGTCCGCTGATTTAAATAGTTTAAACTATTTTTTGTGGGGGCACATCAAGACTTTAGTTTATACTACACTGGTTCAAACTGTAGGGGAACCAAGGCAGATAATTTAACTTTCTTGCCAAGCCATAGGAAGTACTCCTGGGCTTTTGAAAGGGTTTCCAATGCATAAGAAAGACAATTGAAGCCAGTATTCTAGCAGAAGGAGGACATTTTCAACAATTATCGTGTTAAAAAATAAATTGTATTAGTTTATTTGATGCCAAGAAATTGTCAAAACTTGTTGCAAGCTTGTTTTTTTTAATTCCCATGCATTGCAAAATTGATAAAATCTCATGTGGTATTTTGTAGGTAAAATGATTTTGTTTAATTTTTAGTCAAGTAAAGACAATTAATTAAAACATCCAAAATGGTTTTTATTTTTTACGCGAAAACGGTGCATCGGAAGGGAAAAAGTCAAGAGGTCAAATTTATTGCGAAATAAATGGGGATTTTTATATTCGGAAAAATCAATGGCGTATGATTTTCTTTAAATCTCCAGTATACATCCCGTACGGACGCCACTGGTAGAAATATTAAAAATATACCTATATTGGTGTTTAGTAGGTGTATGCCAAACTTCATGAAAATATCTACGAGCCCCTTCCCACTTCAGTTGGCCCAACTATTGAAATCTTAGTTTTTTTCTTATCAAACACAAATAATAAAAATGTAGCAGGGTGTTATAGGTTTAAAATATTAACAATTACAGCCGTCAGAATATGTTTAAAATAGTTTAGGGTAGTTAAGGTTTTCAAAATGGGTAGAGGAACGGTTATTGGTGAGAAAATTTTTGAGAAAATAAATTGTTTTAGAAGTAAATAGTTTCGTCATGTTTAGTCATATTTTGGTACAAATCTTGGTGGGCCAACTGAAGTGGGAAGGGGCTCGTAGAACAGTATTAAAGTTATGATAAGAAAACGAATTTTTTCTCGTTGTTCGTATAAACTTTTCTTCCTAAAATGAGCTGAGGAATCATATCCTATATTTCCAGCCACCAATTAAATTACACCCTGTATTCTCGAGAGTATCTAAAAATCGTCCAGAGATACAAGAAATTTTCATTAAATGTCAAAGTTGGATAAACTCTTCTGAATAAAAGGAGCCCTGAAGTATGGCATACATTTTTCTGAAACATAAGCAACAGGAAACTGTTTCTTTACACCTCAAATCCAATCAAATTATAATACATTCTTACCTAGGTGGTATGTTTGCAGTGAACCCACTTGTAGAGTAGCTGACATTATGAGGCATATTGGGCTCGACCAAATTCTGGAAAGGTAAGAGTGAATGTCCAGGCACAAAATCATTGTGCCTAGGCACCAGGACTGGCGGGAGTACAGGACTCTCCACCCTTTTGTAGTGGTACGGGTTGATGCAGACTTCTTTTTGTTTGGCCGAAAATGGATACTGGCAATGTTCCAGCGGTTTCAGTTCGTGGTGGCTTTGCAAATCCGGCCAGCGCCATACTCGACAGTAGATGACGTGCGGAAGGCCTTTGCGATGAGATACCTGAAGCAAAATAGTAAGACAGACGTCTTATTTTTAAGAACAAGTACAGTCTGTGAAAATTAAAAGTTCGCCTATCTTGGCTTACCAAACAAGATTAAAAATTGCTTTGACATAGACTTAAAATACTCTTCAGGGTCTATCGAAATCGAACAGCGCGCCACCTGTTACCAGGCTCGATCACTGCGGGAGGATACAGCAGGTATCTGTTGGAACTGTGAAAATTTCAGTTAATTTTTTATATATTATTATTTTTATATGATTTAACCATTCATATGGATACGGAGAAGCTAGGATTACTTTTCTGAAACATTCCAAGCCAGCCAAATATGGATCCTGTTGTAAAATAAATTGTGCAGGAGATATATATATATATATATATATATATATATATATATATATGTATATTTTGAGACAATTGTAGCTCCTGATGATGATGGCTTAGCTCGTCGAAAGCTAGAGATTAATAAAGTATAAAGAGTCCTCATCGCTTTAATCTTGTCGGATTTTTCAAACACACACATATATATTCTTTAGAGTGAATGCAAAGGCCCCTCATTATCAAACTTCAAACTTATAAGAAGAATTGGGGAAGAAATGAAAACACCTTCAAAATGCCCAGTCTGTTGCAACAGTTAATTCGTTATTGTAAAAAATCGTTCATTTTTTGCCGAAAACTGCATCAGAGCAAATATGAAATAGTAGCCAAAAGTTGAAGCCTCTTTAAGCATTGAAAATGACCAAATCAGGCTTTTGCAAATAGTGAATCGCTTCTAACCAAAAATGGTATTTTCAATGGCTTTGAAGCTTTTTAATGGAAGTTCTCTAAGCTTAGTTCATTTTAAAGCTATTTTTAACCTTGTTTGTTAAACCAAAATTGATGAACCTTTGACCTTCGCAAATGTTACAAGAACATGAAAATTTTCTAAGCAGGATAACGTAATCTCTATACTCAAGTTCATTCTGTAGGCTTTTATAGCATAATTTTTCTGTGGTTGTGAAGTTGTTGTTCAGTTTTTTTGTCATAGTATGTTTTTTAGACCAAATTCAAATGTTATAGACTTTTTCTATCCAACAGAATGCATCTGTATGGGAAAAAATAAATATTTTGCAATGTCTATGAAAAGTTATAATAGCCGCAATTTTATTATGTATCACTACAGATAAATGATTCTCAAAAATGTGATGAGCTATCTTAATTTTAAGATTTAATAAAAACAAATATGTTATGAATTATTCAATTCTCAAAATTTGTCCAATTACCTACGCCATTTCTATAGTTGAATTATATTTTGGAACAACAATGTTCATAAACACTCTGTAGCAATTTAAAATCAGTACAGTGACTCAACTCCATTTTTGTATGTTTTTAAAATTGTAACTTTTATAGGTAATTTATATAGGCTAGTTAATTAAAAGTTAGCTTACTTAGGTTTGAAGATGAAGTACCTGAATAGTCATGTCCAAAAGATGTTACTATTCAGATAATAGTACATTACATACCTAGGCTAAGAAGTATGCTATCGTTGGTTATGCATAGAGTGCTGAGAGATTTTTAAGTGCCAAAAATTGCATACTTGCAAAGTATGTAATGTACTATTTTTCACCACCAGCACTTATCACTATATTTGATCAGAGCTTAGATATCTTCACATATTAGTGTTATAATTTACCATAACCTCATATATTACTTTCAACATCAAACCTGATTATCTCAGAAAAATAGAAAATTTTTAATAAAGGCGGTCATAACATGGCTCTTAGCAATAAAGTTATTATTAGTAATTATTATTAAGGGCCATATCATCTTGTTTACTACAATTGCAGGATGCCTTTAGGGCTCATTGATTTTCATAGTATTTTTTCTCCTTCCGAAAGGCTGAGATACTCCCAGCTTTCTACTGTTCCAAATCAGTGTCAGTGCTCTCCTATTGTGAGGATATGTTCTATTTGAACTTCAAGCTATATAACAGATGATATAAATCAAAATCATGAACAATTTGATGCAAATAGATATTTGTAACATAACCTCAAAATAGAGTGCTGACACGGAACAGTAGAAAACTACGAAAATCAAGGAGGCCATAAAGGTGTCCTACAATTGTAGGAACGGCTGACGATACAACCCTTAGAACCTATCATTCTAAACTTTGCCAAGGAGGATTACTCTTTGTAAATGCAGTAAATAAAGATGACCATTATTATTATTAGCATAATTCAGCAGCTATGACATTTCCTAGTCATTTCACAAATACTATAAATATTTAAATGAATGCTGTTACCCTGCTAGCTTTAGAAGCTGTTTTCTGATGTTATCCCAATTGCAAAGGTGTACCAGGACAGCTAAATAACAAAATAACAAGTTATACCTGACATCAAGCATTTCTCACTTGAATTCAAATAAGTATTTAAAAATATGAGGATTATATGTTAAAGTGGCATAACAAAGTTACCAGAACACTTAATTGACATTCATTATTGTTGTTTTGATATCTAATATTTTATGCAAAAAATCTTACCGAACTATAAAAGTTAATACAAGAAACAACAAAAATGGTAAATGGTAATCAAAAATTTCCCTATCTTATTTTATCAAAAAGTTCCATTCTCCTAAACCTTATTTCACAAAAATATAAAAATCACAATAACTGTCAAAATTTCTGTACCTGTAATCTTCCATCTAAGCTGCGAGGTATTGTAACACACTTGCTGGGAGTCCCAGGACACGAAAGTGCCCTTTCCAACTCCTCAATAGCCCCCTTCCGTTTTTTCAACTTTTTCACAAGACTATCCACAGCCTTCTCTGCCCATTTTTCCTCTTCGTCACCCTGTTTCCATCCGAGCAGCTTTTTTACAGCGGGGCTCGTGAAGGAAAAGAGACTATTCAAAGTTGAAATCGGCCCGCTACTTGACGATTCTCCTTCGTCGGTATCCATTCCCAAGCTGAAAAAAAGCGGGATACCGTTAGTCACTCGCACATCAAAGGAGCCCATGTAAATAAATACACATTACACTTTTGTTTCTGCGAAAAATGCAAGTGACTCACAAATCTAAATCTAAAAACTGAGTGGCATAACATTGATAATCCGTCGATGCCGTCGAGATAGCCATGGTCAGATTATCAGAGTTAATCAAAAGTCAATACACTCGCTGAACGGCACTCTAGATGTTATTCACTACAATCCGGTACAGCGGCTGGTACTAACAGCGCATTTCCTGGTACTGGTATTTATCAGAGCAACATTTTTTCGCGATCAACAAAAATAAAACAGACATGAGAGGTACAAGTCGATGCGTTACAGCGCTAGATTCTCGCTTGTTTTTGAGGCCTACGAGGATTTCTTCATAGCTTACCTTGCTCGTTTTTTGGTAAACAGTTTTTACAAACGGATTAGATTCAATTTCATCACAAAAGTTGAGGGAGAAATGCAAAAAATATCAACACAAGCAAATATGACGCCTGCTGCTTTTGCAGATTAGTTCGTCCCGTGGCCGTCGTGGCAGTTTGGTGGCACTGGTATATCCTGTTTTGTGCTTATCTCTAATCACGAAACCACGGAACAGGCGAGTAAGTCGACAGCTGTCAAATGCACAATGTTCTATGACAGAGACGGATAAGAAGTAGATTGACCACCTATTGTCTACATCCCAGGCATCACAATAAACCTAATCATAGCCCGGTCATTTTAGATAACGAAATGATATAGAATTTCTACAGGGTGGACATAGAAGTACAGGTCAAATCATATTAGCAAACTTCCTCGAAATAGTTGTAAAGTCTGGTTTTATTGGCACACCAATTTTTGTGGGAAAACTTTTTATTCGACAACAAAGAATGAGAAAACGTGTTTTTTGGGATTCAATCGAAAGTGTTGGCAGGAACGAAAATACTTTTCAAATAAGATTTTTAGGTATTTATGATACCGACAAAATGAGACTACACGTAAATAGATCCTACTAATCGCAAAAATGTTATGGCCGAAAAACGAGGCGAAATGCAGGTTTTGGCACTTCAAGACTCAATATGTATACGAGCACAAGCCCCGAACTATGGACGAGTTGAAGGAGGCAGTTCGCGTGGAAGAACTTTCAAGAACGCCTCCGTCAAAAACGACTGATGTGATGTTCCACACTTAATTGTGACAGATGTTACTTCATTGTGAAACCGAATCCGTCAATAAATTTGTTTTTGAGTAAAAATTACCGTATTTTGTGATTTCCGAAAAACCGTCAGACCTTTGTGCCGGACCCTGTAAAGAGTCAATCTACTTGACGCCATTTTTTTGGCATGATATACTCTCATCCTTCGAAATATTGTCGCAGTATATTCGACATCGAATTTAATCACAATGTAATAGCTTTGTTAGGTACAATAACAAGGCGTCGCGGGTGTCATGACACTATGTAACTGTACATCTACTTACGGCGTGGTTATTAGACATGAACGTACAGTAAAAAGAATGTAAATCGTACATCTATGAAGATTATTACGCATGACTGTGATGGGTTTTCCCTTAAAACTAAGTAATAGCCAGATCTATTTCAAAATGATACAGCGGAAAAAGAGGAACCGCCAGGAAAAGTGTGAAATCCTGTAAAGATAAGTGGTACAAAGATTACAAAACAAAGGAGTTTGCTTGCTAGCTAGTTACTGTAACCCAACTGGATATACTGTGACCCCCATATACACGCTCTAACGCACTGTAACCAGCCTTGATCCTTTAATCATAGTCTAGACACAGGGCCTTGCATCTAGCTTCCTGCTGTTGGGTTTGTGGTTCTTACTATCTGAAACCGTAGCTTTGCCAGGTCTTCACAGTGACACAGGAGGTTTTCTTATGCTTTCTGCAGAAACGACACGTGGCCTCTTCTGCCAAACCCAAGAGACTCATATATTTATATTACAGTGTCCTGTCAGGAGACCAACTTAGGCCCTTATGGGCCTTCTATTAAGTCCGAGTAGGTCCTCTGAAAATGCGGGCCTTAGTTCTTTGATGAACTACTCTTTTGCCTGCTTTTTGGCTGTTCCACTATTATATACTAAGTGACATATAAATCTGAACACCCAGTTTAAATGGTTTTATTTTAATAAAAGTTGGTGAATGTATTTATCTTACTGTAAATAACAGGTGAAAAAATGTTCAGCCTTATCATTTGGACATTCCGGTTTTTATACTGCTTTTTTTTAATTCACTAACGCTCTAAAAATGAATATTTCAGCCGCAGTAAAGAATCAACGTTGGCGGATTTTGGTTCTTGCCATCCTTTACGATCGGTTACGATGCCTAGAGTACGGAGACCTGTACGATTTCGTCAACTTAGTGAGTTTGATAGGGGCCGTATAGTGGGACTTCGGGAAGCTGGACTTTCTTTTCGGGCAATTGCAGTTACAGTGCAAAGAAGTGTAGACACTGTGGTTAGGTGTTGTCAGGCATGGCTTCGAGAAGGCCGTACGCAAAGAGCAAGGGGCACTGGACGCCGCCGTAGAACAACAGACCGTGAAGATCGCCGCCTAAGATTATTGGCCTTAAGGACCGTTTCTCCACTACCAGGTCCATTGCAAATGAATGGTTTGCAGAACACGGAAGACCTATTGGCATGCGAAGTGTTTACCGACGATAGAGAAGTTTTGGCTTGTTTTCATACCGGTCACACTGGGTCCTCCCTTTAACTCGAGAACACCGACGTAATCGCCATGAGTGGTGCAGACAACGGTCACTCTGGGATCAGGAATGGAACAGTATTATCTTTAGTGACGAGTCTCGATTTTGTTTAGGCATGCACGATGGTCGTGCCAGGGTTAGAAGGCGACGTGGTGAAAGGAGGAATCCACAGTTTTTTGTTGAAAGACATGTTCATCACACTGTTGGAGTTATGGTTTGGGGTGCTATAGCTTATGGTTCCAGGACACCTTTAATCTTCATCAGAGGTAACATGAACACGAAGTTCTAGAACTCCATCTTTTACCCTATCTTGACACCCTGGCAGATCCAACTTTCCAACAAGATAATGCCCGACCACATGTTGCAAGAGTCACAATAGACTTCTTTCAACATAATGATGTCACATTGTTACCATGGCCACCTAGATCTCCCGACTTATCCCCAATTGAGCACGTGTGGGATATGATGGGTAGGAGATTGCTCAATTTGCAATGAGATACCACAGGAGGACATTGACCACCTGATCAGAAGCATGTCTAGGCGCGTTGGAGAATGCGTAGCACATCAAGGTGCATCCACACATTATTAAAGGTCAAAGGGCTTTAAAGCAGTGCAATCATTTTGAAATTTTTATCATTTACTTATTTTGCTTCATTAAGTACTTATACAAAATTTTATTAAAATAAAACCATTTAAACTGGGTGTTCGGATTTATATGTATAGTTTATTGTCCTATTAGGTCATGTTACATGAAATTAGACTTGCCAATATGAATTTTAGGGTTGAGGGCTCTGTTAGATGTCTGCCTGCTCATCGTAACAATATACGTGAAACCGTGGTTGCAATGCACTTCAGCGGTAAAACCACCTAACTAGGATTTATGCTTTTAAAAGACAATGAAGGCTCACGAAATAATTGACAAAACCAGTTCAAAAGCAGCTTTACCAAAGTTCTGCCAACATTTATGATATTTGACAGATGAGTCTGTCTTATATCTGTTTGACGACGACGTAGATGAGAAAACTAAAGTAAACATTGTTGCTAATGCAGCCACCACGCCGTCACGCGCTTCGAGCTCCTCAGTTTCCTTAGTGATTTGCATGAGGATCATTAAATTTATGGCGATCAAGAGACACAGGCACAGTGTTGCCATACGTAGCGGAATTCCGCTATTTGTAGCGGATTATTTTGAGAAGAGCGGCGTAGCGGCGGTAGAGCAAATTAGCCCAAAATGTAGCGGAATTTATTACATACAAAACTATCATATTTATTTCATTGTTTTAACGTTAATAACGTTCTAAATCCTAAATAGGCAGTGGCTAGAGTCTGATTTATTATCACATTAATAATAAAATTGGTGCATTTGGTGCCGCTTGAGCCATCTAGGAACAGAGAAGAGAATTATTCCACTTGCCTTGTTTTTTCAATAACAGATGGCGTACGTACTGCTTTTAATACTAATCGTTTCTAACAGGTCTCAGCAGGCAGACATAATATTAGGTTTTTCGCTTTGTATTGTATTTTTCAGCTCTGGGTATATACTGTTTCGTTTCGTTTATATTAGTGTTCTTATTTTTGTGTTGATCATTTTATTGATATATCATTTGCTGCAGATTTTAATATTATATGGTAAGTAACAAAACTGCTTAAATATCTAACATATTATAGTTTGATCCAGAAATAAATCTTAGTCGCGAAATTTGTTTTTAACGCTTTTTCTTCTGGAAAATAAGAATAATGGAAAGGCGACAGCAGACCATTAACGATTTTTTTGATAAAAATCCTTCTAAAAAACAAACGGTGAAACCAAACGTGGCCGTACCATCCACTTCGACTGCATCTGTGTCGGACTCGGAGCATCCCGAACCTGAATACAGACAAAATAGAAGAGCGGAATCTAGTGGAATCAGGTCTGAGCCTAATAATTCGACTTGCGAATCTCAGGATAACCAACCTGTTAAGAAAAAGACACGAAAACAAATGTTTACTCCATCATGGCTAGAAGATCCGTTATTTAAAGGCTGGTTGGGACTTATTGAAAATGACAAGTTTAAAGCTTGTAATCAAATAATGTACAAGCAATTTCGAATGTAAGAACGTTAGATAGCACTTTTCAGTCTCGGGAAGCACGTGAGTTGGAAAAACGGCAAATATTTGATTGCTTAAGATATAGTCTTTTAGTCATTATATAAGTTTTAGAACTGTTGATCATATAACAGGAGTTAGTCAATTATGTTTTAAAGACCCAGATCTCTCTAGCTCACTTAAATTAAAAAGATCCAAATGCATAAGTATAATAAAAATGTGCTGGCTCCTGTTATTAAAGACGAAATAATTTCAGAATAATTTTATTGGATGAGAGTACAGACCTGAGCAATACAAGACTACTATGCATTCTTGTATATTCATAAAAATTCAATTAAAACCCATTTATTAGATATAACTAAAATAAACGCAGATGAAGGTACCGCCAAAGGTTTATATTCTCTTTTTAAAAAATGCGTTATATCCAATCAAGTAAAAATTACCAATATTGTTCCGACAACGCTAGTGTTATGATGGGCAATAACGAATCTTTCAAAACTTATATTTTAAAAGATAATCCTAACATAATTGTCAATGGCTGCATTTGCCACTCTGCTCATTTAGTGGCGGTGGCGGCAGCTGAAAAGATTCCAAGCTACGTTGAAGCTCTTTTACAAAACTTATATTCTTACTTCTCAAGAAGCCCAAAAAGGCAGTGTGTTCTTGAAGAATTACAGGAATATTTGAAAAAGTCAAAATTAAAAATTTTAATCCCTAGTAAAACAAGGTGGCTTGCTTTATCCAAATGTGTTGATAGAGTTTTGGATCAGTGGGACATCTTGCTTAGCCTATTTAGATTAGCTTCCATTGAAGACAAAAATCCTGTAGCAAATGTAATACTTAACGAGTTACAGAATCCATTTGTTAAGGCGTATTTAATGTTTTTTAAATTCGTGTTGCCCATTTTTAACCAATTTAATGCTCTCTTTCAATCAGAGAAAGTTATGCTCAATATCATGTCAATAGAGAGTGAGCGATTTGTACGTCATCTATGTACAAACTTTACGCGACCAGAATATTTTAAAAATGAGAAATTATATAATCTAAATCCTAATGATCCCCACTGCTTATTACCAATTGAACAAGTGAATGTTGGTCCGCATACAATGGATGCAATAAAACACTGCAATAACACGACAATCGAACAATTTAAATTAAAATGTGTCACATTTTACCAAAAATCGGTAGAAGAGTCCCTTAAAAGATTTCCTATCAAAGACAACTTCTTTTCAGAGCTAAAGTTTCTCTCACCGGTTGATGTGATGAACAATCGTCTTATTATAAGTGATACCTTTCATGACGCCGTTTTAAAAAAAATTGGCTTTCATATTGAAACCGAAAAGGCAATTTTGGAACTAGAAAAATATGTGTTTATTTTAGTGATAGTGAGAAAGAGGAAATTTTAAAAACAAAAAGTAATGTCATTGAATTTTGGTCGTTTGTAAACGACCTCAAAAATTTTAATGACGAATATTTATTTCGCAATATAGGTAAACTGGCTCTAATCATTTTAACATTGCCTCATGGAAACGCTGATGTTGAGCGAACTTTTTCTTATATGCTTGATTACAAAACAAAAAAAAAAGAAATAAAATAATACCATCAACTTTGTCTGCACTACGTACAATTAAATTAGACTTGGAATCAAAAAAACAGTGCTGTTTATCCTATAGATTTAATGAGAATCATTTAAACAAATATAAAAAGAATTTATATAATGTAAATAAGGAAGAACAAGCTGAAGAAGTAGTAATTTCTGATTCTGACTGTGAATAAAATAAGCAAACGTAGGCGTTTCCACGTTTCCGCTTCTTCTTTGTCCTTATTTTTTGTTTTTTTTTCTATTAAGATTAAGATATTGGTGATAGTTTCTATTTTTTTACTAATTCCTAATTCTAAACCAAAGACAGTTTTATTTTTTTAGAGGTATATTATTTATGTTTTTACGAAAAATTGCAATTATATTATGTTACTGTTTGTATTTTTAGTAGGGTTTTTAGACAGTGTTTAAAAAAAAGTAAATATGTAAAAAATATATTTGTTGTTTATTTTAAGCCTCCCCCCCCTTAAATTTTTAGACCGTAGCGGCGTGTAGCGGAATTTTGCGATACGTGTGACGGATATTTTAAACTTCGCTCTGGCAACACTGCACACGCAGCAGCGGTGGCCGCGGTAGAAGACTCTTCGGTCTCCTGATCAGTCGCCGTGCGCTGTGCGGGTTCGAGTCCCGAGAAATTTTTCTCTTGGCTATGGATGTTGTGATTGTCCGTAGGTGGTAGACGGTCTGTGACGAGGAGGTACCACCCGGCGGATCTCGTAGGCTGAGCCAGAATGTGTGCATGTTGCATGCACACGTGTTCTCTCGCCAGAGTCCGTGTGGCGTTCCCCCTTTCCCATGTGTCCGGCTATAGCCCCACAGTACGCAATAGGTGCTTAGGCCTGAGGCCTTCGTGGTAGTTGGAGTATAAAAAAAAGAAAGTCCACGGTAAACGCTAAAAAAACTTGTCAGCCACCGTACACCCTACTGTAGGTACCTCTTCTCCAGTCGGCAGGGAGACTGAAAATAGCCGAAAGTCATTCCCCGCAAGTTTTCTGTCGACGTCCTTGCCCCAAAAACCATGATCTTCAAAAAATCCGTTCGGTCGCTTAATTCGACATTCCTTTCAACAGCCGTCGATAAGCAGTACCAGAACCGCATACCAATAACGAGGCACCACGCTACCATGCAGGTACCATCGTCCTGAGGTGGCTGACTTCAGCACAGTTTCATGGTACCGTTACCAGCCGTTGCTCGAAACGTGACGTCATCCGTGGTACCGCCGGAAAACAATCAGGTACTCGGTACTGTACGATAATCTTTCTCCGCCAGATACGCTATAGAGTACCACCTTGATTTTGTCGCAATTTATTTTGTCCGCCTGCCACCTCGATAAGATGTGTAGTACCTGTGCGTTGTGACAGTGCAGTTCGAGCAGAGTACCATTCATACTTTTTTAGCTAGTCAAAAATTAGTACGGTAAGTTTTAAAGACTTTTTAGCAGAATGGCTTTGACGGTGTTTGCCACGCAATTCTGGAAGTTCATTTTTAAGTCGAAAACGCCTCTCAAAAATATTTGCATTTTGAAAAATAAATTAAACTTTTTAACCAAACACTACATCACCCTCTGCCCCCCGAATGACAAAATAATAGGTTTTTTAAAAGGTCTTTCGATGTCCTTTATTTCGACCTTTGATTTTTCAAAATCAGTCGATTCGTTTTCGAGAAAAATAGAAAAATCTTTATTTATCTCAATTTGTTCACATGGAAAAGAAAAGCACACGAAAATATCACTTTTTATTTCAAAAAGTGTTCAAAATGTTGTCCGTTAGGGTTTGCCGAATCTACAATTCGTTTATAATTTGAAACAGAAGCTACCAACATAAACAGCAACTCGGAAGATTAGACATGGCAACAACCAAATAACAACCCGATTTTCTTCCGCATTTTTTGTATCAACACGGATATCCTGGGCGAACTGTATTTATTGTTATACCTGTTTAGTTATTTGTTGCTAAGGGAAAAAAAGAATTTAATTTCCTGTCAGTTAGCTTTGTGACAATCTCGGGATAGTGAAAATTAATTTATTGATTCAAATTTTACTTCCAAAATGGTTTACACACTAGCCGAAAGAGTGAAAATGATTCTAATTTATGGTACCCAATATCAATTTGCTCGGCAAACTGCCGTCACGCTTAACGGATAGGTATGTTTTGGACGTTGTTACTAAATTTACTCAAACTGGATCTGTTGCAAATCATAAACGTGATCATCAGAGAGTCTTTGATGAAGCCGCTCAAGTTGAGGTTTTGTATTATTTTGGAATAAGCCCTAATACTTCATTACGCAGAATTGTTGCTGCGACTGGGCTCTGTACACACAGTTACTAAACTCCATAAATTTCATCCATTCAAAATGAAAATATTGCCTATAGAATGGCCTGCTAGATCTCCTGATTTGACGCTATTAGAGTTTTTTGTACGGGGAGATTTGAAATATATTGTTCTTACTCTCCATCCTGAAAGTTTGGATGAACTTCGTCAAAGCATCATCGATAGCTGCCACGATATTCCACATGTTTTTGAAAATGTCCGTCAGGAATTTGAACATCGTCTATATCATTGTTTCGCCAATAACGGGCAACATTTTGAACACTTATTGAAATAAAAAGTGATATTTTCGTGTGTTTTTGCCAAATATGTTGACGTGTCTCGACGTTTTTTTCTTTTAATCAGTGGTTTTTTATATACTAAGTGACATATAAATCCGAACACCCAGTTTAAATGGTTTTATTTTAATAAAATTTTGTATAAGTACTTAATGAAGCATAATAAGTAAATGATAAAAATTTCAAAATGATTGCACTGCTTTAAAGCCCTTTGACCTTTAATAATGTGTGGATGCACCCTGATGTGCTACGCATTCTCCAACGCGCCTAGGCATGCTTCTGATCAGGTGGTCAATGTCCTCCTGTGGTATCTCATTCCAGGCAACCACCAACTCCTCTCGAAGTGCTTCTAGAGTCTGAGGAGGACGTTGCAAATTGAGCAATCTTCTACCCATCATATCCCACACGTGCTCAATTGGGGATAAGTCAGGAGATCTTGGTGGCCATGGTAACAATGTGACATCATTATGTTGAAAGAAGTCTATTGTGACTCTTGCAACATGTGGTCGGGCATTATCTTGTTGGAAAGTTGGATCTGCCAGGGTGTCAAGATACGGTAAAAGATGAGGTTCTAGAACTTCGTGGATATAACGCTGCACGTTAATGTTGCCTCTGATGAAGATTAAAGGTGACCTGAAACCATAAGCTATAGCACCCCAAACTATAACTCCAACAGTGTGATGAACATGTCTTTCAACAAAAAACTGTGGATTCCTCCTTTCACCACGTCGCCTTCTAACCCTGGCATGGCCATCGTGCATGCCTAAACAAAATCGAGACTCGTCACTAAAGACAATACTGTTCCATTCCTGATCCCAGAGTGACCGTTGTCTGCACCACTCAAGGCGATTACGTCGGTGTTCTCGAGTTAAAGGGAGGACCCATTGTGGCCGGTATGAAAACAAGCCAAAACTTCTCATTCGTCGGTAAATACTTCGCATGCCAATAGGTCTTCCGTGTTCTGCAGACCATTTATTTGCAATGGACCTGGTAGTGGAGAAACGGTCCCTTAAGGCCAATAATCTTAGGCGGCGATCTTCACGGTCTGTTGTTCTACGGCGGCGTCCAGTGCCCCTTGCTCTTTGCGTATGGCCTTCTCGAAGCCATGCCTAACAACACCTAACCACAGTGTCTACACTTCTTTGCACTCTAACTGCAATTGCCCGAAAAGAAAGTCCAGCTTCCCGAAGTCCCACTATACGGCCCCTATCAAACTCACTAAGTTGACGAAATCGTACAGGTCTCCGTACTCTAGGCATCGTAACCGATCGTAAAGGATGTCAAGAACCAAAATCCGCCAACGTTGATTCTTTACTGCGGCTGAAATATTCATTTTTAGAGCGTTAGTGAATTAAAAAAAAGCAGTATAAAAACCGGAATGTCCAACTGATAAGGCTGAAAATTTTTAACTTGTTATTTACAGTAAGATAAATACATTCACCAACATTTATTAAAATAAAACCATTTAAACTGGGTGTTCGGATTTATATGTCACTTAGTATATATATATATATATATATATACAGGGTTACTTTGAAGTTGGGTCATTAATTTTCAGATAATGATTGTAGAAGGAAGATAAACCAAAATATGTGTGTCAAAATAAAAAAAAATATTACCTTGTTTTATAAAGTATCCTCCCGACAAGTATTTCAGTGCGGACCTGTATTTGATCGTGCGGTCTTGGAGCACCGGCATGCCCTCCCCTGTGAGGTCTTAAGTCACCGGATTCACGAGCCCTTTGTACTACAGTAACAAAGGCACGAGGGGTTGGTTGCACTCGATTGGGAAACCGATCCGCATAAATCCGTGATGCCGCGGCAGCATTTTGTAAAGGCTCCCCCCGTAAATAAGAATTTATATGTCACTTAGTATATAATGTTTGGAGCTTTTTTATTAAGTACCTAAATACCACCTTGAGTTTTGCTACAATTTGTTTTATACACATTTTTTATAAGTAGGTTTAAAACAGTGCGAGACTGAGAGCTTATTTGCAAAATGACCACGCAATAACATGAAGACGCTTTTTGGATCACAAACTCCTATAAAACATCCTTTTCCGTACAGAAATACTTACTTCAAATTCTACTAGTCCGATTCATGAGGCGCGCAACTTAAAATACAGGGTGTTTTCAAAGCTGAGCCATTTATTTGAACAGCTTGTAGAACTCCTCGATATACCAAAAATCACTTATATGATAGTTGCATAATAAGAGAGTTAGTGTACTTTATTATTTAAAATTATTTTAAAAAAATCATTATCAAGTGAAACGGTACCGTTTTTGCAAAAACTGTTCAAAATTGTCCCCATTTGTTTGATTAACGCAAAAACTTTACACGGCATTGGTCGAGAGTACCAAGAAATCTGTGTAATAACAACCTGTATATCTAAAGTGAAGCTTTGAGTTTCGCCAATAATATTTTTTGATCACGCGGTAGATTATTCAGAAACGCACAAACTCTGGAGGTCTTTTTCGGCGTATTCTGAGCTGTATGTATCAAAACTCAGTACGGTGAGCTCAAAGGTTTTATTGAAAGAAATAGCACTATAAATTACGCCTATACAAAAAAAAAATATTTAAAAAATGCGAATTCAGAACTCTAAATATCAATTCAAAAATAGTGTTATTGATGGAACTATCAAGAATTTTAAAAATACACAAACCAAAAGCTTCGATATTGCTTTAGCTTAATCTAGGGAATACTGACAGTAGCTCCACAATCAGTATACATATCTATAATTTCTAATTCTAAAGACATGTCACCTGTAAAAATTGGTTCACGTTGTCAGGTAGTATAAAAGCTTAGACTAAAGTGAATAATATACATGTCCAACTATTAAGAAATAACTATGATCACGCTTGAAAATGTCCAGGAAAGCAGAAAATGATACTTAAATAGTGTTTCACTTTAGACTATGTGATCGTAATGACTTTGATTGAGAGAACTACGAAAATCGGTGACATTAATATTTATGTATAAACTATAGGATGTACAAACAGACCATTACTTTTATCTCGGAAATATTCTAGATTGCAAGAGATTAGATTTGGAAGTACTTTTGACGCATGTTGCAACTAACGGATTATTTCCGTCTAGTCATCGTCAAGTACACAATTACACATTCAAGCGATATTCATACATAGATATTTCAAGACATTTGCATATGAACATACAGGGTGATCTTCAATCAAGTATAATTATTGCGAAACGGATGGGTAAATCAGTATTTCAGAAACTTGATTCTGACATACCAAATATACTATACTTCTTTATCATCAAGAATTGCAACAATCGCCTTTTTATTCCAAGCTAGTCGAGAACGTAAGACTTCTCACATTCTAGCTTCACTAACCAACGAGTTCGAGTCTCGTTTTAACAAAGCATTGAATGCCCACACTATGTAAAAAAGTTTCTCCCAACTTCCTGAAAGCGTGGTAATCTGATATGCAGGTCTCGCCTTTGTGACTTTATAACTACATTTGTTAAAAGGTATAATCGACTTGTTCAAACAAAGTTCTCAAACTTTATAAGCTATCTCACAACTGTCTTTTTCCGCCTCATAAATTAAGAATCTGCTTTCAAAAGGTCTCATAGTTGGCGCTGTTTCCAACTGTATGTGGGCATATAGCCACAGCGCCATCTGTATGTATGTAACGTGTTCATTAATCAATGTTTAAGGTTGGAATGTCAAACCTATACAATTCTCTTTTGGTCCGACAAATGATGATACTTAGAGGAATATTTGCATCACTGACAGGTTTTTTGACTCGAAATACCATAACATTTTATCATATATATACTAAGTGACATATAAATCCGAACACCCAGTTTAAATGGTTTTATTTTAATAAAAGTTGGTGAATGTATTTATCTTACTGTAAATAACAAGTGAACAAATTTTCAGCCTTATCAGTTGGACATTCCGGTTTTTATACTGCTTTTTTTTAATTCACTAACGCTCTAAAAATGAATATTTCAGCCGCAGTAAAGAATCAACGTTGGCGGATTTTGGTTCTTTACATCCTTTACGATCGGTTACGATGCCTAGAGTACGGAGACCTGTACGATTTCGTCAACTTAGTGAGTTTGATAGGGGCCGTATAGTGGGACTTCGGGAAGCTGGACTTTCTTTTCGGGCAATTGCAGTTAGAGTGCAAAGAAGTGTAGACACTGTAGTTAGGTGTTGTCAGACATGGCTTCGAGAAGGCCGTACGCAAAGAGCAAGGGGCACTGGACGCCGCCGTAGAACAACAGACCGTGAAGATCGCCGCCTAAGATTATTGGCCTTAAGGGACCGTTTCTCCACTACCAGGTCCATTGCAAATGAATGGTTAGCAGAACACGGAAGACCTATTGGCATGCGAAGTGTTTACCGACGAATGAGAAGTTTTGGCTTGTTTTCATATCGGCAACACTGGGTCCTCCCTTTAACTCGAGAACACCGACGTAATCGCCTTGAGTGGTGCAGACAACGGTCACTCTGGGATCAGGAATGGAACCGTATTGTCTTTAGTGACGAGTCTCGATTTTGTTTAGGCACGCATGATGGTCGTGCCAGGGTTAGAAGGCGACGTGGTGAAAGGAGGAATCCACAGTTTTTTGTTGAAAGACATGTTCATCACACTGTTGGAGTTATGGTTTGGGGTGCTATAGCTTATGGTTCTAGGTCACCATTAATCTTCACCAGAGGTAACATGAACGCGCAGCGTTATATCCACGAAGTTCTAGAACCCCATCTTTTACCCTATCTTGCCACCCTGGCAGATCCAACTTTCCAACAAGATAATGCCCGACCACATGTTGCAAGAGTCACAATAGACTTCTTTCAACATAATGATGTCACATTGTTACCATGGCCACCAAGATCTCCCGACTTATCCCCAATTGAACACGTGTGGGATATGATGGGTAGGAGATTGCTCAATTTGCAACGTCCTCCTCAGACTCTAGAAGCACTTCGAGAGGAGTTGGTGGTTGCCTGGAATGAGATATCACAGGAGGACATTGACCACCTGATCAGACGCATGCCTAGGCGCGTTGGAGAATGCGTAGCACATCAGGGTGCATCCACACATTATTAAAGGTCAAAGGGCTTTAAAGCAGTGCAATCATTTTGAAATTTTTATCATTTACTTATTATGCTTCATTAAGTACTTATACAAAATTTTATTAAAATAAAACCATTTAAACTGGGTGTTCGGATTTATATGTTACTTAGTATATTTTAATATCGGGCCGAACATGTTTTCCCTTTTCTCCACCACGTGCGCGGCGATCGATTTTGGTGCCCCCCGTTAGGTACTTCGCTACCGGCGAACAGTCAAGCCTAACGTAAAGCGCCAACAAAAAACTTTTGAATGGATTGCACCGCGTTTCTTTCTAGTTTATCATCCATGTTTCGAAAGTACTGTGTATTATATTACAAATAGAACATTCATTACATCTTATCTCGGTGTTTACCTTGAATTATCCTTATCAACAAAAATATAGGTATCCACTTCCTACAAAGACGAATTCTGAAAAGTGATGTGGCGTAACAACATTGACCAATTTCAAGCGTGAACGTAGGTATTATATTTATGTTTTTGCTTAATTGAATTATAACCGGCCGTTACTTGATTTTATCACAATAACCCACTAAATTAAACGCAATGCATAATTATTATGCGTTTCCATATTTCATACCTGCCGATTCCAAGAAAAGATCGTACGAATTCAGCAGAATGATCATTAAAAGCACCAAGACATTAACAAGAAATTATTCAGAGGTTTGAAGATTATCAGATTATCACTACCTGCAATTGAATATTGACAGGCTTAGAGTTAGAGGTAGGATTTAAAGAAATAAAATTCGTACAACCTTTACATTCATAATCTTGTGCTTTCCTTGGAAGGAATAAGTGCGTCAATAGCAAATTTTGATTCCTCCTTTGTGAAAAAAGTATTTTTAAAACGTTTCGACTTGTGCCTTGACTGAAATCCTAGTTTTGGACTTAGGTAAATCATTATTTACATTTCATTCACCTAAAACACCTAACAGAAACGTGTTTGTCAACTTACATAAAGCTTGTTTTACACCAGCTTAATCTCAATAGTTACTAATTCATAAAAAATGTATATTTTGAGAAAATATGAGAGTTTGTAAGCTGTGAAAATCGGTCAAGTGATTGCAGATCGTCCCCAAATTTTGCTTCTGTGTTTCATAAACTTCGTGCATTTTCAAATTTTTTTTGAGGGACTAACGTTTCCAAAGGAACCTAAACTTCACCGTTGTCAGCCGTTTTTGAAAATTTTCATTGCTTTTGACATAAGGTTAGGCCCTTTTTTTGGAAATGGTCAAGCAGATTGACTTGATAGTGTATGTAGGGTGTTTCAAGTTCGATCCTAACCATTGGGATCTTAGAATCTGCAAGAGATATGAACTAAATTGTGTCAAAGTTGCGTATTTAGGTAATTAACAAAACGCCGCTTAGAAAGTTTCGAAATTCAAACTATTTCCAGAGAAAGACGGAAAAAACGGATTTTCCCAAAATCGTTTTAATTTTTTCCTGACTTTATTTATAGTGGGATTTTAAAATAAATTGCACATAAGGCCAGTTTTCCTCCATTATTTTTTTATGGACGCCATATTAGATTTTAGCACAGTTTATATTTCGCAGATAAGTGCTTTTTTAGCCTGGAAGAGTTCTTTACACGAAAAACTGTTTTTTAATCTATATTGTGTTGTTTTTCCAAGTGTATGAGTTTTTTGGCTACCATTTCCTTTTGACCTTTAATTTGTTATAGTCTGTGGCTATTTAGCAATGAAATTAATGCATTATTATTATTATGACAACACTTGGAACTAATTTATGTCAAATTTATAACCACGTTGACTGCGTTTTGCGCTCTTCCTCACTCATTGTCCGCTGTCGACTGTCCCTTTGGCGGACAACATCTGGGTATTTATTTGAAATTGTGCCACAGCATTTCCGCGCTTTATCGGAGTTCTAAACGATGTCGATCAATACTTCTCGAACGCTCCCGATGGCGACCGAATCTTCTCTACTATGCCGCAAGCCCTTGATGCATGGTCGCGCAACTCTGGTTGCCTAGGCATCGATATTGCAAGGGCGTCTCATCGTTACTTCACAATCATCATCGTCACTTTGAATACGTCCACCGGGGTAGGAGTTTCGACCAGAAAATCATGAAGCTCTATCATAAGCACATAAACCACAATATAGGTTTCAGGTGTTACATTAATAAACGTGACGTTTCTACTTGCAGATACCAAATGACGTCACAGGCGTACCTGGTGCTTCACCTCCTGTTGGTGCTTCTAGTAACCCCTACTTTTCAAAAACACTCTGATGATGAACACGATGATGCAATGACGATAGAAAGTGACGTCAGGTCCGAATACGAACCAAATCCGTTTGCTGACGTGGCCGCTGAAATCCTGAAGGAACAACTGGCTCAGAACCTCGGACCTGCACTACAAGGGATGTTCGCTGGTGGAAATGGTGGAAACGGAGGTGGTGGGGGTGAGTAAAGCCAGAAGTGAAGGGCTTAGGGAATAAGCTACCTAAGCGATATTTGAATAAAAAATGTTATTTCCATCTAAAAGAACGCTGTTAAATATCTCTGTAATTTATAAATGGCGGTTTTAAGCAACAACGATATCCAACAAATTTTCACGTTAAGAAAGCTATAAGCTGCATGAATTAAAAAATGACCTCCAAGCAGAAATTCAGTGGTTAAAAAAATTAATGATACAGAGAACAAAGATGGTTCTTGACTTAGTTCAGACGACACCGAAGGGCTGAACTCGATCGAATAAATTTGTGGCTATGTCTTTACTGCCACTATAGATATGGGCTATGATTTTCCACCAAAAATCGCAAGAAGATGATTTAAGAATTTGAACTAGACAGACAGAGCAAAACACGCTTAAAATTCTTTTCCAGGGGAAATGTTGGACATGTTATCGTCCATGGCGGGAGCATTAGGTGGAAATAACAACCAAGGCGGTAATGGAGGAGACTCTGGAGGTGCGGCTGCCCTTCTACAGGGACTCGGAGCCCTGATGGCCAACAAAAATGGCGGGGACGATCAAGACGGAGGTGGGATTGACGCTGGAGCGATTCTGCAAGGACTGGGAGCGCTAATGGGAAATAATAAAGGTCAGTTTTTAGAACACAAGTGCCATCTATTACCAGAATCGATCACTGCGTCATCACTATGACCTCTAGAACTGGGTACAGCGCTGTTTCATGCGTATTGGCTATCATCAGCACGGGCTAGGTACCTAGGTAGGCAACGAATGGATAGATGGTACTTGTTTTGTCATGTTTCGATAGAGGTTCATACCTCCGTTAGAGGATAATCTTGCTCCGTTTTCTACAGGGAACTATCACAAAAGCGTAGCTCATCACAAAGCAGTTCTGACGTCATGGGAACCTCACGCATCAAAATTTTCATTCTTTCACAGTGCTTTTGGGGGTTGAAAATAGCATATTTGGCATTCTTTCAAATAATAATATATCATATAGGAGTTAGTATGATACGAATTCTTCCCTTTGTTATAAGTTGTAGTGTGTATTCTGTTTTTGTTTATCATGTATACTCTATCTGAAGTCACTTGAAATAGCATAAAAACCTTTGGTCGGCGCGTCCTTTGTAATTTCATGACGTATCATAGGCGTGCGGTCATTTATTTAGAACGATAATAATAATGTTTTTATATCACAATAAATGGATTTTACTATCTTCTTATTTTTTTGATTTGGGATAAAAAATACTTATATTGGGAGTTTAATTTATGTTGACTGAAAGTTAAGAAATGGAAAAATTACAGAATTCCAACGTTTGACATAGGCAAATATTTACATAGCAGGTAGGTATATAAAAAGGTATATAAAGACTTACATTATAGGTAGGTTCGGAGCTGTCGCTAGAGCCATCTTGTAGAGGAATTACAACGGGATTTACAGGAGGCAAAGCACGATATTCATTTTCTTTTTCAATAATATGCCTAGAACACTGCTTCCATAGGTCTGTGGCAGCAATATGAGATACTGCATCTCTTATTGTGGCCAATAGCGATCCACTTACTGGGGGGTCTGATTATGTTTTCTTACTTTTTTTTTAAAGCAGCCCAGACCAACTCAATCGGGTTAAAAATGCAGTAATAGGGAGGTAGACGTAATACTTCATGGCCATTTTGCTGAAGCAGATTGTCAACAACATACTCTTTTTCAAATTTTTGTCTTTTAATAAGATCCAATAATATGGCTTTGGTTGATTTTTGTGGTATTTCCATTCCCTTATCCTTCATAAAATCAATAATGTCTTGTTTTTTTGTGCCTGTATTCGGAATTTTGTTTTTCTGTCGGGAATGGTATGGCGCATTGTCCATAATAATCACTGAATTTGGGGAAATGTTTGGTATTAACTGCTGCTCTATCCACTTTTCAAATAAGTCGGAGGTCATGTCCTCATGATAGTCGGCACATGATTCTTAGATATTTTTGGCAGATAACAGCAAGGCATTAGGTATAAATCCATTTTCACTGCCAGCATGGAGAATAATGATTCGTTTTCCACGGTTGCATGGTGCATTTAAAATGCACTTGTTGCTGTCGTCAACCCAGCCGTACTGCACAACATCATGGGTATCATACCACGTTTCATCCAGGTAAATCAGATTTCTTTTCTGCTCTCTATAGATTTTAACTTTGTGCAAAAATTCTTGGCGCAATTCAACGATTCGAGACGACTCCATAATCACCATTCTTTTATCTAATTTTTTGTATTGAAAACCACACAGTTTTACAATACAGTGCAGTGAGTCTAAGCATTTGTAATTATAAAAATCTTCAGGATAATCTTTTAATTTATCCCGTATCATTTCCAACGTGGGCACCAAATTTTCTTTATAAAATCCGTATATTATACGACGAATATCTTCCTGAAAACCCACGTCTATTCTTTTTAATTTTTGCCCTATGCGCTTTCTGTGGAAGGAATGGTTGACTACATCTCCCCTTTTTATAACCCGATAAATGGTAGACCGACTGATTTTTGTCAGGATACAAATTCTGTTTAAAATTTGATTTTGCGAGGAATCTGGATTTTCGTTTTTCAGACAATCATACATATTTAGGATTACTCTTTGGGTCTGTTTCTCTAAATCTTTATGAAAGAATTCTGCCTGCACAGGTTCATCAACCATCTCCTCGTGGCTTGGAGCATTTTCCCAAGGTCTCCAAAGAGCCATATTTAGGACGCACAAGAACAATCAACACAACAATTAAATCAACAAGTAAACTGAGTATTCAAAAGTCAAAAACACACAAACTAATAAAATCTATAAAAAAACACGGACAGACTAAAGAAAACACGTTTATTCACCGCTACACGGCACTGGCTAAACTGTTTCAATTTTCAGTAGCCACCTGCACTTGTTCGGAGCTCTGAAATACACGCTTGCTCATTGGCTATGTCCACGCATAGGCGTGCTTTACTCCACGTGGACCGGTGAAACTGCCTTTGATCTTATACGGGGGATATTTGCTGCGAAATTTGGCGATTTTTGCAGCAACAGAGCGTGTTAAATATAGATATATAAAACGCACCCGGTATTTCACAGTGTTTCAAGTGACTTCAGATAAAGTATAATTGCCCTGGGTGTAATTATATTCTAACAAAGTCTAAGTATCCTGGCTTTCAGCACTCTACGATTTAACAGACAATATCACAATAGCGCAGTAGCTCTCAAACTTCTTCACTTCACTAAAGCATTATACAGTTATTATAGATTTTCTGAAAAAACTCCTTAGTTTATTCAAACCTACCTTGAAAATCGGTTACAAAAAGTTCGTCTGAATAAACTGTACTCTACCGTACAAGAAATTTGTTCTGGTGTACCACAAGGATCGGTCTAAGGACCTCTGTTATTTTTACTATATATTTCAGATTTAGGAAGAGAGGTCATATCATGCAGCATACATTTTTTTTTTTAGTTTTCTGCTGTTCGGCGCTCTATTTTGAGGTTATCTATTTGCATCAAATTGTTCATGCTTTTGATTTATAGCATCTGTTTTATCAAATCTCCTACAATTCAAATAGAAAACATAACTTCACAATAGGAGAACGCTGCCGCTGACACGGAACAGTAGAATGCTAGAAATACGCCAGCCTTTGTGAAGGAGAGAAAAGACTATGATAATCAAGGAGGTCATAAAGGCGTCCTACAATTATAGGTACGACTGACGATACGGTCCTAAATCTCACCTCCTGTAATGTTATTACAAATAAAAAAGACTTTAATTATTATTATTGTTATTATAATCCATACATTATTATCTCAAAAACTATCAAGTTCAGAAAAAAGTTCATCACCTTTTTTTGTTGAGAATGAAAACTTTGTTCGGAGTAGAGAGTCAATTTCTGGAATTTGTTGACGCAATCTTGCTGATAGCAACATACAGATTCTTCAAAAGGTGTAATTGTTGAATAACATTTTGCAAAAAACCGGATAACATCCTGAGTATGTTTTATACCAAATAATGATAATCACTAGGCGGAGCTAAGAGAGACAACAACGAAGGAGGCATAGATGCAGGTGCCCTTCTTCAGGGAATGGCTGCTCTTATGGGCAACAAAGGGAGCCAAGGAGGTCAAGGAGGTGGACTCAACATGGATATGATCTCGTCAGTGCTGCAGGCATTAGCACCCCAAGAAGAAACTAATCGCGTCAAGAAGAAGAGGCGCACAGCAGAGGTAACTATAAGAACGTTTAATTACATTATCACAGTTGTGTCAATGTTGTGTCACTCAATATTCTATTTTTGGGCATTGGTAACTGTAAACACGATCCTGTTTTGATGAAAGACTGAGAAGAGAGAAATAAACCCAGCAGTGAACAGAGCTGAGTCAAGCGTTGTCTACAAAATAACGGACAGCATTTTTGAACACCAAACATATTGGGTCCCAAATTATTCTGTGTGACGCATTTCTATACATGTGTTTCCATATTTTCCTGATAATAAATGTTATTTGTTAGAGTAAACGAGTGGACTGTATAGCGGCTGGTTCAAGAATGAAATGTGGTTGTCGCCTACGTTTAATCCGGTATTCTGTCTAATTCTGGTTCGTATTCCTGGCGTAGCGGTGATGCAGGAGCGTGAAGATTGCGGCTGTGGGAGCGGTTCTGACTCTATCCGGTTGCTGCGTATATGCGGTTTCTGACTATATGCGGTTGCTGCGTAGAAACGTGCTCTCACTGTATGCGGTTGCGGCGTGTATACGTTCTCACGGTATGCGGGTTCCGGCGTATCTGCCTGGCCTGATAGCTAGTATCTCTCTTCCTTTTATTGTCCTAGCAGCGCACGCGTGCAGGGTAGGCAAGCGACAACTCAGACTCGCCTTAAAATAAAGTCAGCCCAAATATCCCTAACATTATTAATATCACCAACAACATCGTTTTATACTAAGTGACATATAAATCCGAACACCCAGTTTAAATGGTTTTATTTTAATAAAAGTTGGTGAATGTATTTAGCTTACTGTAAATAACAAGTGAAAAAATTTTCAGCCTTATCAGTTGGACATTCCGGTTTTTATACTGCTTTTTTTTAATTCACTAACGCTCTAAAAATGAATATTTCAGCCGCAGTAAAGATTCAACGAGACCTGTACGATTTCGTCAACTTAGTGAGTTTGATAGGGGCCGTATACTGGGACTTCGGGAAGCTGGACTTTCTTTTCGGGCAATTGCAGTTAGAGTGCAAAGAAGTGTAGACACTGTGGTTAGGTGTTGTCAGGCATGGCTTCGAGAAGGCCGTACGCAAAGAGCAAGGGGCACTGGACGCCGCCGTAGAACAACAGACCGTGAAGATCGCCGCCTAAGATTATTGGCCTTATGGGACCGTTTCTCCACTACCAGGTCAATTGCAAATGAATGGTTTGCAGAACACGGAAGACCTATTGGCATGCGAAGTGTTTATCGACGAATGAGAAGTTTTGGCTTGTTTTCATACCGGCCACACTAGGTCCTCCCTTTAACTCGAGAACACCGACGTAATCGCCTTGAGTGGTGCAGACAACGGTCACTCTGGGATCAGGAATGGAACAGTATTGTCTTTAGTGACGAGTCTCGATTTTGTTTAGGCATGCACGATGGTCGTGCCAGGGTTAGAAGGCGACGTGATGAAAGGAGGAATCCACAGTTTTTTGTTGAAAGGCATGTTCATCACACTGTTGGAGTTATGGCTTGGGGTGCTATAGCTTATGGTTCCAGGTCACCTTTAATCTTCATCAGAGGTAACATGAACGCGCAGCGTTATATCCACGAAGTTCTAGAACCCCAGCTTTTACCCTATCTTGACACCCTGGCAGATCCAACTTTCCAACAAGATAATGCCCGACCACATGTTGCAAGAGTCACAATAGACTTCTTTCAACATAATAATGTCACATTGTTACCATGGCCACCAAGATCTCCCAACTTATCTCCAATTGAGCACGTGTGGGATATGATGGGTAGGAGATTGCTCAATTTGCAACGTCCTCCTCAGACTCTAGAAGCACTTCGAGAGGAGTTGGTCAGTAGGACATTGACCACCTGATCAGAAGCATGCCTAGGCGCGTTGGAGAATGCGTAGCACATCAGGGTGCATCCACACATTATTAAAGGTCAAAGGGCTTTAAAGCAGTGCAATCATTTTGAAATTTTTATCATTTACTTATTATGCTTCATTGAGTACTTATACAAAATTTTATTAAAATAAAACCATTTAAACTGGGTGTTCGGATTTATATGTCACTTAGTATATGTACGCACGACGTTTTTCAGTCTGATATTCGCTAGCTTCCGAAACCTATTATTCTTCTCAGGATGTGAACCGACCCTAACAGTGCAATCTTTTGCACTTCATAGATTTCAGGTATTCGGTCCTGGTTTGTATGCACTGCCTTTTCAACTGTTCTCATTATAACCGGTACTATTTTAGCCTTAACCTTCCACATCCGCTGTATTTTTATCTGCTGCCCCTTATATTTTGATAGTTTTTCTGCTTCTTTCATCGTCACGTCATGTTTTATTTTGATTCCAGGATACCAAAGGAAACGAAATCGACCTCGAGAACCTGAACATGGGCGACGTGGCCAAAGTAGCAAGCAAATTGATGGGCAAAGGCACATCGTCGTTGATGTCGTATGTCCCCATGATCATGCAAGCTTTGCAGTCTTTCTCAGGTCCTGAAGCTGCAGCCAGGGAGGAGCAGCACGCCTCTCATAGTTCTATGATGCCTCCATTTTTGGAAAAACTGCACGTTTATTTTGACCATTTCATGCACACCGAGTTGGGGAAGAAAATCATCTCTATGCTTGGAGCAGAAAAGGCATTTAAGGTAAACGGGCAATCTGATAAAAAAATTAAGCAGCCATTACACCATGAAAAATGGGAAATCAAAATTTAAATCAAGTTTTACCATAATATCGTACTTTACTGTATATTGCACTAGGTTACATAAGGTTTGCTGTGAATTGGTATTATGAAACTTCAATTATTTCGTAAAAGTAATATTTCTAGTTGGCCTTGGCAATGACAAAATATCGAACAAAGCTTAACTGCGTTCAACCTTCAAAAAAAAATGGCGCCAAGTAGATTGACCCTTTACTTCCTAAACATTCAACGCGTGGGACGTAAAAAGCGTCATAAATCACATATATTCTTCCTTAGCGTCTAAAGTATCTTCATTCTCAGTTTTTATTAATTTCAGGCATTTGCAGATGAAAATGGAAGGTTCGACTATAAAAAATTCGGAGAATTGATGGAAAATCATTCGTTCAGGAAACGCTGGATACAAACTGTGACCGATAGAATTGCTGACCTAGCTCATACATATTTGGATCCAAGAACATTTGATACGTAAGCATTTGCGTAACTCTAGCACGATGCTTAAAGACGTAATTTTTGACAATTTTGATATACAGGGTGTAAACGTTATGGTAGTCGTTATTCAAATGGGTTTTTATAATCTAATCTAAAACGTTTTTAAATTTGGTAATTAACAAATAAATGGCAGTAAGTTTTTCTAAGTTAAGCCAAAATTTGTAGTCAGTAAGTATCATTAAATTAAATATTTAGAACACACATGACAACAGCGCGTCGGTTTTTCATCACTCTTATCGAACAGGCAATCGATCGCAAACGGTAACAGTGGTTAGTTATCGTTTTGCATAGATAAATTACTTTATCATTTTGTCCAGCAGAGCATCGGGCGTGTTTTTGTTCGCGTATGTCATCGTGTTTATTTACAATGTTCGCGAATCAAGAGTTCGCCGACATGTTGTTAGTTTACGGTGAAGTTCGTCAGAATTAAAATCTTGCAGCTCAAATTTATCGCGAAGACTTAGAGATACAGGAAGTGTTCAGCCCACTAACATTCGCATTCGTGAAAGACATGTTACTGTAGAGCAGGAGGAACAGATTTTAAATATCGTGGAAATCAATGCAGATATCAGCACTCGGGAATTAGGCCGCCGCATAGGACTATCGCATATCATAGTCCATAGAATCCTACGGGAAAATTTGCTTTATCCCTAACATGTACAACAAGTGCAGGTCTTGTTACCAGAAGACTATCCTAGCGGACTAACGTTCTGTCAGTGTTTTTTGCACAAAAACATTGTAAATCCGGATTTTTTTAAAAATATTTTAGCGACGGACGAATGTTTGTACTTTTACGTGAGACGGGATATTAAATTTCCATAATACTCACACGTGGGCCCAAGAAAATCCTCATACCATTCGTGAAGGTCATTTCCAACAACGTTTTAAAATAAATATTTGGGCGGGTATTCTTGACGATCAGGTAATTGGCCCTTTCGAGTTACCCTCAAAGTTGTCAGGAGAAGAATACCGTCGCTTTCTAGCCAATAACCTACCAGAACTTTTGGAACAGACCTTATACAACATGCCATTACAACGGAGACAGAATTTGTGGTTTCTTCATGACGGGGCACCACCACACATTTTTAGAGGCGTCATTCAGTATTTAAATGAACATTATCCAAATCGCTGGATCGGTCGAATTGCTCCTGATCCTCGAAAATGGCCAGCAAGATCTCCTGACCTCAATCCGATGGATTTCTGGTATTGGGGATAACTTAAAGGGATGGTTTATGGGGCTGGTCCAATAACAACTGAAGCACAACTATATTTTCAAAGTTACTATATATATAGTAATTTTGAAAATATAGTTTGAGTGGCATTAAAACCGACTTGTTCTGTAATCCGTACCAGTGCAAAATCAAATGACGTCACTTTTATGAGAATAACAATCTTCAAGATGCTTTTGGGTGTCCTGGACGTTGGGACTTCCTTTCAAGAAACAACTACGTTTGTAATAACAAAGCTAATTTTTGTAAAACAACATCGGACAAGTAAAACAAACTGATGAAAAGAAATTTTATTACAGCTCTGTCAGTTGTAAGTATTGTTCAACGTTGTGTGCAATAGATTCAAATACACATGTAAATTCTGGATACCACATCATTTCAGATACATCGCCAAAAACCGTTTCAATTGCAGAGTGATGCTTCTTCTCAATAGTCCATATTATTTCGACATTACCTAGATGCTAAAACTGATAATAATTATACTTCACTGATAAGGCTGGGATGGATACGCAAAATTATAGCTGAGGCTTGAACGGAGTTCAAACGCATGCCACAAGCCAAACTAAGCCGATTTTCTCTCTGGGAGAGATTATATTCAAGCCAAACTTTTTGGCCTGCACAAGCCATTGTGCAAACTATTTGAGCATGTAGAAAGACCTTAACGTCTCGGTAATCTTAAGATTTTGGTATATATCTTACTAGAAAAAAACTGTTCTTTTTTCCAAGATCGATGGGTCGAGTAAAGGAGAGTCCCAACTTCAAGGACACCGTGTATATTTTATTCTTAGGTTTGACACTATCTGATATGATTTAATTTTTCAGGATGTTTACAAGTGCGCAATATCTCGTGAACACATACTTGAAAATGCAAGGCTTTCCCAAACAGGTCCTACTGGATCCAGAAAATCCTGTTGACAGTATATCCAAGTTGATCAACTTTGTTTTCAAAAAGTACATCGACATCAAAGTTAAATCCAAGAATTACGTAGCCCCGGTTGTCGAATTTCTATCGGTAAGTAACAAAATACTACTGCTACTATTTCAGACAAATATTCTAACGGAAACACCGTTTTATAACAAATTTGAAACTACATGTATCAAAGATATCCAGGCCCCTACCCACAGAAAGGTGTTTTTTTGAAAATAACTTTTTACGGGCGCAATTTTGTTTAAAAAATTACCAATAGCACACTATTATATCCTGCATAACTGTGATTTTTTATAGGTTTTTAAAACAGGTACGAAAAAAAAATGATCACTTTGGTTTTTCGTAATCAAAATTTCGCAAACTTAAAAATCCACTGTATATCAGTGCTTTCTTGCATGCTTTTCAGACCCACTAACAAAATCAGGCATGTTTGATGGAAAATTGCCAAAAAATTTTAGATTTTAAACGTTCGATATCATAAGCTGGGTAACGTTACCTGTTTTTCGGGAAATTACGAAAATAAGAAAAACCGCGCTTTTACCGGTTTTCTTCAAGGTATGTCGTTTTTAGACAGAAAATAAATCGTTGGCTAAGCTAGCAGCCCATCGTGTATACGCATTTTTCAGGTTATTTTGAGTCCTGTTAAAAGAATGATTTCTAGTCCGGAAAATTGACAAAAATCGGAAAATCGTATTTCCACCAATTTTTTCAATTTTAGCGCGTATGTATTTTTGAGTATTCTTTCAGGTTTCATTGTTAGATTGTCATTTGTTACCCAGAAAATTGCGAAAATTGAAAAACCCCAATTTCGCTGGTGTTCTACACTTTTTGATTTCGTCTCTGAAAAATCGCCATAAATCGGAAAAACCGTTTTCATTAAAAAAACTCAATGCGCGTATGTCTTGCTGTGCATTCATTTAGTTTTTATTGTCATAATTGTGTTTTGTTTTCCGGAAAATTGCGGAATTAGGAAATACCATATTTTCGCCGATTTTCTTCAACTTTTAAGGCTTTCCGTGAAAAAATTTGTGACCTTTTGAAAATCCAATACAATTTTGTTTTTTAAAGAAGTCCAATCTTTGTCTAAGTAAATAATTGCCGTATCGTCTACGAAACAATAACTTCTCCATCGTTTTTTAACTTAAAAAGGTCATTAATATATAAATTATACAGCATTGGTCCTAATACGGTTCCTTGTGGAACTCCGCATCTAACAATCATATTTTCACTCAGTGTACTGTTGATGGTAACACATTGTGTCCTGTCTTCCAAATAACTTTTCATGAGCTGATAAGTGTCTCCACGAAATCCTAAATTTTGCAAGGTTCTTAATAGTTTTTGATGTGTAATACTATCCAATGCTTTGGTTAGGTCTACAAAAAGGCATGCTGTTGACCTATTATTATCAGCGTACTTGTAAATTTTGGTTGTTAACTGAATAAGTGCATCTTGACTTGATTTTGCTTCCTGGAATCCATATTGCTCTTCAAATATGAGGTTGTATTTTGCAATAAAATCTGAAAAGCGTTTTTTAAAAATTTTTTCGAAAATTTTTGTCAATACTGAAATTGGGCGATAATTACAAGGTTTCTGTTTATCTACAGATTTAAATACAGGTTTTATTATTGCCTTTTTTAATTGGGTCGGGAACATTCCTCTTTCCATGCAGGTATTTATAAGATATGCTAATACTTTAGAGATTTTATAATTTATTTGTTTCAAAGTGTATGCGGTTATATTATCAAATCCCGCGGATTCTTTAACTTTCAGTCGCTTAATGATATGTTCAAATTTGTATTGATCGGTCTGCGCATCGGGAATTGTGCAATATGGTTTTCGTATATATACTAAGTGACATATAAATCCGAACACCCAGTTTAAATGGTTTTATTTTAATAAAATTTTGTATAAGTACTTAATGAAGCATAATAAGTAAATGATAAAAATTTCAAAATGATTGCACTGCTTTAAAGCCCTTTGACCTCTAATAATGTGTGGATGCACCCTGATGTGCTACGCATTCTCCAACGCGCCTAGGCATGCTTCTGATCAGGTGGTCAATGTCCTCCTGTGGTATCTCATTCCAGGCAACCACCAACTCCTCTCGAAGTGCTTCTAGAGTCTGAGGAGGTCGTTGCAAATTGAGCAATCTCCTACCCATCATATCCCACACGTGCTCAATTGGGGATAAGTCGGGAGATCTTGGTGGCCATGGTAACAATGTGACATCATTATGTTGAAAGAAGTCTATTGTGACTCTTGCAACATGTGGTCGGGCATTATCTTGTTGGAAAGTTGGATCTGCCAGGGTGTCAAGATAGGGTAAAAGATGGGGTTCTAGAACTTCGTGGATATAACGCTGCGCGTTCATGTTACCTCTGATGAAGATTAAAGGTGACCTGGAACCATAAGCTATAGCACCCCAAACCATAATTCCAACAGCGTGATGAACATGTCTTTCAACAAAAAACTGTGGATTCCTCCTTTCATCACGTCGCCTTCTAATCCTGGCACGACCATCGTGCATGCCTAAACAAAATCGAGACTCGTCACTAAAGACAATACTCTTCGATTCCTGATCCCAGAGTGACCGTTGTCTGCACCACTCAAGGCGATTACGTCGGTGTTCTCGAGTTAAAGGGAGGACCCAGTGTGGCCGGTATGAAAACAAGCCAAAACTTCTCATTCGTCGGTAAGCACTTCGCATGCCAATAGGTCTTCCATGTTCTGCAAACCATTCATTTGCAATGGACCTGGTAGTGGAGAAACGGTCCCTTAAGGCCAATAATGTTAGGCGGCGATCTTCAAGGTCTGTTGCTCCACGGCGGCGTCCAGTGCCCCTTGCTCTTTGCGTACGGCCTTCTCGAAGCCATGTGTGACAACACCTAACCACAGTGTCTACACTTCTTTGCACTCTAACTGCAATTGCCCGAAAAGAAAGTCCAGCTTCCCGAAGTCCCACTATACGGCCCCTATCAAACTCACTAAGTTGACGAAATCGTACAGGTCTCCGTACTCTAGGCATCGTAATCGATCGTCACTTGTTATTTACAGTAAGATAAATACATTCACCAACTTTTATTAAAATAAAACCATTTAAACTGGGTGTTCGGATTTATATGTCACTTAGTATATAAAATGTGTTTTATTTGAAATGTCTTTTGCCAGATTGTGTGTATGATGTTTCATTTTTGGTCACGATTTGTGAATCACCTTGTTTATGTTTGTCGAGTTCTCAAGTTATCTAACATAATATACTACGGTTAAACTGTCAAAAACTTGTAGAAATCGGTAAAAATAGGGTTCAGGTGATTTTCAGGGCAAAAATTCAAGATCTGGAAAGAGCACAAGAAAGCACTGATATATATATATACTTTCGCCTATAGCCTTTATGACAATATCGACTGTACTATCGCGTTTTGCGTTGCTGACTCATCCGTCAACTCTGGTACGCATATTTATCTTCTAATCAACGAATTTGAGAAGTCTTCCAGGCAGAACTAGAAAATTTTCATAGCTTGCTAGATGACATTCGATGTGTGCGTATTTCTGGTTGCATCGATGTTACGATGTGTCTCAGAGGGCGTTATACTATCTTGTCCAAATTTCCCGAATTTTGTTTATTCTGAAGTGTTATAGATTTTCTAGATTTTTCATTTTAACAGATTAAAACGAATTGAAAACCCAAAATTTCCGTGCCCCTAACATATTCAATATGAATACAAATTATGATAGCATATTGTTTTAGGGTTTGAAAGGTGCAGCGCAGACCAAAAACTTCTTAGGTAGCAACTCTAGGGAGTTTTCTAATAAATTGGCCGATACAATCAATATGGAGATCATAGAACCACTTATTAGGGTGAATAGGGCGTTCAGGTTTGCTAAAACCACACCTAAATGCGACAGGTAAGTTTTTCATAATATAAGTGGCATTTGTAGCTAGTGTCTGGCTTCCCTGAGATTCTGTTTGTATCTGAAAATTTGCATACGTAGCAAGATTTTGTGTATAATTTATGGATTTTGTAGGATTTGTCCCTCTTTGAGAAATAGGGCTACCCCTGCACTTCGAAAGTTTTTGGGGCAGGTACTCGTTCAAAAAAATAATCTCTCAATGCAATGTGTCGTTAAGCTCGTTTACATATATATATATATATATATATATATATATATATATATATATTGCCTTAACTGTTAGGAGAAAATATCCTTTAATTTCTTTGGGTAGAAGGCAAAATATTGCGAAAGTACACTCCTATAACTTAAACTCTCAAGCTTTCGAAGATCTATGTCTTCATCGTCTGGAGCTGGAAACAGTTATTGACAATAGCAACAAATAACAATTAGGAGAAAAATGTTTACATACTAAGTCGGCGAGATTGTTGCTGAAATTGTTATATACTTTGAAGTTGAGTCATTAATTTTCAGATAATGATTGTAGAAGGAAGATAAACCAAAATATGTGTGTAAAAATAAAAAAAAATTAAAAAAAAATTTTAACCTTGTTTTATAAAGTATCCTCCCGACAAGTATTTCAGTGCGGACCTGTATTTGATCGTGAGGTCCCCTGTGAGGTCTTAAGTCACCTGATTCACGAGCCCGTTGTACTACATTAACAAAGAACGAGGGGTTGGTTGCACTCGATTGGGAAACCGATCCGCATAAACATGTGCCATTTTTTATTTCGTTTGAGCCACGCAACAGACACGACTATTCACTCACGCGTTACCGACTGACACTGACTGTATACAAGTGAATAAAATAATTGTAAAAACATCGTTCCAAATTCTTTCGCTTTTTTGTTTCCGATGCGATGAACCGATAAGGCGGATTCTATCCGTTGTTGCCAAACACGAGCACATGATATTATTATTGAGACAGGGCGGTACTCAAACTTCCAAAGGGCTATAACTTTGTTACTTTAATTTTACCAGAAAAGTGGTAAAGGAAAAACACATTTCTTTTGATCAGATCTACTCACTGTTAAAATAAATGACTCAACTTCGAAGTCACCCTGTATATATATATATATATACATTTTAATATTTGTTATATTGATTTTTTTTTCAGATATGTGATGTGTCTAGTCAACGAGAAGAACCAAAATGAAAAAGAAGATACGCTACCGTCACTGAAGAAGCTCCTTTACAGAGGTTCAAGTTTGGTAGCCGCGTGGTTCTTGACATCAGAAACACCGTATTGGACACTTTACAACGATATTACGACAACTAGTGAAAATTCGGATTGCAAAGTAAGTATATAATGCTCAAAAGGTTCAATAAATTCTCATACAAACTCTTAACATCGAGAAACACGGTTAAGAAAACAGGGAAATGTTGTCTTGTCTTGATATTTCTTGTTCTTAGTGGTTTCATTTACGTTTCCAAAGCTTTTTTTATCGAAATATATTTTTTTTTTCAGACGCTGTATTTGAAAGAATGTGATGGCTTCCATACAGAAGAAATGAAAGTAACGACTGAATACGTTCACAACGAATTGTAGATAATTATGAAATTTAGTGTTTTGTTTGTACATATTTGTTAATTTTAAATAAAACAGTCACGATGAGATAACATCCTGTCATCCTGTAAAAAACAATTTCTAATAAAACAATAAAGAAATTTTGTTAATATTCCTTTTAATTTTATTTTAAACAATCAGCTATGGAGAATACAGTTTATTTGAAGCAATCAATCAATAAGAAATATGTTTTCTTGGCAACTGCCTAAAAGACGGTAAACATGATTTTTAACTGATGATATAACGAAAATACAGGGTGTTTCAGTTTATTGTTGCATAACTTTAAGATTCGATAGAACTTTTAAAATTAATGCATAAAGTCTATATAAACATGGGTCGAAAAATGCGTGGCTTCCGAAATACAGGGTGTTTAAATTTAATTTCTAAAATAGTTTTTTTTTAATATTTCGAACAATATTTGATGTATAACAGTGAAAATTGGTATACAAAGGTTTTTTGGTACGACAAAACGAACCATGGGCATAGTTTTACTGTAGCCGCTAGAGGGCGCTCTCTACTGTACCTGTAGTACATAAAAATGACCGAAAAATTTTTCTTCGTGCAACTTTTTGCCTTTTGAATAAAAAACTGATTCTACGCACTTTTCAACATGAAAAAGCTCTCTTGTGAATTTTCGTTATAGTTTTTGAGATATTTCGATTTTTAAGGTTCGATGCATTTTTAATTATTTATGATAAAGTAACGTTAAAAGGTCAGTATCTCGATAATTTTTAGAAGTAGGCAGTGCCTGCAAATATTTTTGAAATTGAAAGCAGAATAAGGTTAAACGTCAATTAGTTGACAGTTAGTTTTGTTGTCTGTTGAAACCTGAAACGTTTCTTTGCAATTGTGAATGCACAAAATTTAGTTTCTTTTACATGTTTTTTTTTGTAAGTTTTTTAAAAATGCCATTTTTATTCTCCAATCAAGAGTTAGTGGATATTCATTTTGTGTATGGCTTTGTAAATGGAAACGCAGTAGAAGCAGCCAGAGAATACGCACGAAGATTTCCAAGCAGACGACATCCAACTCGCTCAGTATTTGTAAGAGTGCATCGCCAAATAATTGAAAATGGTTTTGGAAATCTCCAAAGGGATCAAAACATAAATGTTCGTCAGCGCAGATTTACCCGTATGATTCTGCGTGAGTTTGATAGAGTGTTAGGAGAGTTTCTGGTGCCTTGGGAATTTCAGCAAGCCATGTTAACCGTGTTCTTAAAAATGACCATAGACGTCCTTACCATTTGCAACCTGTGCAAGGACTTCAGCCAGGGGACGGAGAACGAAGAATCACATTTTGTCAGTGGATTCTTGATAGAACTGATAATAATAGGGAGTTTTTAAGTAACGTTTTATGGACCGATGAGTCATGCTTCACTAGACGTGGAGTGGTAAATTTTCATAATCAACATATTTGGTCGCATGAAAATCCGTATGCAGTTCGGGAAACAAATTTTCAGCATGAATTTAGTGTGAACGTGTGGATTGGTATCTACCGTAATCGACTATTTGGACCCTACCTTTTGCCTGCAAGGTTAAATGCTGCGACCTTCTTGGAATTTTTAAAGGCTGAACATGCAAATATGTGGGATGATGTTATGTTAGATTTAAGAAGATTGGCCTGGTTCCAGCTTGATGGTTGTCCAGCTCATTATTCGAGAATAGTTAGAAACTGGCTGGACGAAAATTATCCAGAAAGATGGATCGGCCGTGGAGGACCAGTCGCCTGGCCTCCACGATCCCCTGGCCTAAATCCATTAGATTTCTTTGTGTGGGAATTTCTAAAAGAAAAAGTGTACCAGACTCCCGTAACCACAAGAGATATGCTAATAGACAGAATCAGGAATGCATGTGATGAAATAAGGCCTTATTTGATTAATGCTATACCACGTTCGATCATTCGTTGATGTGAATTGTGTATTGAACAATTGGGTTTACATTTCGAGCAACTACTTTAGATTTTGTATGTTTGTCCTAACTATCCAATAGCATTTTGGTTGTAAATAATTAATTTAATTTGTTAAAAATAATATTGGTAAATTAAACAAAGTAATATTCTGCTTTTTGTGTTTATTTGGAGTTAGGAATTATTGCTGTGTTTAAAAATACAATCTAAACGATCATCTTAATTACTTTTACTGCCCAAATCGAAAATGTAAAAAAAATATTATTTTCCCATAAATAATTAAAAATACATCGAACCTTAAAAATCGAAATATCTCAAAAACGGCTAACTATAACGACAACTCACAGGAGAGCTTTTTTATGTTGAAAACTGCGAAGAATCAGATTTTTTATTCAAAAAGCAAAAAGTTGCTCTAAGAAAAAATTTTCGGTCATTTCAATACACTACAGGTACAGTAGAGAGCGCCCTCTAGCGGCTACAGTAAAACTGTACCCATGGTTCGTTTTGTCGTACCAAAAAACCCTTGTATACCAATTTTCACTGTTATACATCAAATATTGTTCGAAATATTTAAAAAAAAAACTTTTAGAAAGAAAATTTAAACACCCTGTATTTCGGAAGCCACGCATTTTTCGACCCATGTTTATATAGGCTTTATGCAATAATTTTAAAAGTTCTATCGAACCTTAAAGTTGTGCAACAATAAACTGTATATTAGGTAGATTTCAAAATGAAAAATCGTTGTCTTTCAGGTTTTCTTCAGACCATTCATCGAATATTTTGATCATCTCCGGTGACATGTTAGCCTTATAATCTCCAACCTTTCCGGATCTCATGAATTTTCCATCACTTTCTGTCAGTTTGAATTTCTTATTGATGCTGATAACCTGAAAATCATACTCATTTAAAAATGTTTAGTCTCCTAGATTTGTGACATGCGAAGGTCGTTTTTCGTAACACAATATTGAACTTTCAGAAAGGTTAAAAGAGTCCAACTTTCCAAAAGAGTGTTTTTTATTTATTAACGAAAAGTTTTACCATTTCGTAGTTGACAGCTGGATTTTTCTTCATATTTTCAAAGCTAAGGTGGTCCGCCAAAATTGAAACTTGTTCATCTGATAGAGGCTTTTCTAGGAAATCTGCTACTTCTCTTATGACAGCTGGCAAATCCTTGTTCATGTCCTCGTATTTAAGAAACAGAATATTCTTTTGATTCCGACGTTGCCAAAAGGAAAGTAAATGCGACCAGTACGGAGTATATGTTACTGAAATGAAATAAGATTGTATCAATCGTCATATTTTGATCATGTCAACATAACGGGTGATTTTTAAGAGGTAGGGTAATTCCGGTAGAGATCGACCACCGGGAGAGACCGACCACTGCCGGTAACTTAACCACAAAGCAAAAGATGAATCCGTGACTCACATGTATGATGCGATTAGTTGACCTTGTTACATGGAACACGTAAACACGCCCCGTAACAGTAGTATAAATGTACAAATTAAATTTAAAAATTTGTGCAAACTTGACAATTTTTTGACTGATTTACTGTGTTCGTGATATTTTAAAGACGGGTAAGTTTAATTGAACTGTTTCAATACTGGATGATAAAATATGCATCAAACTATAACATAACCTCAAAAATGTAAGCATTTATCATTTTTCCTTCGGTTAACAAGGTGGTCGATCTCTCCCGTAACTTTGGTAGAGTACGACCACATCAATCCGGGAGACACCGACCATGAAAATAATAATAGTAAATAGTAATAATGAAATATTCGGCGTTCTGAAGGAAATTAGTGATACAATACAGCTCAATTTGAAAAAATAAATTTATTGTAAAATAATAATGTTACAGATTAACAAAAATTCCCGCGACTTACAAAAGGAAAAATGAATAGAGAGCTAAATGGAGTGCCGGTTCTTTAAGAAACGCAATTGAATGTGTACAAAATCGTACAATGGGTGTAAATGAAGCCGCCAGACAATTTGGAATACCTAAAACAACGCTAAAAGATAGGATTAAGAAGGGGGACGCAATAAAACAACACAGATTAGGTCCGTCATCAGCGTTGGGAGAAGATGCAGAACTAAAATTAGTGCGACACATAAAAAATTGCAAACATTTGGATTTGCACCAGATCGGGAGTCCGTCAGAATATGGGCTTTTCAACTTGCAGAAAAATTAAAACTGAAGCACACGTTTAATAAAGAAAGAGGCAAGGCTGGTTATGATTGGCTTAACTCGTTTTTACGTCGACATCCTGATATATCGATTAGAAAAGCAGAAGGAATTTCTATTAACCGAGCGACTGGAATGAACCGTCTGTCTGTGAAACACTATTTTACCTTTTTAGAAAATGTTCTCACTGTTCCCACTTGTTCCCAAAACTAACGCAAAAGCAGTATTTAAAACACGAGGTAGGCAGCTTGCAACTATTTTAAACAGTTCACAACGAATTGAGATTCAGAATGATAAAAAGAAAACAAAGAAAAAAACAAATGTCCAATTCAGAAAAAAACTGTGGTTAAACAGAACAAAAACATTAGAAGATTCAGATTCGGAGAGCGAAAGTCCAGTATTGCAGGAAAGTGATACATCAGCAGATGAATGGGACGGAAACGAATGCGTAGGATGTGGGGAAAATTATTTTAAAACCACTAAAAATGACGAATGGCTCAAATGTGTGAACTGTAGTTGTTGGTTTCATAATGGATGCTCAAAATTCGAGAATATTTGCGATATATGCGGAAAATTTAACAAGAGATGTCGAAAAAATTAAATGTATTTATACGATTTAAATCTACCCTTATTATTATACTGTTCAAACATGTTTTATTATTTTATGTTTTCTTATTTTTCGAAGTCGATCTCACCCGTAGTTGGTGGTCGGTCTAACCCGGACATCCGGATGAGATCGACAAGTTACAATGTTTAAACTTTTAGTTCAAAATAAACATTTATGTTTGTATTATATCTTTAATTGTGATTTATTTACTATCCTAACCCTTTAGGTAATGCTTCAACAGTTAAACAAACCTGTACCTCAGAAACCAAAATATTTACAATATTTTTTCCAAAATGTGGTCGATCTCTCCCGGACTTACCCTATAGGATTTGAAACACACAAAAAATTTGAAAAAACGATTAAATCTTTATTTGAGTCGATAGAACGGTCGATATAATTTAACGTTTAAAGATTATTTCATGTAAATGTTGGCCGCGGCTCCGCTTTAGATGGCCCATGCGCAAGGGTCCAATTTTGGCACACTCTCTCCAACATATCGGCCGGTATCTCATGAATAAATGCTTCAATATTGGCTTCTAGTGCGTCAATCGTTGCTGGTTTATCCCTGTAGACATTAGCCTTAACATGGCCCTACAAGAAATAGTCCAACGGCGTTAAATCACACGATCTTGGCGGCCAATTGACGGGCCCCAAACGTGAGATAAACTGTTCACCGAACTCGCCTCTCAATAGGGCCATTGTTTCGTGTACGGTGTGGCATGTGGCACCGTCTTGTTGAAACCACATGTCAGCCAAGTCCAGCTCTTCCATTTTGGGCAAAAAAAAGTTTGTTATCATCGCACGGTAGCGCTCGCCATTCACAGTTACGTTCCGGCCATTGTCGTCTTTGAAGAAGTACGGCCCGATGATGCCACCGGCGCATAATCCACACCAAACAGTGATTTTTTCGGGATGCATTGGTAGCTCTTGCAATGTTTCTGGCTGGTCTTCAATCCAGATGCGGCAATTTTGCTTGTTAACGTACCCATTCAACCAGAAATGAGCTTCGTCGCTGAACACAATTTTTCGATAAAAATGTGGATCTTCCTCCAACTTTGCCAGCGCCCATTCACCAAATTGGAGACGTTGTGGGAGGTCGTGTGGCTTCAATTCTTGCACTAGCTGTATCTTATAAGGTTTTACACCCAAATCCTGTCGCAAAATTTTTCACGTAGTGGAGTAACAGAGGCCCAATTGCTGCGAACGGCGGCGAATCGACATTTCACGGTCATCACTAACACTGGCGGATACAGCCGCAATATTTTCTTCAGTCCTCACTCTACGTCTGCGCGTTGGTGGTTTAATGTCCAATAATGTAAACTGGGTTCGAAATTTAGTCACAAGCTTCCGAATAGCTCCCTCAGTAGGCCGACCAAATTGCCCATAAATTGGAAGCAGTGCTCGATGCACTCTCTTAACCGAGCATGAATTTTGATAGTAAAATTCAATAATTTGCAAGCCTTGTTCGTTCGTAAGTCGATTCATGGTTAAATTATAGACCAAACTGAACAAGTTTGACAATGACACAAGACACGATTCACGCGTCATCTGTCAAAAACAGTGTTGCCAAAAAGATACTAGCAAAAAAATCACCAATTACTACTGAATATTTCCCTCGTCTTAATTTCTACCAATCACAAACACGGAATTTGGAATTACAAATGGTTTCTGGTCAGCAGTTTTTTCGAGTTTACCCGCATCAAAACTTGACAGCTGTTGTCACCAAAAATTACGTATGCATGTACAGGGTGCGCAATCTTTTATGTCGGTATGTAAACATGAAATAACTTTGAAAACGAAAAACTGATTTCTATGGTCCTTTACTTTATTGGGACTAGTTTTTGAACACAAAATCTATCAAGTGGCCACCTTTATTGACCAAAACAAAATGTGCCCGTTTTGCTGCGTTTTCCATTACTTCTTCGAGCATCTCTGGTGGTGTAGCGGCGATTGCGGAACGAATGTTTGCCTTGAGTTCTTCAGGGGTCTGGGAATTGCTGGCGTACACTTGACTTTTCAAATAACTCCACAAGAAGAAGTCCGGTGTGGTCAAATCTGGAGACCTGGGTGGCCAGTCAATGTCACCTCTTTTTGACATCAGACGTCCAGGGAATTTTCGTTGCAGAAACTGGATTGTTTCATTTGCAGTGTGGCATGGCACACCGTCTTGTTGAAACCAGTAACCATCAAGACCTTTTTCACGCACTTGCGGGCAGACACAATGAGCCAACATCCACCGATATCGATTTCCATCGACTGTTTCGTTTTCGTTGAAGAAAATGGCCCAATGATGGTTTTGGCGCAAACGCCGGCCCACACAGTCACTTTCCGGTCATGCAACGGCCTTTCGTGGATCTCTCGTGGATTTTCCGTCTCCCAAATGCGGCAGTTTTGCTTATTAACGCCGCCCGAGAGCGTGAAGTGGGCCTCGTCGGTCATCACAATTTACAAAAATCCGGTTCAGCATCAGCCATGCGAGCGACTGTTTGCGCGTATTCCAAGCGACGTGGTCAGTCAGTTGGCAATATTTTTTGTGCTAACTGCACCTTATAAGGAAACAAATGCAAATCATCCTTCAAAATGCGCCGCAACGTGGTTAGACTGATGCCAAAATGCTGAGCGCGGTGACGATACGACACTTTTGGGTTCTGGGCAACGCTGGCTCTGACCGATTCAACCAATCCGTTGGAACGTCTTGGTCGTTGATGAACGGCATGTTGACGAGCTTGAATTTTGATAGTAAAATTCAATAATTTGCAAGCGTTGTTCGTTCGTAAGACGATTCATGGTTAAATTATAGACCAAACTGAACAAGTTTGACAATGACACAAGACACGATTCACGCGTCATCTGTCAAAAACAGTGTTGCCAAAAAGATACTAGCAAAAAAACCACCCATTAGAATGTTGATGAAATTTTGAAACACATATTTAATTGGGGTTTGTTTCCTGACCAGGCGTTGAAATCTCCGAGCGTCTTTACCTTAAAAGTCCGAACACAAGTCGCTTATTCAGAAAGACGTGCCAATATTTCTAGAGTAGAACGTATATTTTTTGCAGATATAGTACTTGCGGTATCATCTGTTAACGTTAACGGTCCGTTACTCTTTTTATTTTCATTCAGTCAGTTGCTCTGGGTAACTCTGTTAATTGTGCACAAAGCCGTAAATAGCTAAAATACTGGGTGGCCCATAAGTCATTTGAGCTGGAAAAAAAGGAATAAAACCAAACCAGTTACATTATGAAGAATTATTATATTTTGTTATCATCTTTATTGAATGGGAATTATGTTTTAAAAATCACATCGTCTAAATGCAATCCATTACGATCACGGCACTCATATAAACGACGTCTAAAATTGTCGATGACTGCGCGGCAAGTCAACACTGTAATGCTTGCCATTTCTCTTCGGATATTTTCTTTCAGGACATCAACTGATCGCGGAGTGGTGTCGTACACTTTACTCTTGAGGTAGTCCCATAAAAAGAAGTCCATTGGGGTCAAATCTGGACTACGTGGTGGCCAGGAAATGTCTCCTCTTCGAGAAATTACTTTGCTGGGAAAAAGTTGACAGACGGCGGGCATAGAAGTGTTGGAGGTGTGGGCAGTTGCTCCGTCCTGTTGAAACCAGGTCTGCGTATTATAGCCTGGAAAATTCTGCACCGCTGGTGTCAAAAACTCTTCTATCATTGCTACATACCGCTCCGAAGTAACAGTTAATGCGCGACCTCTGTCGTCCTCAAAAAAATAAGGGCCTACGATGCCATGCGCAGACATAGCAGCCCAAACTGTAACTTTAGGGCTGTGTAAGGGCTTCTGATGCTTACGCCTTGGATTTTCGGGGCTCCAATAACGGCAATTTTGTTTATTTACATGCCCGTTTAAATGGAAGTGAGCCTCGTCCGAGAACAACACATTATTGAGCGAAGAAAATCGATTCAACATTTCATTCGCAAAGTTTAGTCTCTGAATAGCGTCATTATCCGTTAATTCCTGCACTAACTGAATTTTGTAAGCGTGCAGACGTAAATCTTTCCTTAAAATCCGCTGTAAAGATGTTCTGGGTACGTTTAGTGTACTGGAACGCTTACGAGTAGACTGGGTAGGATTTTGACGAACAGACTGTGCCACAATGTTGATGTTTTCTTCAATACGAGTTGTCCTTGGTCGACCCCACCGCTGTTTATCTAACGTCGAACCAGTCTCTTCGAACTTAGCAACCCAGTTCTTAATCGTTTGAGCTGTTGGACACTTTGTAAAATTGTGTAAATTGTGGTATTCTCGATATTTACGCCGCACAATGGTTGCCGAATCATTATTTTGATAAAACGCGCGCACACAAAAAGCACGATCCGCTTCAGTGAAACACTCCATGGCGACTGAATTCCCAGACACTGAAGATACTGCCCCCACCTCGCCCGCGCCGCTCACGCTCACCCGTTAAATTTTATTCAAATTTGAAATTTCAATGGACCACCCTGTAGAATGTGTATATGCATTACTTACATTTTTCAGCTAGAAAAAGCTCACAAAAGTCGTTGAAATCACCTCGATAGCCTTCCATCAAACGGGAGTGGTTGAAGTACGATATACACGTATCTTTGGGATTCCTAGTCACGTATATTATCTGTAACAAATCATCTGTGATGATAAAAGCAAAAAAAAACGCTAGCTTTTGTGATTTCAAAAGAATCCGGTTAGACTTTGCATATTTAGCATGGTTTTGTGTACATTTTTGAGGATTTTTAGGTTTTGGCCACCCTGAGAATTGCTACCCCCGCTCTTCGAACAGTTCTAGGGCAGGTACACTTTCACAAAAAATTATCTCTTGCCGACGATCGAACCCTCCGAGATAAAGTTCAACATTACGTTAATTTGACCTTGTAAAGGTAATAATCAAAGAAAAGGAAACAACCACGACTTTTTTGTATGCTTGAAAAGCTACCTGTCCTATTGAGTTCTGGAACATTCACCATTTGTACAAATCAGACAAGCTTTATCTGCCCATTTCTCAGAAAAAAATCACAGAATTGCTTTGGCCCCATGAACACTTTTGTTGGCAAGAAATATATCATACTGAATTTTTAGACAAATCCACTGGGACCCATTTTCCATTTGTTCTGTGCCTGGTCCATGAACGGATACATCTTTAGAGGTATTTTAACCTGCGCATTAAAAATAGTCTTTGTGTCAGTTATAGTCGACATTCTTCATGACTTACTTTCGGACTTTTTATACTCGCTTGTAGTTCTCTTGGCAGCAAATCCCAAGGTAAGTGACTTTTTATACATTGTGGTCCTATTTTACATCTGTCTTTAACGAACTTCAGAGAATCATCTAGGAATGGTGGAACTTCAAAATCTGGGATATCCTTTTTGAGCTGTCTGAAATCGTATAGGGCTGATACTCTGAAAACAGGTTTTAATCAGCTTATCATTATAATTTGGAAGAAATAATCGATTTTTTAGGGCAGCATAAAGGAATATCTTAAATTTTCAATATGTGATTAGACATATTTTATAGCAACTCCAATTCAAAACTATACAGGGTGGCCCATCCATGAGTGGACGGAATATTACTCATAAACAAATACATTTTGGGGAAATCCATTTATGGCATGTTATACATGACATTTGAGGGCACATTTATAAAATATTGGCAATTATACAGGGTGTCCCAATTTTGACCTACATATCAAAGTTTTGATTTTTCAAATGGAATGCCTCTAGTTTTATTGCATATATGGATAAACCAATTTAAAAGAAGAAGATTGACATGACATACTACGGGGTTTTAGTAATTAGCTACTGAGATGTAAGGTCTTTTATCCAGAAAAACCGTCCACTTCGGCAGCCCCTCAATCCGCCATTCTGAAATTTGGAGTGCTGAATTTTGTATCAAAAAAACTTACACAGCTCAGTTTTTATCTTATTTGATACTTTTTCGAATTTCCATTTTTGCTCATACAGGGTGATCAAAAACCCGAATTGAATCCAAACTTGCACAAATATACAGGGTGATGTATTTGAGATTTTTGAGAAAAACTACAATTTGCGTTTTTGACCATCCTGTATCAGCAAAAATCAGCATACAAAAAAGTAACAAATAAGATAAAAACTGATGGGTGTAAGTTTTTTTTGACACAAAATTCAGCCTTCCAAATTTCAAAATGTCGGACTGAAGGGTTGCCGAAGTGGGGGGTTTTTCTAGGCAAACCACCTTATGTTTCAGTAGCTAATTACCAAAAGCCCATAGTGTGTTATATTAATCTGCTTCTTTTGGACCGGGTTATCCAAATGTGCAATAAAATTTGAGGCATTCCATTTAAAAAATGACAACTTTGATATGTAGGTCAAAATTGGGACACCCTGTATAATTTCCAATATTTTAGAAATGTGCTTTCAAATGTCATGTATAACATGCCATAAATAGATTTTGACAAAATTTATTTGTATACGAGTAATACTCCGTTCACACATGGATGGGCCACCCTGTATATTGTAGATATTAATACTAAAACATCAAATGCTATTTACTCTAAAAATGGAGATCGAATTCCTAAGTTAACTTGTCCCCCGTCAAAATCCAGATTGTTTACTATCATCCAAATCATTTCTTGCGTCCATGTGGTTCCTGAAAAAAAGAAATTTTCTTAAATTTTAAAGCAATTAAAATAACTCTTGATGTCAAACGTTTTTGCACAGTTAGAGTTAGCAGCTTTATAAAAAAAGATTTTTTAACAAAATAAAGATAATTTGTGGATGAAAATTCACTCTCGATCCTCAGAAATTTCGTTGTACTTGGCTTTGGAGCAGCTCACAAAAGAAATAGGTATTTGTGGCTTAAATTCCGGTAACATATTTGTCACATCGGTTTTGATTTTTACGCAAGCATAATATAGATAAGATAACATATTCACACACCTATCGTCCATGTCAGAACTACGGGATCAAACTTGTAGGGGTTATTCAGTGTAACAGTAGAAAACATTTGAGTATAGGGACCCATATCCGGCGCATGTGTGTTGTTATCTTTAAAAACGATAACAGAAGCTGTTTTTGTAGCTGTATTCCATATCGCCTTAGTCGTGCTATCGTATTTGTGAAGTTTGCAAGAATTTAACAAAAATTAATTGTTGGCAATGGAAAACTTTACCAATCAAGAATTGGCAGATATGCATTTGGCATACTGAGCAACCAGCTGCAATGCACGAGCAGCAGCGCGGTTGTATCAAGAACATTATCCCGAACGACAGCATCCTGGATACAAACAGTTTATTGCTATTCATCGGCGGCTCTCCCAGACAGGGATGTTTAAAACCAACATGCATGATACTGGTGTTGTTCGAACCGTAAGAACGGTCCAATTTGAAGAAGAGGTCATTCAGCCAGTGGCCGACGAACCATGAAGTAGCACACGTCACATTGCTGAGGTTATGAATACGAGTAACGCTTCCGTCTGGCGGGTGCTACACGAGCAGCAACTTTATCCTTTCCACTTCCAGAAAGTTCAAGGATTGACTGCAGCCGATTATGGTTTATGGACCGATGAAGCCTCTTTCATAAGAGACGGTATTTTTAAGAGTAGGAATAGCCACGTTTGTGACAAAGAAAATCCCCGTATAATTTTTCCTAGAAAACCCCAGCAACGTTGGTCTGTCAACGTATGGGCAGGCATTGTTGATGATTATTTGATTGGGCCATACCTTCTACCGGAACTCTCCAGAACTTCTTGAAAATGTTCCATTGAACGTTCGACAGCAAATGTGGTTTCAGCATGATGAAGGGCCGGCTCACTTTGCTGTACAAGTGAGTATTTGGCTCAGCGGTTTGGGCACCAGAGGTGGAGCAGTTTCTTGGCCCCTATCGGTCACCCAATTTAACGTCGCTAGATTTTTTCCTGTGGAGACATGTAAAGTCTTTGGTTTACAAAACTCCATTAGAAACAGAGCAAGACTTAATTGGACGAATTACAGCAGCATTTGAAATCATTCAAAACGAGTATCAAAGTCCGCCGAAATCATGTGCGACGTTTAAATAGGTGTATTCAGGTTGAATGAAGACATTTTGAACAATTGTTGTGATGATATCATGTACTAAAGGTAAAAATTAAATGCATTAAATCATATTTAGGCAATTAATTGTCTTTCTAAATTTTAACGCGTGTTAGGGCCGTAGTGCCGTAGTGACACTTTTCCGGATATGAGTCCGTATACTCAAATGTTTTCTACTGTGTTACACGGAATAACCCCTACAAGTTTGATCCCTTAGTTCTGAAACACGCTGTATTTTCCACTGAAACATAAACGCGATAGGTCTAATTTTAATTGTTAGAGATGTGGAATTGAAGAGTTTCATATAATAATAATAAATGTCTACAATTATGATACATATCGGTGTTAGGCGATCACATCTAGGTAGTCAGGTTTCGATTTCACTAGAGTAAGCTTCGTGTCAAGTAGGTCGACTCTATATCTAATTGCTAACATATATCGATCTCTTATGAATCAGTTCATATGACAATATACTTAAAAAATAATCCAAGTTAATTTAACTCAAGCGACTTTACTGTAGCAAATACAATAATTGATAACAGAACTGTACGGGAAGTACACAGTCAACCTACCTAACGCCACTTTTTGCCTAGATTCGTAAATACAATTTAAATACAAAGGGTACCAATTCTGCATGTAAGAAAACTTTGTTCTCTCTGGGTACCGCAAAGTCTGACGGAAGAGCAGAACATTTGTCGTCGTCGCCGAAAGATGCTGAAAATGTTTCATAAGGGGCCGTTCAAGTATTACGTAAGTAGATTTATTACAATTATTTACCCCCCCATCCCCCTTGTCAGCAAAAGTAAGCAAAGCTCTTACCCCCTCCCCCCATGCTTACGTAAACATTTGTCAATTAATATATTGTTTTTTTTAAATATTATAATTATAACGTTATAATTATAATTTGAAAAATAAGAAAATTGATTTAGGATAGAGATTATATTTTACTGATACGGTATTCAACATAGAGTAAAGGACAAAAATATTATATCTTACTAACATAACAAACTTATTTTAAATTTTTGGTACATATATTAAATTCAAATTAACAGTCTTCAGTCCATGAAACCCGAATCCATGATTCTAAGTTTTCGATGACATGGGATTGCTTCGATTGCTGCTCAGTGATGCGAGTTTGCTCGCTTTCATGGGATTTTGGAATGTCTACGTCGTTCTCATCGAGCCATTCAACATCATGGTGCTCTAAATTTTGAATAATGCACATCAGTTCATTAGCACGACGAGCAGCGACTCTTACAGGTCTAACTTTCCTATCAGTGTGCGTGTTTACTTTTTTATGGATATTTTCGATGTGACGATTTAGTGACTTGACGGAAGCATGGTAAAGAGCACACGTTTTGCATGTTCGACTTGATAGCCTCAATTTTTCCGCCGGACAAAAATAATCGTAGGGCATTTGCAGGAAATCTTTGCGTGAAGCACTTAAGCGTAGAGCTAAATTGACTGGAAGATTAAGAAATTGCCCTCCTTCATCCAAAACCAAGTCATCAACTGTTTGTTTTACTTTTACAGGTGGTGGAAGAAACCTATTGTCTAGTAATTTAAATAGACCACTTCTTGGACGACAGCATTCTGTATTTCTATATTTTACAATTTGCAGCAAGTATTGGCTCTCACGCACATGTTCTGAATACCATTTAATGTCTGGAAAATCAGGAAGATCTTGTTCACCTGCCCCAACATATTTTGCATTAACATTATAGCCATCAATTTCCATTGAACTCCATACTTCAGCTAATACATTTCCTGCAAATTCGAAATTAGATCTTTCTAAATGTTCATCAATTGTAACGCAGCGTTCATCCAAATGAGACCCAAAATGGTCATGAGGCAATATTAAACCAGTCAGTTCCCGACTAAGAAGAGCCATTCTGCGCTCTACTCTGTTATACGCACTTCTTGAAGGAGCATTGGAAGCTAAAAACAATGCATCGAGATCATGTCGCTTAAAGTGTTGTATAGCAAACCCTATGACTTTTTGATAACGTAGATTTTCATCTGGCCCTCCATCAACCGTCATGATTACCACTGGTTTTACTAGTCCATGGTCAGTTTTAGCTAATGGTCGAAACTCTTCAAGTTCGAGAAGCGTCTCAAAATCCTGAGCATGAGTATTAGCAGTAAGTGAACTATGATTTCCACTTCGAATATATGTTGGTCCAGAATATCCAACGGCTTGCGGTTGTCATAGCATATTGGAAGTGATTTTGATACCAGCATAAACAGATGGTATTAATTTATGACGTTCAGCGATTACCCAATCGTGATCAGGCAATTTGATTCCATGTGCATTAAAAGAGGTGCTTGCTTATTTGCCGCAGTTACGCCAATATGGATTCGAGATTTTTTCATCTTGATATATGAAAAATACTTGATCTGGTCCAAGTATGGATGCTATGTTCTCTAAATAATGGATTGATGTTTCAGCGAACTTGCTATCTAAGTGGCTCTTGTGGTGATCAATTTGAGCCCGAATGAGCTTAACAGGGACTGTCGATACATGTCTTCGTCCCTCTGCAGAATTAGATTTCCTGGGAATCAAGCGAAGATATATCCCACTGCGACTAATGTCAAATCCTATTTTACGTAATTCTTGTGTGAGTTCATCAAGAGTTTTTACGCTTCGAATTTATTCCGGTTTTATTTTATCTTCTTCCTGTTTTTTAATATTTGACTGTATAATTTGTGTTTTTCTGCAGGTTTACAGGTTGCCTAAAAATAAAAACTTTCTATGGCTTCTGCTAAAGATTCTGTTATTAAGCTACATAAATACAAAGTATGGCAATATATTTATGGTAAATACAAAACCCTATGGCTTTAAATCTAATATGTTTAAACGAGCAATTCGTTCCGGTCGCAAAATACAGGTTGTTAGTTTTCTGTATATATGTATAAACCTAACATCTTGTACTTTGTGACCAATTGACGGAATCAATCATAAGAAATAAATCTATAATATAATGAATATTACCATTATACTTTGAGATAGGCCATAATATTTTCTAATCAGTAAAGAGAACCTTTTTGGCGTTTTCTAATATTTCTAGTACTCATAGGTACCTAAAGTGATTTCATCACTCACCTTAGTAAAAAAATTTAGTAGATTGGATTTATTCTTAGTCGCCGCTTGCAATTCTTCACATCTAGTTCCTTGTCGGATTTTTCTTGTAATTTGTAATTTCGCCACACTTCGTTAACTAACTTTTGTACATTTTGTACTTAAATACTTCTATGAGATTTTTTAAAACTTTCAAACAATTTTTGGTATAACTTGGATTTGTCTATGTGAAATGACATCTTATTTAAACATTAAACTTTGGCTAATGGAATCAATGGTAACACAAATGTTAACTTGCTTACAGTACGTCTACTCGCTATAGTATCCAAACGATACAGGGCATTTAGACAAGTGAACACCGCGCGGTAATTCCCCTACTCGGTTCTAAAGCGAGTCGGGGAATTACCGCGCGCTGTTCACTAAACGTATGCATTATTTGCGGGAATCCCCGAAAATGCGTTTCGTTTTCAAGCAAAGACAATGTGAGGGTTGCCATTCGTGTAAAAAAGTAAATAACTACCGATGACGTAATCATCATCTAGACTCCCCTACCCCCCATGTCATAAGCAATGCAAAGATCCCCCCGCCCCACCATAGTGCTCACGTAATACCTGAACGGCCCCTAAGGGGCAATCTCGGTATGTGAACAGCATCGTGACGGGCAACGAGACTTGGCTCTATTATTGCTATGTGCCGACCAAGGCTCAAAACAAAGTTTGGGTTTTTGATGAGAAGGACACACCCGTAGCTGTCCGAAAATCCCAATCTGTTGAGAAAAAAATGATAGCTGTATTTTTCAAATCGAGCGGAATTATGGAGAGTGTCGGTTTTGGACACACAGAAGACAAAGACAGCTAAGAGGTACACGGAACTGTGCCTGTCTAAAGTCATGGCCCAAGTCTAGAATGGGCACTTGGTACCTCCATGATAACGCTCCAGCCCACCGCGCGAAAGCCTGCACCGAATATTTGACCACTACTGGACTAAAACTTAATGAGCACCCTCCTTACAGTTCAGATCTTGCTCCCTGCGACTTTGCACTGTTTCCGCATGTGAAAATGAAGGTGGTTTTGGCGCATGGAGAAGTGTTTTGAATGTGGTGGAAATTACTTTGAACGAAGTCAACGAATAAAGCTGTATTGCAAAACTTCTATAGTACCCTTTGTACCTACTTAGGCACCCTGCTACTCAGTCAGAAATGTTTTGCAAGCTTTCTGTAACTATTATTTTTGAATCTTGAGAATCACTTACCTGTCTTCGGAAAACTACATATCCAAATATCCTCATTACGGACATCCCAATTGTGAATTTCATCCTGCAATTCCTCGAACCTTTTGGGCATCGTGAAGCCCTTCACTTTCACGTACCCCCGTCTGAACGACGACGTAAAATCCCTTTGTAGGATTTCGTCTAATTGTTCTTCTGTCAAACGCGCGGTCATCGTTGTTAGACTATTGCGAGCGTAGCAACAAAAGAATAACCACCTTATTCAGTCAAATCAGAAAGTTCTTTTTCACAGCCTTGACATAAAATCGATTTGCTATTGTAAAATCTGTATTATATGGCGGTTACGGACGGCGAAAAGAAAAAACAAAATGCGTGTAAAGTGAAAGCTCATGATACTATCTCGCCCAGTAATTCACATCTGAAACAGTACCTGCTAATGAAAAAAATTATACTCAAACTTCGACGATAAGGTAACCGCTAAAGACTTCGAAAATCTTCTCAAAAAAACATGTCTGTAGCACAGTGGTCCAAACACCTGAAAAACTGGCAAAAAATACATCTGTAGCATCTTCACAAAATTTGATACAGAAGCGTTTTTGTAGCCGCTGATTAAAAATCTGCTTCAGAAAACCAGGAATTCAATATATCGCATCCTTGAAATAAGTTGATATTATGATGTTTGATAGGAGATCATTATAGTACTATAGTGATTGCCGAGCAAGAAGGCTTCTTCAAAAAAACATTATATTTCAATTTTACACCAGAATCTGACCTTGACCTCGAGTAGCATTTGAGCTTGACACGACCTTGACTTCCAGTTCAAGGTCACACTCGGACGTTAAAGTTTCTGTGTTTTCCATTTCCAGTATAAAAAAGTTTCCTTCCTTTGGCTTGAACTTGAAGGTCCTAGCCAAGGTCATGCTCAAGGTTACCCATAAACCTCACAACTGTGCTGCCACTTTCGCTAGAGCAAATTGTTTTCTATGTCATGATTTGACCTTGAAATGGATTTATGTGGGTTTATGAATTCTAGGTTCCGGAGGGGAAAATGATGGTGACCTTGACAGTGTCCTTAAGTACGACCATCAGGATTCTTTTAAGGTCGAGCGGATATTTTCAAATATAGCCTCCTGACATTACCTTGACCGTAACCTTGATTATTGCCTCCAAAGTCAAACCTGCTCTAGCAAAAATCTGCAAAGTCGACGTCATTTTTTGAATTTGTATTGTTACAAAAAATAAAAAGAATCATAGTCAATTTCAATATCTATTAAGTATCTTTGCATTTTATATGTGCCTCAAGTTTTTTTAACTTTCTGCATCTTCGTCTTCCACAAGTGATCGAAGAACTCAAATAGTATTTGAGCTTGACACGACCTTGACTTCGAGTTCAAGGTCACTCTCGGACGTTAAAGTTTCTGTGTTTTCCATTTCCAGTATAAAAAAGTGTCCTTCCTTTGGCTTGAACTTGAAGGTCCTAGCCAAGGTCATGCTCAAGGTTACCTATAAACCTCACAACTGTGCTGTCACTTTCGCTAGAGCAAATTGTTTTCGATGTCATAATTTGACCTTGAAATGGCTTTATGGGGTTATGATCAAGATGAAATTCTAGAAAAAGTGTCAAATAAAAGTCGTAGGGATCCGGAGGGGAAAAATGATGGTGACCTTGATAGTGTCCTTCAGTACGATCTTCAAGATTTTTTAAGGTCTAGTGGATATTTTCAAATAAAACATCTCATTTTTCACATCGGAATTGAAAAGAGGAGCAAATCTTGCTTCCTGACATTACCTTGACTGGAACATTGACCATTACCTCCAAGGTCAAATCGAAAACAATTTGCACTGGCAAAACTGCTCGATATCACAGCTGTGAAGTTTGTGAGGCTCACCCAAAGATGACCTCGAAGATGATCTTCAATGTCATTCCTATTAACCTCACAACTGTGCTGTCTTGCACTTTTGAAATGGCTTTCAAAGTCAAGGTCATGACCAATGTGATGCTACGCATTCTAGAAAAAAGTGTCAAATGAAAGTTTTAGGGTTCCGGAGTAGAAAAAAGATGGTGATCTTGATAATGTCCTTGAGCACGATCTTCAAAATTCTTATAAGGTCGAGTGGATATTTTCAAATGTAGCCTCTTGACATTACATTGGCCGTGACCTTGACAGAGCACGACCTTCAAGATTATTTTAAGATCGATTGGATATTTTCAAATACATATATTACCTTGACCGTGACCTTGACCATTGCCTCCAAGGTAAAATCTGCTCTAGCAAAAATGTGCAAACTTGACGTCATTTTTTTAATCTGTATTGTTACAAAAAATAAAAAGAATCATAGTCAATATCTATTAAGTATTTTTGCATCTTATATGTGCTTCAAGTTTTTTGAACTTTCTGCATCTTCGTCTTCCACATATGATCGAAGAACTCCATTTCATTTTCATTTTCCACCGGAATGACGCTCAAAGTCATCGTGAATGGTCGTTTTCGTTGAATCATCTCCACAATATTGAACTTATTCTCCCCGTGTCTCTCATTTTGAGTTCGTCCATTTTCAGCCGTAGGCAAAGACGAAAATCTAAAGCTCGTAGTTGCTAGCAAATTCACCTCACTCGGGTCGTTGGGTCTGAAATGCTGCAACATTGATGGTCTTTCAACGTGAAGTGAAATTTTGCTTCCACCTATTCTCTCCATGTTGTTTGAAGAGTTCTCTTTCAAAACGTCTTGGATACTTGTTGGGTAGTTTTGACGTTTGTCTCTAGTAGAGTCCAAACTGAAAGGTCTTGGGAGAGGTGGCTTGTCTGTTTTTGAGTGTATTATTTGATAGTTTTCTTGATCGTATGGCGTCCCTGAGGAGTATCCGTTCTAAAAAGTAGACAATTTCATTATTATAGTTATACAGGGTGTTTCAGTTTATTGTTGCATAACTTCAAGATTCGATAGAACTATTAAAATTAATGCATAAAGTCTGTATAAACATGGGTCGAAAAATGCGTGGCTTCCGAAATACAGGGTGTTTAAATTTACTTTCTAAAATAGTTTTTTTTTAAATATTTCGAACAATATTTGATGTATAACAGTGAAAATTGGTATACAAGGGTTTTTTGGTACGACAAAACGAACCTACATTTTACTGTAGCCGCTAGAGGGCGCTCTCTACTGTATCTGTAGTGTATTAAAATGACCGAAAAAATTTTCTTAGTGCAATTTTTTGCTTTTTGAATAAAAAAACTGATTCTTCGCACTTTTCAACATAAAAAACCTCTCCTGTGAGTTTTCGTTATAGTTAGCCGTTTTTGAGATATTTCGATTTTTAAGGTTCCATGCATTTTTAATTATTTATGGGAAAATAATATTTTTTTTTACATTTTCGATTTGGGCATTACAAGTAATTAATTTGATCGTTTAGATTGTGTTTTTAAACACAGCAATAATTCTTAACTCCAAATAAACACAAAAAAACAGAATATTAATTTGTTTAATTTTCCAATATTATTTTTAACAAATTAAATTAATTATTTACAACTAAAATGCTATTGGATAGTTAGGACAAACATACAAAATCTAAAGTAGTTGCTCGAAATGTAAACCCAATTCACCATCTACGAATGATCGAACGTGGTATAGCATTATTCAAATAAGGCCTTATTCCATCACATGCATTCCTGATTCTGTCTATTAGCATATCTCTTGTGGTTACGGGAGTCTGGTACACTTTTTCTTTTAGAAATCCCCACACAAAGAAATCTAATGGATTTAGGTCAAGGGATCGTGGAGGCCAGACGACTGGTCCTCCACGGCCGATCCATCTTTCTGGATAATTTTCGTCCAGCCAGTTTCTAACTATTCTCGAATAATGAGCTGGACAACCATCAAGCTGGAACCAGGCCAATCTTCTTAAATCTAACATAACATCATCCCACATATTTGCATGTTCAGCCTTTAAAAATTCCAAGAAGGTCGCAGCATTTAACCTTGCAGGAAAAAGGTAGGGTCCAAATAGTCGATTACGGTAGATACCAATCCACACGTTCACACTAAATTCATGCTGAAAATTTCTTTCCCGAACTGCATGCGGATTTTCATGCGACCAGATATGTTGATTATGAACTTTACCACTCCACGTCTAGTGAAGCATGACTCATTGGTCCATAAAACGTTACTTAAAAACACCCTATTATTATCAGTTCTATCAAGAATCCACCGACAAAATGTGATTCTTCGTTCTCCGTCCCCTGGCTGTAGTCCTTGCACAGGTTGCAAATGGTAAGGACGTCTATGGTCATTTCTAAGAACACGGTGAACATGGCTTGCTGAAATTCCCAAGGCACCAGAAACTCTCCTAACACTTGTGGTCGGATCTCTATCAAACTCACGCAGAATCATACGGGCAAATCTGCGCTGACGAACATTTATGTTTTGATCCCTTTGGAGATTTCCAAAACCATTTTCAATTATTTGGCGATGCAATCGTACAAATACTGAGCGAGTTGGATGTCGTCTGTTTGGAAATCTTCGTGTGTATTCTCTGGCTGCTTCTGCTGCGTTTCCATTTACAAAGCCATATACAAAAAGAATATCCGCTAACTCTTGATTGGAGAATAAAAATGGCACTTTTATAAAACTTACAAAAAAAAACAGGTAAAAGAAACTAAATTTCGTGCATTCACAATTGCAAAAAAACGCTTCAGGTTTCAACAGACAACAAAACTAAATGTCAACTAATTGACGTTTAACATTATTCTGCTTTCAATTTCAAAAATATTTGCAGGCGCAGCCTACTTCTAAAAATTATCGAGATACTGACTTTTTAACGTTATTTTATCATAAATAATTAAAAATGCATAGAACCTTGAAAATCGAATTATCTCAAAAACGGCTAACTATATCGAAAATTCACAAGAGAGCTTTTTTATGTTGAAAAGTGCGAAGAATCATTTTTTTTGTTCAAAAAGCAAAAAATTGCACTAAGAAAAAAGTTTCGGTCATTTTAATACACTACAAATACAGTAGTGAGCGCCCTCTAGCGGCTACAGTAAAACTATGCCCATGGTTCGTTTTGTCGTACCAAAAAACTCTTGTATACCAATTTTCACTGTTATACATCAAATATTGTTCGAAATATTTAAAAAAAACTATTTTAGAAAGTAAATTTAAACACCCTGTATTTCGGAAGCCACGCATTTTTCGACCCATGTTTATATAGACTTTATGCATGAATTTTAAAAGTTCTATCGAATCTTAAAGTTATGCAACAATAAACTGAAACTCCCTGTATAGTGGCGAAGACTGAGTTTTAGCTTCAAGGATATTGATAATTTGGAAATACTTATTTTCAAAAATTTACAACACTTAATCATTTTCGAATCTAGCTTAATTTTATGGTCCAACATTTCCAGAATTTTATTTCGTACAAATGATACAATCGAGGAAATTTCCAACATAATAATTTTTTAATGTCTGGTGATGTCAGCATCATCAAAATTTATGTCCTTCATTTCCGCCAGTTTGTCTACTCGTATCTGCCTGACAACCTCTTTTCCACACGCGTAATTCCTAATCTCGAAAAACGTAGTTGACGTAATCAGAATTACAATATGACATTTCGTCTGATGTCCTCCAGCATCAACTTGACTTTTTTTATGGACGCCATATTGGATTTTTCCACGAATGAAAAGCGTTTTTAATTCTGAATCCAAACTGTTTACCTGTCATGCATTAACATTGCCAAACCTTAGTTATTTAAAAAAAAAAACAGAATTTCTTGGGTAGGCCGTGATATTATTATATAGTCATTTGTTCCGTACATCAGATTTATTAAAAAATCATAACTGTTTTCTGACTTTATTTGAGATGTGATTTCAAAATAAATTGCACGTCCTTGTCACTACAAGAGAGGTTCAAATTTTGAATTCGAGGTTTTTTCTGTGGACTTCCGTCACCTACTTTGTTTTTTCATCTGGACGCTATATTGGAATTTTGAAAATTTAAATAACGGGTGATTCATTTAGAGGTACTTTTTTGGTGTGGCTGTAATTGCTTATGGCGCATGCGTCATGGCAACTAATTTGACATTTTCTGTTTCAGTATTGTTCGACATTTCATCATGGAACGACTTAGTCCAGCACAGCGTCTACAAATGATTCAGCTGTACTACGAAAATCAACGTTCTGCTAGAAGGGTGTTTTGTGCACTTAGAGCAACTTATGGTGTACATAATGGCTTTATTGCGAGAACATTTCGATGAACACTTAATTTCACGATTTGGACCAGTGAATTGGCCACCTAGATCATGTGATATCACACCTCTAGACTTTTTCCTTTGGGGCTACGTTAAGTCCAAAGTCTACTTTGATAAGCCCAATACGATTGAGGAATTAGAAGCCAACTAAATTACCCAGGTCATTCGCCAAATTCCAGTCGAAATGCTCCAACGTGTCATCGAAAATTGGAGCTTTAGAATGGACCATCTCAACCGCAGTCAGGGCCAACATTTGAAGGAAATAATATTTAAAAAATAAATGTCAAAAGTAGTTCTTTTCTTTAATAAAAAAGATTTGACAAGAAAAAAGAATTTTGTTATTTTACTTTGTTGCTGAAAAAAGTACCTATAAATGAATCACCCATTATTAAGAATAATATTACTTTGAATAATATTTTTTGAGCGATTTCTCATCGATTATAAAAATCCTGATCTCGTTCTACAGTTGCCAAAAATGCGCGCCCTTTTTTTAAAAGTGCCTTACAAGTAGTTAGATCGCTATTAACAAAACACTTTCAAGGTGAATAGAATTTTTGTTTTCCGTGTCGTATATAGACAGATTCTTATACTAATACCCGGGAGAAATCAAATCAATCTAGAAATCTAATTGCATTTTTTAAGTTCTAACATAAAATAATAAATCAGCTTTTAGCACTGGACTTACCATAAAAATTACTACCATCAAGGTTGCTTTTATTAGACTCATAAATTTAACAGTGCTGCTTGCTGTCATAACTTTTACAAGATTAATTGTTGATCTAGAAGGCGACAAGATATGAAACGAATTAAAATAATTTGTCGACAAAAAGTTGACGCCGCGTAAAAAATAACTGGAACGGAAAAACTTAATTAGGTAGTCTGATGTTAGTATTGTTCTTGAGGCATGGTAGGTATGTGATAATTGATGGAAGTCTACCAAGGCGTTGGTACTAATTTTTTCATTGCATTTTCTGCGTGACGATGTCACATTAAAAAAATAATCGACGTATACAGTGCGTTGCTAATTTTTCAAACTTAACTCTTACAGCTTTGCTCTCGGAAATGGTAAGATTTGAGAAGTATGTGAATTAGGACAAAACGGACTTGCACTTGTGTGAAGCTTTGTAAGTTCGAAAATGAAGTAAAACCCGTATTTTTTAAAACGACTTTTGATAAATTCGGCGTCAGGGGTGATATTTATTAAAATTTATTCTTTTTGTTTTGACAGCGTGGGGTGGGAGTTTATGACCCGCGTCACGCTGTTTTACGTCTTGCGATTTAATTTCAGTCCACAGGAAATGTGCATCAATTTACGCCCTAGGTAGATATATAACTATATTGCGCCTTCACTTTTTCGTATCAGAAATCTAGCAGTCCGGTTCTATATAAACCGTTAAAATGTCATCTGTCAAGGTGAAGGTGGTCAATTGTCTAACCCTAAAAATTGACCCTAACCTACAAATGTAACTGGCTTTTTCAAGCTCGTAGTTTTACCGGCTTTTCATACCGTCTACTCTGTTATAAAAGGAGTATTTGTATAAAAATATTGTAAATTATCAACACAACTAATAAATCTACCTACAACAGCTCGAGCCAGTGATAAAATGCTCTCAAATTGTTCCAATCATTAAAAAGTGAGGTCTGTTTACATGCTTCAGTTTTCCTTCAAACCAGAAAATATTCAGTAAACATGACTGAATTCACGCTGAGCTATAGAGAAATTATACCAGACCAGACTGCTTTGGACAGTTGGAAGGAAATAACATTAACAACAGGTATGTGAAACAACTAGTTTTCTTGGATCGACTTCTTCATACTTTAATGTTTTGTAGGGGGTACGCAGAGTACTTTGCAAGACATAAAAGTCGCAGAACGTGCAAATGGGTTCTGTTACGAAAATTCCAAGAAGCATTATACTAGAAATCGATTCATATATTGGTGAGTACTTCAACTTATATTTATCTATGCGAAATTGTATGTCTCATTTATACCTTTGCAGGAGAATAAACTATGATGTTCTGGAGTTGGTAGAACACAGTTTGGATATAAATTTGACCAACAATAGGGTCCGCTACAAATTCACAGACACACCTATTTTAGATGGGGTGTCCATACATGAAACCTATGAAAATATTGTAATCTTGGTGCCTACAGTTTGCAGTGTTCATTGTTTGGTGTTTCCACATCCAGAAAGATTCCACAAGCAGGCAAGTTCTTGTATAAAAAAAGTTTTACAAAAAATCAAGAAGATTTTTGTTATACAAGATTCAGTTTAGTTATAAGAACATTTGAAATACTAACACATTAACCAGTTTATTTAGAAAAATCAGATTTACAGACATTCCTTGTATAACTGGATTCTTTAATTTACATTTATGTGGTAATGATTCATTATGCTTTTTTATTTACACAGGACGAATTGTTGGGTAGCCATCCTGACCTAGCAGCACCATCAATATTTTCAAAGGCATCTCCAGTTGAAGCAAGGAATCCTAACACATTTTACTTGTTTAGCACACCTAGCACAGCAGGTAAAATAACAGAGTTTTACAATTCTTAGAAATGGTTTATAGTTTTAGTTACCTTGCGAGCCTAAATGCCACTACAACCTATTTGGATCTTATGCAGTCTCCCATATCCAGTGTAGAGCACCATGATTTTTTGACCAGACTCCATCATCTTGATACAGGGCTTTTCATGTTGCTTTCCAGTATTGGCATGGTGATTTCTGATACCCGAAACCTTAGGCTTGCCAGGCAGTGACACCAGAGATGCAATGGGGTTTCCGCATTCTTTCTGCAGAATTAGTAATTGGCCTCTTATGCTAGACCCAAGAGACCCATATGCTGAATTAAAAGACACTGTCATGTTAGGAGATCCACTATAGCTCTTATAATAATAATTCCAGTTTTATTAGGGTGAAATTTAGCCAATTTTTTAATGAACTAGTTTGGCTTCCTCTATCTGGCCATTCTAGGGATCTTTTCTTGGCCCATTATCTTTTCTTTCATGCCCTTTGTGTTCTGGCATCCAGAGCAATGTTAACCAGGATATTGCTCTAAGTACAAGGTAACATTGCTCTGGGTACCATAGAAATGAGTATAGTAAATCATATTTTTTGAGTATGTTGGTGAAATTGATTTTATTTTAGCTGACCAGTTGCCTTGTATGGCAAGTAGCTACCTGTCACCAGCTGAAGAGGCATTTTTTGTGCTTGCCTATCCTTCAAAAGAGCTACTTTTGATCAGACAAAATCCTCACACTGGTAATGCAGCAGCTACTGAGCTTAAGGCAGATTCTTCGCTCATGCCTAGGTTCCTTAGTGGCCTAGCTGAGAAATTCAGGTAAGATCATCATACCACTGATCGTAAGATACAGTATTTTACTAAAACTCAACTGTACAGGATGTCCTCAAAATTGGGACTTTCCTTTACATGGAAAAATTAGCAGTTTTTTCTAGTATTACATACACCAAAGTCTCAAGATTACAGAGATGTTAAGCTCCTCAGGATAAATCAAACCTAAACAACACCTAATCCGGTCACGATCCAACGTGAACACGTACGATTTACATCAGTACTCTGCTCGCGTTCGTAAACAAAACGTTTGCACATCGGTTCTAAAAGACAAAGCAAAATCACACAATCATACAGCAATATTGAATTTGTCCATATTATTTTAATTTACGATGAGTGTCTTCAAAATGCTACCGAGGCTTCGCGAGTGCATGCAGATCGTTTTCCAAGATCCTTCATGATTTGCTTTTTTGTTTGAGGTGCAATGAAATGTTTATTTTATAAAATTGAGGTGAACATGGTTGAAAAACTACGTTTATATCCTTGCACAGTTTTAAATTATGAACCTCATCTGCAATTGACAACAAATGCGAACATTTTCAGTAACTAAGAAATTTAGATCAAAAGTGTTTTTTACGTTTTCTCAATATTTTTCTTCATGTGACTTGACTGGTTTATGCATTGGACCCCTTAAATGTAGTTTTTTCTGAAAAACAAATGCCCCCCTTGGGCACCCTGTGTATTATATTTTCTGTTGAAAAATATAAGTTCATTTGATCAGCAACGTTTTTTTCAGGCAAAGAAACACTGATGGTGAGAGTATAGTAAGTCTCTTATTCTTTGTGAGTGAATATGAGGTATATGTGGTGACACTGTGCAGAGAAGGCCGTCTCATGTTTTGGTCTTGTTCCAAAGGGCAGTGTGTTGCTATTGTTGATGTTGCCGCAGAAACTGGGGATTATTCTAGGGACCAAGTACAATCTGGTAAATTTACTTAAATTGCTTTTATTATATGATTCTACATCTTTCAAACTGTAAAGACAGTTGGATTGTATCTGTCTCTTGTTTTTGCAGCTATATTAAGGAAGGCGGTAGATAACAAATCTACAACAGACAGCATCCTAGCTGTTTTCATTAATTTCTCATCTGGTTGTCAGTTTCATATCTTTTCTATCCCTGAAATCAATGGCCAGCAAATCAGGATTCAACGTATCAAGACCTTGTTACCACCTGAGGTAAGCTAATAATGATGATAACTGATGTCTTTATTAACAGAATTAGAAAATTACAGGGGACTGATTGGGCACATACAGCATTGTTCAATCAGTCTGTAATGTTAAGTGGTACATTAACAATACAATAAATTCTTCACATTGACTATGTTTACTCTCTACGCCTATTAGCAAGGAAGTAATCGCGAAAGATTTAAAAAACGAGATATTTTGTTTCTTGGATATAATAATTCGAATTGATCCCAGGATTGTATTGGAAAGTCCAGAGTCAACGTATTTGACACCATCTCTCCATTGACGATCCAGAGATTGAAATTATGAGTACTTCTATGGTTGTTGTTCAACTTTGCTGATAAAAACATTTGCGTTATAATTTCAGACGGACCTGATAGACTTTGCATTACAATCGAACCGCCTGTGGTCTCTATGGCGGTGCGAAGACGGTGGTACTGCAGCGTATTGCAGCAGCTTGAGAGGGGAAGGGGTGGGATCCGGATGGGCCCCGGTCGCTCTGGAACCACCCCCTGATGCTGACAGGCCACCTCAAGCTGCGGAAGGTACAGTTGCCGATCCCAGACAGCTGTACCTGCATCATATCTTTCAACCAGGAAGGTTCCCTAAGCACATCATCACTAAGGCTTTGTCGGTAAGTTAAAGCCAAGGAGTTAGGATAATGTTGTTTATGTCATTTTACTTCCCATGTTGCTCTGTACATTTAGCTAAGTTAGGGCGCTGAATTCGAATATCGTGAAAAAACCTTAAAGGATCAAGGAGTGAAATATTGGTAAAAAACTGGGATCACCCGTGAATCCTAGCGCTAAGCTGACATTGAATTCGGAATCTACGCACCCGATTTACCTATAAAACGAGTTTCAATACACATCACAGACGCTCAACATTTTTGGGGATTCTTATTAGTCGTTTTTTGATCGGTAGAATTGTTACCTGTATCTCGAGAATGGAGCATTTCCGGACTGAATGGGCCCCGGATTCGGTTCCAGCAGCCCAAAAATGTATTATAATGATTTTTTCGCAAGATACAGCATAGCAATTTTTCCCAGAATTTTTAATTGTCCACTCTCGGAACAAACGCAATGGAACCCAGCGGAAGATTCTCGCTTCGTTCTTTTCGTTTCCCTTAATGAAGGTGCACTTTTATCCTTCAACTCGGAAGTATAAAGGGTGGCTTCCTTCTCGTTTTCGTGAAATTGTTAGGTTTTTTGATTCCAGATTTACAAACGTTCGACTGTTCTTTCTGACACACCCCTGTCAAGTGCAATGTTGAGACAACGAATCTGCTTGGCCGTTGAAAACGAGATCCAGTCTACACTCGGCGGTCAAGTGGTCAATGATGATGAGTACTTAGACGCCGCAGAATGGTAAGTATTGGTGAAACATTCTGTGCTAACTCTTAACATCAACACTTTTGTCCTTTGTTAGTTGTTGATCAGTTAAGTCAGCATTGCAGACAACGAGTCTGCACCATTTTTTACAAGTTATTTTGTATTTAACATAAATAAATTTGCTTATTTCTTTCAGGTGTTGGAATAAATTCTACTCATGTTGTGTACAATATCACATTGCTAGCTTGAAACCTTTAGGTTTGATGCTGTTGCCTTCCGTATCAGCTGCCATATTCCTCAAGAAATCATCCTTTTCATTCCTTAGACCTGTCGATCCTTTGGAACATATGATGCTGTGCGCTGATGACGTCTATCAGGACCAGTTTATTAACTTTGCCATGCTATCTGAAGGTATGCACTTAATTATTTTTTACGATTGCATATTTATTTTTGGTAGGTTGTTATCATCTTGAATCAATAAGATATTGACATTTCTCCAAGAAAATGTTCAACCCAAGAAGCAAATTTTTTAGGCGGTGTTTCTATTTGAATGTCAACCAATTTATAACAAAAAGTATTCTTTTTATAACAATGACGTGATGGTTAAGACGTGGTTATAAATTTTTAGTACTAGCCCGCTGCTGTACTAGTTTTCTCCAGCTCATCAGCAGAGATCAGCTGAATTCGTGCATGTAGAGTGCTGTCATTGCTGTTATTTATTTTTGGATTGCTGTAACTACTTGATCGCAACGTGGATCTTGAAATAAATGTCGACTTTTAGATCCAGAAACGGTGTCAGACGTTTTGAAGCTCTTTGAAGTAATAGTTTATTTGGATCAGCAGATGAGCGAAACCTTTTTCCAAACTTTCGAAAAGGAACTGGCCGCTCTCCAGATGCCAGACGCTGTCATGGAGACTCTGCTCAAGAAAATATCGCTGGAGATGGACAGCCAGGTAGGACAAAATATATTTATTTATTCGCCTATAAGTAAAGGGTGGGCTATTTGAAATTTGTTATATGAATTGGATTTAAAAATGAAACTAATCGAGTAGTAGAAACTCAAACGGTTGTGAGGGGGCTGAAAATCGCAGATTCTTGTTAAGAAATGATTCTTTGTTGGTATCTAATTTTATTGCAATCATATACTGGTTTGTCGGACAAAAACTCCTATCTCTTTAAAATATGGGTTTACTAGTCTTTTATAAAATCGCATTGAGTAGTGCCGCGCCATCTGCCAGACGATAGCTAAACTAAATTAAAAATAGATCAAGTAAGTGGACGTGAGGGAGTCAACATCCGCCAGTACTTGTCGAATAAGATTCTTTGCATTTCCTAATTTTTTTTTTTTTAACAAAAGTTCCGGAGCCCCACGATAATCTGTGAACTAATAATGGTATGAAAAAACTAAGCCCCGAGATTGATATGAGTTTTTACCAGCTACTCAATGGTGACCTTGGATTTGACCTTGACATTCAAGGTCTTTGACTCCGTAAATGAAAGGAGCGGAAAACTCTGCGTTCAAATATGGTCTTGACCGTTTTTAAATTTTGGTCAAGGTCAACCAAAAGCTTTGGGAAAAGAGCTATTGAAATTTGTTTATCGTTTAACTGTTGGAGTAATGAGAAAATAGCATCCATGGTATTTATTTGAAGGAGAAGGAATGTAGTGACTTAGAAATGTATAGCTAGAATACATCTACCTTTAATGGAGCGTTTCTGGTAAAAAAGCATCATGGTAGAAAATGGACCTACGAGGTTTTTGCAGTGAACGATTCAATTGTCATTTAATTTTATACAGGGTGTCTGTGAAAGGTTGGGAAATCTCGAAACTGGAGATACTACAGAACAAAATATGTGAATTGACCTGAACATACTTTAGTCCAAAAGTTGATAGTTTGCGAGATACAGGGTGTCAAAGTTATAATTTTATTTTCTATTTTTCCTTATTGCTTGAGAAGTATTTCAGATTTTGGCATAAAGCGGTATAGGGAGTATGAGAAACGAGAATCCGTTATGTTTTATCGCCAAACTTCTATAGTGCCCCACTTACAGCAGTATTTCGGTAAATAACTCATCATAATTTTTTTGTGCTACCCTGTATACAACCACTGACCGAAACATCTTATTTTTTCGTATTTCCACAACAAAAAAGGTTTATTTGTTAGAAGTGTTTGAAGCTAATAGTTTTCGAGATATTTGTTTTTAAAAGTACCAATGCATTATTTGTACTATGATGATAAAACATTTTTATAACATAAAAGCTGCTTTGGATGATGTTTGAGTAGCGTTGCTATGTTTTCTAATGTTTGTCATAATATTGCTTTAAACTTCAAGAATAATTTTAAGTTGACAATAAGTTGTTAAACATCATGGAGTATACGTTTGATGAATATTCTGATATGCATTTAATGTACGGATTGGCAAGATATAATGCTTTGAAAACAAATATCTCGAAAACTATTAGCTCGAGACACTTCAAACAAGTAAACCTTTTTTGTTGTGGAAATACGAGAAAATAAGATTTTCTGGTCAGTTGTTGTATACAGGGTAGCACAAAAAAGTTATGATAATTTATTTACCAAAATAGTGAGGTAAGTGGCACCCTCTAGAAGTTTGGCCATAAAAAATAACGGATTCTTATAGAAGAAAAACCTCCCTATACCAAGTTTTATGCCAAAATCTGAAATACTTCTCAAGCAATAAGGAAAAATAGAAAATAAAATTGTAACTTTGATAACCTGTATCTTGCAAACTATCAACTTTAGGACTAGGTCACTTCACATATTTTGTTCTGTAGTATCTCCAGTTTCGAGATTTCCCAAGTTTTCGCAGATGCTGGTTCCTTTACCTTACTTTTATAATTATAAAACAAAGAGACTTGCGGAGTTACTCATGTTCCGACACGTCAAAGTATTAATATAACCGCTAATTTCAAACACTAGACGGCCCACCCTGAATGAAATTACTTTTTTTGATCAACCTGTCTACATATTTTCGTTTTCAGTTCACATCTCACATTCTGGAGTTGTTGAACAAAATCTCTGATCTGTACAACGCGATTAACAAAGTTTTGGAATTGGTTCAATTCGGCGGAACATCTGTGGCCTCGGAAGACGGGGAAGATGGACAGTTTCACATCAACCAATCAGCAATGCACTTCTTCAGCTCGCAACTTGGAGTCTCCGTTGCGGCTGGATGTTTGAGGCAGCAGGCGCAAGTGCGGTCAGTATAAACGTTTAGAATAATGTTCATAACATTTTAATCATCTCATGATTTCCTGATTTAATAATGATCAGTATTTATACAGTTTTCAGATATGTCGAAACCTGCTCTTGATCTGCAACATCGTGTTAAGCGAAGTTCGTTTGGAGTTGCACGTTCTCGAAGCTGTGCGGTCTGTTTGTACACCCGAAATCGTCGTTTTGACGCAATCTGCTTATGTCATGTTGTGGATCACCGGCCTTTCTGCACAACTCAATGTACCACAGTGAGTTGATTTTGTAATTATTGAAAAAAAAGATCCTTGAAGCTAATGCACTATTTCTCCAAGCTATTATTATATAATGCACTTTTTTCTTTCGTTATAATTTTCTTTTTATTTTCTCTTCTTTGTTTTTTTGGTCACTGCTTTCGCATTTGCGACTAGGAAACCCTCTAAAGTACCTATTGCTTATTTTACTTAGGTATCTTCAGGCATTGATTAGTTTTCCACTTGCGCCAAATAAGCATAAGAGAGGCGCCAAAAAGGGTTTTTACATGCTAGCGCCATCTATGTGACAATAGCGGACCCAAACACTCTTAAAACTTTCCAAAGTGCATGTCTAAATTTATTTTTATGTTCTGCTACTGTTTATTAGATGGCGCTAGCATCTTTTAGATCCTTCTTTGGACGCCTGAATATAATACATGATTAGGAATCTTCAGGTAGAATACGTTAACGAATGCTTATGGCTACTTTCGACAAATTGTCTTTTAATCTTTTGGCTAGGCAAGTTTGAAAATGTAACATATTTGAAACTTATCCTGTGGTTCTTTTGCTGGTGAGTCTTCAGGTTTTGCTGGCTGGCAAATAAACCCTTAAACGCGGAATTGAATGATTCATTAACGTTCCGGCCACTTTGGTGGCCTTTTTTCAAAACACAATGACAGTCACAATATATTTTTTATTGTCACTGTCATTGTACTTTGGAAAAGGCAGACATACTCAAAAGCATGGATATTGACAAGTTCGAGAATCCTCGGGATTTTGCGCCTAAATGTAGTGGGGCAGGGGGGCAAATTTAGATTTATTTTAAAAAAGCTGCTGTTCCAAAAATTAACAATGATATGCCAGTCATTATTTTAAGATCTAAAAATACAAGTCTGCATCTAGCCCTAGGATTGCTTTTAGTTATACAGGGTGCGGTAGAGAGGATGGACGGTTTTAAAAAAATCATAAAATAGTTAATTTTTACTCGGAAACAAATTTATTGATGGAATCAGGTTCACAAGGAAATAGCATTTGAGACAGTCAAGTGTGGAAAATCACATCAGGCATGTGGTGGCCGAAATCGTTGATGCAGTGCTGGAAGCGTTCTTGGAAGTTCGCGTAGACTCTCTCCAACATCGTTCTCTCAACTTGGGCGACTTCCACGCGAATTTCGCCCTTCAATTCGTCCAAAGTTCGGGGCTTGTTCGCGTATACTCTAGCATTGAGGTGTCCCCATAACAAAAAATCGCATATGGATAGATCTGGGGACCGAGGAGGCCAATGAACATCGAAAAACCTGGAAATAAGGGAACCAGGGAAAAGAGGGCGAATAACGTCCATGGATGCTCGGGCTGTGTGGGCGGTCGCTCCATCCTGCTGGAACCACACACGTCGGATTGGAACACGTCGCCGTCATAATTCAGGGAGAAAGAAATTGGTGATCATGTCGACGTAGCGCTCTGTGTTCACGGTAACATCACGACCATTACCGTCTTCGAAGAAGTAAGGGCCAATGATGCAAGTTTGCGATACAGCGCACCAAACCCTTACTTTTGGGCTGTGCAGTGGTCTTTCGTGTAATTGTTGAGGATTTTCATTAGCCCAATAACGACAATTCTGCCGGTTAACCATGCTGTTTAGGTGAAAGTGGGCTTCGTCACTCAAAAACAAAATGAGGTTCTCATTTTGATCGATCAGTGCTTCCATCTCACGTGCGAAGTTCATTCGTTGTGCATAATCTCCGGGCTGTAAATGTTGCACAATGGCAACTTGTAGGGGTAAAAGCGGAGATCCATATGCAAAATTCGCCTTACCGAACGATCACTAAGGCGAAGTGCAGCTGCGAAGAAAGACCTGTCGAAAGTGTTCAACATTTTCAGGAGTGCGAACTGTTCGCGGTGCTCCTCTTGGTCTTCTGTTGATCAGTTCACCACGCCTGCGAAGTGCTTCAACCCAACGAAGGATGGTGTTTCGAGAGGGAACAGCTCTATTCCGATGAATGTTGAACTAGCGACGAAACTCACGCTGTACGACGATGACTGACTCCTTATTTCGGACGAAACAATCATAGGCGAAAACGCGGTGCTCCACCATCCAAGGCTCCATAACGACAACTGGTAAAATAATGCTAGGATCTCACGAGTCAAGCGGCACCCTCCCCACCTCCACCAGGCGGAGAGTACTCCCATCTAAAAACGTCCGTCCTCTCTGCCGCACCCTGTATATCTAATAGCTCGTTTTTGTAGAATAAGCACTTTTTTTAAACAATTTTGCAACAGACACAACAAAAGCGAGTGCTGTATCTCAATCTACTTTCAAATAAGGCTCTGCTTTTCCCAATGTTGAAACTAATAGTATAATAAAGGAAATCTTTCCTAGTTGAGTGAGCAATTAAGTGTCATAAATTTGGTCTTACTACCATTGAAAGCTAAGTAATTATTATCAAACCATCTTTTGATTGATTGTATATCACTGTCAATTTTTGTCGCAAAGTAAACAGGAGTTTTGAAAGATATCCGGTGCAAGTAGCGCCATCTATTATCGGAGACCAGCGTTGGATAAGCACATCTTTCATTGATGCCCCGTGAAAATTTCATGGCCACCAAACCACTTCACGAGGAGTTATCGTGTTCAAAGTGACAGTAACTTTTTAGCGTCGGTCAAAAAATGAGCATCGAACAAAGAGCCAATTTTAAGTTCTGCGTTAAACTTGGTACAACATTGACCGAAACGCATCAGATGTTAATGCAACTGTATGGTGATGATTGTTATCTCGTAGTCGAGTCCGCGAGTAGTTTACATGGTTCAAAGAGGGTCGTGAGTCGCTGGGAGACGACGTACGTGTTGGCCAGCCAAAATTTCTGATTACGTTGTAAACCGTCAAAAAAGTTCGTGAATTTATCAAGAATGATCCAAAATCTCCATTGAGATACATAGATATGGAATTGAATATCTCTAAAGATTCAATCCAACGCATTTTGTCCAAGAATTTGGGCATGACAAAGGTATGTTCACGGTTTGTTCCATACAAGGAAAGACAAAAACTTTCTGTACAACGTTGTGATTGGTGACGAAACGTGGTGTTTTGAATACGATCTCGAAACCAAACGTCAAAGTACCGAATGGAAGCACCCAAGCGAGTCAAATCCGGAAAAAAGCCGTTCAGAAACATCGAAAGTGAAGACCATGTTGATTTGTTTCTACGATTCGAAGGGAATTATTCACAAAGAATTCGTTCCACCGGGCCAAACGGTTAATGCTGTGTTTTATCTTGGTGTTACAAGGCGTTTACTGTCGCGGGTTTGGCCAAAATACCCCGATTTTTTTTACAAAAAATGTCATTTTAACCATCAACCACTCCCCATATTCTACTGATATGGCACCGTGTGACTATTTTCTGTTCGGTTACTACAGTTGGCCATGAAGGGGCAGCGGTATGCCGACTTAGAGGCCGTCCAAAAGGCGTCTACGACCATTTTCAAATCATCTTTCGAAAATCTTTTGGTCCGTGCAAATCGCTGTATTAACTCTGAAGGAGACTATTTTGAATAAAATAAATTCGATTTTCTGAAACAAAAAATGTTTGTTCATTTTTTTATTTGTCCTGTTTACTTTGCGACAAACCTTGTATATCTTTGTCTTGCCAAAGCATTGTGGCATCGTCAGCAAAAACTATGAGTTTACCATTTATGTTCAAATTTGTTAAATTTTTAATATAAACTAAATATAGGATCGGACCTAGTACTGATCCTTGAGGTACCAGTACTGCTCTTTCAGAATTATTGAATGCTTTCAGGGAGAGCGCTTTGCAGCGTTTGACACCTTTGAAACTACAGCCTGTTGCTTTGGTACGTTCATCTCCCTCGAGCGGGAGCGGTCCGGCTTCCCTTCTGGAAATTTTCATCGCTTCAACTGCTGGACATGAGGCGAGACGAGCATTCGCCAAATCGCCAGCTGTCAACCTACATCCGTCCGCATATTTGGCGCATTGGCATTTGTCGTTATTGCCATATCTGAACTACCTCAGGCTTTCTATGTATCCTTTATATATTTTGACACCGACAGTTTATGTTTACAGATTGTCCCAAATGTAGAAGTGTTGATCAATAATCGAAATACACGCTAATTGCGTAGTGATTACTTCGTTAGATCTGGATCAAAACAACATTATCAGATTCTAGAAAATTTTAATAGTAATAGCATTTAATGCCCAACAGATACAAAATCCTGTAACAGCGCGATTTAAATTAAAAGAGTATACTATCCACAGGTATTTTGTGACGTATTCTCAGCAGCACAGTTTAGTTCCTTGACTTTACAATGAAATACGTCAACCTGTTGTGATATTACAAATTTCATATCGTATCATTGAATTATCTGAGAAAAAAAGTAAACAGTTTAAAATCAAACAACTGTGCCGAAATCACTGCTAAAAACGTGCTGAAAAAGTGTTTAGAAATTTTGGGATATCCTGTATTAAATTGGATCAATTGTTCACTGAGAATCAGTTCTTTTCCTGAAAATTTGAAATGCACCAGTTCCCAAAATAAATAATTCTAAAAGATGCAGCGATATGAGACCAGTAAATGTGTTACAAGACATTGAAAAATTATTAGAGTCAATAGTGCATGACCAACTAATGCTGGTTATAGATGAAAACAAAATTAATTGAGAATTGGAGAACATCCATAGACTCAGAAGAAGTTGTCATAGCAGTATTTTTGGATTTGAAGAGGGCATTTGAAACGATTGATAGAGATATTTTGTTAGGTAAATTGAAGGCATATGGTATATCAGGAAGTGTTTTAGATTGGTTTAGAAGTTATTTGTCTAAAAGAATGCAAGTTACAAAAGTTAATGACACTATTTCATCAGAAATTGAAAATACGTTGGGTGTTCCACAGGGCAGTATCCTGGGACCACTTCTTTGAATTTTATACATAAATAATTTACCTGCCATAGTCAAAAAATGCAAAATTCAGATTTTCGCCGATGACACTATGATTTATATAAGTACTAAAAATATTTAGACTGGTATCTCTTATATAAATGAAGACTTGAACTTGTCTCAAAATGGTTAGCATCTAACAGACTCAAATTAAATACAAGTAAAACGAAAGCTATGTTAATCGGAAAAAAACGATGTACAAATCTTCAACTGAATATTGATGGTGAATTCATAGAAAATTTTAAATACCTGGGGGTTTTTGTTGACTCTCGATTAATTTTTGATATTCATTATGAAAAATTTATAAATAAGATTGGTAGCAAAGTGGGATATTTATTTAGATTTTCTGAGTTCATATAGCAGAAAAATTATCTATAATACCATCATTCTTCCAAATTTCTTGTACTGTTCGACTATTCTATATTTGGCAAATGATTCTATTTTTGAAAGACTTAAAATTTTACAAAATAAGTGCATGAGAATAATACTGAATAAAGATAAATATGCTACAATTAGACAAATGCTTAGCAAATTAAAATGGCTCAATGTAAAAATTTTTATCAAATATCTTGTAATGATAATTATAAAGTAAAAAATAATATATTTCCATCAAGTCTATCTAATTTAACATCATCAAATCATTTACATAATACCAGAAATAAAGATGACTTCCATTCAATGACCAAAAAGTATAACGTATGCTACTAATCTGTATTCCATCAAGGGTTGATTGAATATAATAAATTATACACAGAGATAAAAGTTCAGAAAACTTTGACAAAATTTAAAGTAAAATTGAGGAATCACTTGTTAAATCTACAAGTATAGCTTGCCCAACATTTACATCATACATCATATGGCTTGAATTTACTAATTCTAAGTTGTTTACAATTATTCTCTTTATGTAGCCAAATGTGCTGAATAAGTCTTTCTACTACTACTATATTACTGATAATGGTGATTTCAACATTTATATTTGTCCGAGCAGCTGTAGAATAAAATGTCAATGATTGATGTCTAGAGTTAAACTGTGGTTTAAATTTAATACGCGATTAAAGATCTGGATAATCAATAATATCACATATCAATTTATAAAGGAACGAAAGGGATGCAGTGTCCGTCTGAGCTCCAAACTATTAACGTTAAAAAGGTGTAGCAAAAGATTCTACTGTTCCTTGTACTGGATATACAGGCTGGCCCAACGAAAATGTCGCAACCACCTTTGTGACTTTCCTGCTATATTTTAGGAAAAACGCTCGTAAATGTCAGTTTTAATTTCCAGGGGGACGTCTTTTCATCTATAGCTAATACAGGGTGATCCAAAAATTAGATAATGCGTTACACTTTGGATATTTAAAAGGAAACCCCCTTTAATAAAGCTTCTAGCTATCTGCAATCGTTGTGTTGATGATTCGGATTTTTCTAATGTTCTCGAATGTTTTCCTTAATAGCGATTATACAGATGGCCAATAAGTGAAGGTACCGTATTTGCAGAATGGTTACTGAGTACCGGGCAACATCTGTGGCTTCAACAGTACGTTCGATTGTTGAGCAACTGGTGTGAGTGGAACATCTGCACGCGTAAGTACGATTTTAATGTTATCAAAAGAGGATATTTATTTACACCTTATTTGGCTGTGATACTTATCTATATGGCAGCTGACTGTCAGATAGAGATATCTGGAGATTGTGAAAACAGTTCAACATCTGCTAACACTCTAAGTCGCTGCTTTGACATACACTGACATAGAAAAAATATCATGCACTAATAATTTGTAAACATGTTTAGAAAAATCCCACCGCTGAAAAAACTATATATTAATAATTTGATGGGCCTCCATGAACACGGCGACTATACAGGGTGTTAATCAAGTATGTACCATAAATTTAACAGATAATTATTTGAGTAATTTTCAAGCAAAAAGCTCATGTAATCGTAGGTCCACAAACTGTTAGCTCTCAACATACACGGTGTTCAAATTTAAGAGAAAAAATGTTTTTCCGTAAATATCTTAAATACCCTTAGCCAATTTTGTTGTAATTTAGCCCTAACTTGATTAAATTTGTCAAGTCTTGTGGCTTCTCGGGATCTGAACGAATATTTGTGACAAAAAATGTACGCCACTGGTTTTTGTGCAATTTTGATCACGTTCTTTGGATTAAGTAAATAGAAATACATTTTGAATTTTTGCCGTATCTTGTTTAGTTTTTTAGAAAAAAACATCTACTTAATGGCATTTCGCTGGACCACACAAGGAAGGAAGGAATAATGTTATTTAGTATTTATTATTACACGCTTAATATCGTCGATAATTAGTAGTAAATTATAAAAATAATGATTTCCAAAAGAAACCTTTCCCCATATTCCCTATGTGGTCCAGGGATATGCAATTAAGTGGATTGTTTTCTTTCTAGAAAACCGAGCAAGATACGGTTAAAAATCAAGAGACAACAAAGTTTTATTTCTAATTGCTTAACCCAAAGAACATAATAATAATTGCACAAAAGTCAGTGGAGTACATTTTTTGTCACAAATATTCCGCTCAAGATACCACTGGAGTTAATAAATTTAATTTAGGTCTAAATTAGCTCCTTAATGTTATATACAGGGTGACTTCGAAGTTGAGTCATTTATTTTAACAGTGAGCAGATCAAAAGAAATGTTTTTTCCTTTACCATTTTTCTGGTAAAATTAAAGTAACAAAGTTATAGCCCTTTGGAAGTTTGAGTACCGCCCTGTCTCAATAATAATATTATGTGCTCGTGTTTGGCGACAACGGATATAATCCGCCTTATCGGTTCATCGCATCGGAAACAAAAAAGTGAAAGAATTTGGAACGATGTTTTTACAATTATTTCATTCCGTTGTATACAGTCAGTGTCAGTCGGTAGTGAATAGTGGTGTCTGTTGCGTGGCTCAAACGAAATAAAAAATGGCACATGTTTATGCGGATCGGTTTCCCAATCGAGTGCAACCAACCCCTCGTGCCTTTGTTAATGTAGTACAACGGGTTCGTGAATCATTTGACTTAAGACCTCACATATGGACGGCATGCCGGTGCTCCAAGACCTCACGATCACATACAGGTCCGCACTGAAATACTTGTCGGGAGGATACTTTATAAACAAGGTAAATTTTTTTTTTATTTTTACACACATATTTTGGTTTATCTTCCTTCTACAATCATTATCTGAAAATTAATGACTCAACTTCAAAGTATACAACAGAATTAGGTAAAGAATATTTAAGTTATTTTCGAACAACCCTCTTTTCTTTTAAATTTAAACACCCTGTATCTTGAGAACGAAGAATTTGCGGAACTATATTGATATGAACTTTATTACTCAAAGAATCGTCTGTTCAATTTACGTTACATACTTAATCACCACCCTGTACATAGTCTACCATGGTTTTGTACTTCTGGGGTTTATCTTCTGTACTGAAGTTTAGTAATGTTCTTGAAAATGTTATTTATTTTTCTGTGTATTAAATTTCATTATTATTTCTATTACTATTATTATTAAACATGTTGAATTTGCGTAGTTGTCATATTTTCTTAGTAAACTGAGCTCTGCTACAGGAATACGAAACAAGGGCACAAACATGCGTAAGAAATAACAATGCGCATTTTGTTATTGAATGAATGAATAATTTTGTCAATATCAAAAGATTTGCTTTACAAAAAGTGGTTTTGGTTTGTGTTTGCAATTTTAATGGCAATGTCTAAATATGGTTATATCGCTTCAAGATATACCGTAAGAAAAATCAGAAGTGGAGGAATATTTTTCAGTGATTTTAAACAACAATTCTCCTAATCTAAACAAACATATACCTAGAAAATCGTTGCAATAAATTCATTACTACTGTCATTTTTTCTGTCACTTAGTATATATTTACTATTCTAATACACTTTCCAGGGAGTTTCTTGCTGGCCGCATCGTTTCTAACAAGCGGCGAGAACTACAAGGCACAGGACCTATTTGAAACCGCCATAAAAGGGGTCCTAACAGAGCAATTTTTGCAGAAAAGGATCCTGATTGGTTGTGAGGATGATCCGAATAGGGCCTACGTCAATTACTATTTGAAAGTAAGCATAATTATCATGTTTCTCCGCCAATATTATGACTGCTGTGTTAATATTCGACATCACTTTTTTGTTTTTTTTAGGTGATTCAACTATTCGAACTACACAAAGCCAAAGATTGTGCCATCAACATTGCGAATGTTGCCTTAAGTATCGTCACTCCCGGGGATCCTATGGCCGTAAGTCCTAACTCCTTATTAGTTCTAATGTTCAGACAAAGATTTGTTACATTTAGAAATACGATTTACTAGCAAGATGGAAGCAGTTGGTACCACCTGTTTACTAAATAACTAACAGATATCACGGATATTAACGATAACGATATCGGTCATCTCTAATCTGACCTACTATTCCAGGCGACATTGTATTCCATCAAGTTCAAGCACCACCTGTCTCTAAAGCACTACGCACAAGCCTTCGATTCGCTAACTTCAAACCCTGCTGAAGAGCGACGCAGGGATAACCTCCGAGAGCTGGTCAAGCAGCTCGTGGAGGAACGGCGGTTGGATACGTTGCTGTCCTTCACATACGCCAACATGGAAGACCTTTTCACAGGGATTTTGTTGTCCAGGGCGAGAGCGGCTGATCCTCTTACCGATGCTGATACATTTTATAATTTCTTGTATTCGTATCAAATCAATCGGGGACCGCTCAACTTCCGCTTAGGTAAGTATATATCTATTTTTCTGTTGATAAGTAAAAGCTCGCCGACACAAGATCCCGAGAGATAGCAGATTCTTTTCTATATTTGTTACCAGATTTTTTAGAGTCTCATCTGCAGTCGAATACATCACAATATTTTTCAGACATATTTCAAATTTATAGTTAAAATTTCGAAATCCTGCAATATTTCATTCAAATGTTTATATTGGAATGTTACAAAGCATTCATTCATTCATTCATTCCAACGAATCTGTTACAAATATAAACCATATTTACAGGCTGGCCGATATGTAACTAACTAACTGGTTTGTTTCTTGAATATTTGTGAAATAAAATAAAATACGTTCATTTTTTTCAACCTAATCTTTTATTGAAACTTAGAAATTATGTATGAAAAATAATATCAGACAAATATAAGAGTTATTTTCGTTTATTCACACACTTATTTATATTATCCGTTTAAATTATATTAAATTTCTCAGAAAATTAACTCACTTTCTTATCTATAAACTCACTATTTCTCACTATTCTCTCACTACTTTTTTTTGAAATTCTCACTTAAATTCATGCTTTGGTCTGCCACCATCCCTGGTTTTTTATAATTTTTTAGTAATATCTGTAAAAGAAATTTTTAATTTTATTAGCTGCATCTGTGATGTACGAGCATGCCTTCCGATTGTCAAGCTATAACGATCAGAATGTAGAAGCGTTGGAGAAACAAGTTAAGTGTTACCTAGCTGCCAAGAACGTCCTTTCACTATGTAGTCCTGAACACGCTTGGGTGGTCAGACCCACGGATCCGGACGAGGAAATGGTTGAGGTCATGCTTCCACCGAGGGCGGGTTCCAATCAGGTATTTCAACATATAAAAAAAAATTCTGAAACATTATTTCGTCTCCTCTAAAATTCAATACAAAGGACTATGTAGTCAGATCTGTTTGTCTGCGAACACCTCGTGAGCCTATTTTTTTACCAACATGCTTTTTTACTTAAAAAGATTCGTTAAAGGCAGATACGTATTCTGGGTTTAGACTATGGTCACCACATTGCTTCCCCTTCAAATAAGTCCACGTATTTTTTTTCAAAATCACCAGCTACAAAAATAAGATTAAAGGCCTTATTTGCTTTGCCAGAAATCACTTGTTTAACGTTTTCTTGTTCCTTGGAAAAACCAATGATTCAAATTTCCTCTCATTTGTATGAAGATCCTTTAAATATTTTAAATAGCTGTTCATATAGATACTATAGAGATGGAATTACACAACACTTGCAATGTGAATTTTTTTTTGAACAAAGCCATTTTGATTTACAGGAGGCAGAAGTTTTTAGATTGAAAAGACAAGTCGAGGTTGTGAATATAGACACAATCAAGAAGGAACTACTTTTTGCTGATGCCAAATTGAAATTGTGCAGATACAATATGTCTTCGCCTGCCAGTATCACGAGTAAGATATGCATAATATATTTCTCCTATAGCCCATCCTTTTAGAGATTAGATTTTCAATAATTTTTATTTTACTTGATAAAAACATTCAGGAATGTTTTCAGGTCCTATTGAGTTGGTGGGTATGCTGAACATATCTGGATTATTCAAGACGGCACTTGAAGTATGTACAGCCTTCCAACTATCGTACTGCAGCGTATTTGAAACTCTTACCAAGCACTGCGTTAGTCTAACATTAGCGGATGGAGAATATGACCAGCCTAATACCTGGGAGTGGCTGGTAGAAAACGATTTACAAGGTAACACCTTTAGATTTGCGAAAATTTTGTTCGAATTCGGCGTGTAATGTTTTTTACAGATTTGCCGGTGAACAGGGACAACATCGCCGACATCGTTTGGAAATTATTACAGGATTATCTGTCAAAGTACGAAAAACCGAATATGACAGAGCTACATCGTGCCGTTTGCTCCAAAATTATCCAGATGGGAGTATTTTTGCCATATTGGCTCATTGTCTCGTACAAGGTAAAAAAACTATTTTTTCTTTTTCTCTAAATCAGCAGCTGAATACTTTTTCAAGAAATAAATTGCAGAGTTGTCATCGATATGAACACTTCTCCTGAGGCTTTAATACCATCGGGACTGCCTCAAGGGTCTGTTCTTGGGCCACTTCTTTTTATTTTATATATCTCCGATCTTGATAAAGTTGTTAAACACTGCAATATTCATATATTTTTTTGCAGATACAATTACAGTTATACAATTATTTTAATACTGACTATATAATAATTGCTGAGGCCCAAATTAATCAAGATTTGAGGTCTATCGGCGAGTACACAAAAAGTTCATAATGTTAGATTAAATCCAGAAAAATCAGAGTAATTCTAAAAAATTTAGCAATCAAGTGAGGAAATATTCGACTATATCATTAAACGGTGAAATTTTAAAAGTATGTGGAACTGTAAAAATATCTAGGCGTATATATTAATCTCATGTAAACAATGTTACAAAAAGTAGTTTTTTAGTATTTTGGAAATTATAATTGAACAAACAAATTCTCGATTTCGAAGCTAAAAAAAATTCTGTGACTCATTAATTATTTAAAAAATTACATACTGCGACATTGTTTATGATCCGTTTTTGGATTTAGTATCTGTCAAGCGCTTGCAAAAAATTCAAAATGTTGCAGATTTGTAACTTGACAAAATATAGTAGTAGTAGAAAGATTTATTTAGCACATTTGGCTACATAAACAGAATAATTGTAAACAACTTAGAACTAGTAAATTCAAGCCATATGGTGTATGATGTAAATGCTGGGCAACCTATAATTGTAGATTTAACAAGTGATTTCTCAATTTTACTTTAAATTTTGTCAAAGTTTTCTGGTCTTTTATCTCCGAGTATAATTTATTATATTCAATCAACCTTGATGGAATACAGATTTGTAGCATATGTTATACTTTTTGGTCATTAAATGGAAGTCATCTTTATTTCTGGTATTATGTAAATGATGGTCGACATTTGAAGATGTTAAATTAGTTAGACTTGATGGAAATATATTATTTTTTACTTTATAAATGAATATCATTACAAGATATTTGATAAAAATTTTTACATTGAGCCATTTTAATTTGCTAAGCATTTGCCTAATTGGAGTATATTTATCTTTATTTAGTATTATTCTCATGCACTTATTTTGTAAAATTTGCAGTCTTTCAAAAATGGAATTATTTGCTAAATATAGAATAGTCGAACAGTACAAGAAATTTGGAAGAATGATGGTATTATAGATAATTTTTCTGCTATATGAACTCAGACATCCAGAAACTCTCGATAAATATCCCACTTTACTACTAATCTTATTTATAACTTTTTCATAATGAATATCAAAAATTAATCGAGAGTCAACAAAAACCCCCAGGTATTTAAAATTTTCTACGAATTCAATATCTTCACCATCAATATTCAGTTGAACATTTGTACATTGTTTTTTTCCCGATTAACAAGGCTTTCGTTTTACTTGCATTTAATTTTAGTCTGTTAGATGCTAACCATTTTGAGATAAGCTTCAAGTCTTCATTTATATAAGAGATACCAGACTGAATATTTTTAGTACTTATATAAATCATAGTGTCATCGGCGAAAATCTGAATTTTGCAATTTTTGACTATGGCAGGTAAATCATTTATGTATAAAATAAAAAGAAGTGGTCCCAGGATACTGCCCTGTGGAACACCCAACGTATTTTCAATTTTTGATGAAATAGTGTTATTAACTTTTGTAAGTTGCATCCTTTCAGATAAATAATTTCTAAACCAATCTAAAACACTTCCTGTCATACCATATGCCTGCAATTTACCTAACAAAATATCTCTATCAATCGTTTCAAATGCCCTCTTCAAATCCAAAAATACTGCTATGACAACTTCTTCTGAGTCTATGGCTCTTCTCCAATTCTCAGTTACCAACTGGAAAGCTGTTTCTGTGGAATATTTTTTTCGAAACCCTGCTTGCGCCTTCACTAAAATTTAGTTTTCTTCTATAAACTGCATTAATTGGTCATGCACTATGGACTCTAATAATTTTTCAATGTCTGGTAACACATTTACTGGTCTCATATCGCTGCATCTTTTAGAATTTTTTATTTTGGGAACTGGTGTTATTGTAGAGCATTTCAAATTTTCAGGAAAAGAACTGCTTCTCAGTGAACAATTGATCCAATTTAATACAGAATATCCCAAAATTTCGAAACAGTTTTTCAGCACGTTTTTAGTAGTGATTTCGGCACAGTTGTTATTTGATTTTAAACTGTTTACTTTTTTTCTTAGATAATTCAATGATACGCTGTGAAATTTTGAAAGTGTATGCAGCATTTCCCATTGACCACCTTACCTCCTCGTTCATAAAAATGGAATGGTTATCTATCGCTAATCTATGAAAATTTCATTTACTATGTTATTTTCATATACTTTTTTACCTCCATTCCCCCATTTTTGAAAAATAAGTTAAAGTTTCGTGGTTCTATCCACTCATGCGATATTCGCTTTATTGTTACAATAACAGTGCCTCCTCACAGAACTTCATTTTTTACTAAATGTTTAACTTATAATGCTACTATCAAGTACCCTCTGATACTAGCTTTAAATTTCGAGAATTTCAAAAAGTATTAAAAAAATCATTTTCGAGCAATTTATCTCTCAATTCTGCTTATAATATGTAAGTATATATAATGTTATGCTTTGTCTAATCTACATTTATTTTATTCATTTAACTGATTTTTATGTTGAAATTATGTTTGATTGTTTATATTGTGGATAGACATTTTACGGGTTAAGTGGTAGAATAGCTTATGCTAAAATTCACCCAATAAAGACTTTTTACTATTATTCTTATTATTATCATATCTTTATCTCTTTACATATTTCATTTTACCATCATTCTGTTTGGCAATTTTTCAACGCAAATTTCTACTCACTGCTCAAAATTGTTGAAATATTTTCCAGAATCTAGTTTACGACTTTTTTTATTACCTGGAACGCAGAATATGAGACCCTGTGATTCATTTCGTCGAGAATATGATCTTTATTAGGCCTTTGGACAAAAGATAACCGGTAACACCAGAAAAACGCTTTCAGAAATCCTAAATCAATATGTATTTTTATTATACTCCAATTTAAAACTATTCCACGTATCCAGTTTTAAAACAAACTTGAATCGTACGAGATGTTATTACCTATAAGCCCTTTGCATCTTAGTTTCTGGATTGATTTATGTGATATCCCCACTAAAGAAGGGAAATTTGGCGGTAGGCAAGCCAGTCTTAATTTGTTCTCTGCCAGTATGTCTAAATTGTGTCGAGTAGCTGAACTCTGCTATCCGGTATTTATGGTATTTATGTTTGTCCCTATTTTTGTTTTGTTAATGTGGTAATGTCGCGAGGGTAAAATGGACGATTTGTTTTATAATTTTTCCCTTAATGAGTAGTAGCTTCAGCCCTTTTGTGGACTATAATGCTAAAGTGTATCATCTCTGATAAATGTAGTTATGATAGATGTATAAATATGCTTTACTGTCTGAGTAATACAATCATCCTTAATGACAAAACTAACTTAAAACTAAACAAAATTACATATTCGGATTGCAAGTAAATGAATTGCAGAACTCACGTATCAAGATTTTTAAATGGTTTATTCTTTTGATATCATCAGGGAGACACATGTAAATTTTCAGACCATTATAAATGATTCAATCTTTCACAAGTGCTGATTTAGGTACTACTAAATTAAGATCTCACTTTCGTTAAATATAAGTTATACTCGTATTTGATGTCTCAAATTTAGAGATTTATTTAAAAAATAAGAGTTGCTGTTTATAAAATAGACAGTCATTATTTTAAGGTTTAAAAATAAAGGCCTGCATGTTTTATTTGTATATCTACAATTTTAGGAACAGACACTAGAAAATGGAATGTTATATTTAAATCTACTCGCAAATAAGGCAAAGTAAGTGCTTAAGGCTGCACTTTTTCTCACGTCCTACGTTGTAACTAATAGATCTTATAATAAAGAAAATATTTACTAGTTGAGTAAGAAATTGGTCTATATGATTAGTAAAATTCAATTCATCAAAAATTTGATGGTGCCTGTTTTGAGAATCAAATCACGATTTAAATTTATAAAATCAAGCGAGCATTTAAATATCATAAATTTGGTCTTACGACAGTTGAAAGTGAAGTAATTTTTTTTGAATGATTGTATATGCCAGCAAAAACAAGAAATTTACCATTTATGTACAAATTTATTAAATCGTCAATATAAACTAAACATATGGTCGGACCTAGTACTGATCCTTGCGGTACCCCTGTAAGCTTATTTCATGATGTTTGGTGCTATTTTCATTAAGCATTTACAAAATCATACTCTTTCTGGAAGCATTCATTATATATTTGATACCATATATAGTATTTAAAGTGTGTTGTACTTTCACTTCTCACCGTCCTTGATTAGAGATGGAAATAGTCGCCAGATACCTTCGAGTTTTTTCAGAATGTATACGCTTTTGTCCGTGCCTCTATCACAATATTTCAAGTGTTCCTTTTCTCATTGTCTAAAAAATCAGAATAAACATAAAACATCCCCCCTATTAAGTCTTAGTCAAATCCCAAAATTTAATTTACCCATATGCTCAACTTATATTTCTCTATCAGTTGCGTAATCCATCGGAATTACTACGTCTTCTACATGCTTCTGGTCGCTTGGAAGAGGCCTCAGAACTAGCGCGTGAGCTCCTGTTGGCCGCGCTGGGCTACGGCAAAGAGTACTTCGACTTCGAGAAGCCCCTCAGTCACTCTGCTACATCTTTCGCGTTGCCTGTACACGCCCTTAGGGCCCTTGTTCAGGAGCTACATATGCACAACGAAATGGCTGGACAGGAGAAGGATGAAGAGCCTCCGTTTATCAAGGTAGTTGGATGATTAACGTATTATCACAGTAATTTCCTTAAAAGTAATAAAATGGTGTCTAGTTGGTTCACTTTCTAAACAATAGGGGGGTCCAGATTAAACAGTGCGTCAGTGACATTAGAAGTGTTACAACCAGAAAAAAAGGCTTTATCGATTAAGGGGACTCCATAATATTATCACACAATCGGATAAATTGTTTGACAATATCTATATTCGCATATCATATTGATATTTCTGTTTGTTTCAGGAGTACAACTTACTGAAAGAACTTCTAGGAAAGTACATGGAGACCGCCCTCAGGGCTACCCAACAATCGTCTGGGGACTGGAGCACGATGGGTCAAATGAAGACCACCCCACTTCAGATTTCTTGAGTTTAAAAAATATCTATTTTGTATTGTCGATTTTAATTTTTATAAATAAATCATCTTGAGAAAATATGTTTTATTTTATCGGTATTAATAACTAAATTTCTGCGATAAGTATAATGGATACATTCTTCATTTTTCAAAAACAAAATGGAGACAAAAAAAATAAAATAAGGGGTATTGAAATCTAAAAAGGCATTTGCTGTATTTTGGTCTTATTACTAAAGCGAGATTCATCTATTCCATTTCTTCTTAATTTTAATCAAAGGCTAAAGAACATTGTCCGTACTATTTTTACCCGACTACCTCAGAAGGGTTGTTTTTTCGCGTGTGCGGACAAAAAATTCTCCTTCATGGCTGGAAGTCAAAACGGCTTGATAGATTAGTGACATATGAGGTGTTTTTGAATTTGTCTTAGCAGTAAAATTAAAATTTTACAAAAACAAAACGTCGAATTTTAATAAAGAAACTGCGGCCTTGAAATTTGTAAAGGCTTTTTTTCGTCATATCAGGATCCGAACTTCCGAACAATATGAACATGTTTACTTAGTATCCAATGTTTTGGTTCCATTTGTTTCATTGCATTATCATGCCAAGAGTTCGCAGACGCGCTAATTTCACTCCAACAAAAAACGCTAAGATTTCACAAGGCAGTGGTCGAGAATATCAAAAAATCTGTCTGATAACATCCTTGTTTTTTTAAAACTTTTAATCTTTTACCATTTCTTTTATTATGCAACTTTTATATAGGTGATTTTTGGTATATCACTCCCTTTTGACCAGTCCTAGACGCAGTTGAAATAAATGACTCGACTTTGAAAACACCGTGGATAAGTACATTCTTTACACAAGTATGTCCACTGGAATAATGTTTGTTTATGGTTGTCAGAATCATATTTACTCCGTCACTTGAATTTACATAAGTATAGACACTCTAAAATGGCTTTCGGAATGCTTTTCCTGCATATCTCACTTGAACACCTACTTCCTCTTCTATTCTCATGATTTGGTTATACTTGGCGCACCTGGAAAATCAAAATAAAATATTTACCAAAAAATTATTGAAAATTCTTCTAATAAGTAATGTTGAACAATTTTTTTAGTATTTATTTGATCACTTACTAGTAATTTGAATTTTTCTTTATTAATGGTAGAGTGCCCATTCCTAGGCCAAACCCTTTTCAATGATTTTCTTTTGGTAAATTTTATAGTTTTAGTATAGTATTTCACACGTATTATCTTTCTTTCTTAGTGATTTAGTATTGTATTGAAAAAAAATGTAGTTTTCCTCCGTTACTTGGTTTTCTATCGAACATATCTTCTTCAAGGCCACTCATTGAACCTTCCGTTATAAAGTTAAGTATTTCGTGTCAGTCACGTTCCTCCTGAGATTGTGGTGTGCGCGCCATTTGTTCAACCTCCAGATTCTGGGATAATAGGTGCTTTACGTTTAGTTTTTTTGGCCTGGGTGCTACCCCGTCCATTTTCTAATGGGATTTTAATCTTCAGCGTGGGAAGCATTGCGGATAACCACCATACACTCCTCAAGCTTTGCTTGTAGCTGTTTTGCAGCTGGTATTGCCGGAAGCCACCCATTCTCCTTAGCAAAAAAACTTATCTGGGTTGAGGTCTTCTCCTATTTACGGCTAGGCGCAGCCGAGATGTAGCTCGCAAGTGCTCAGGTCAAGAAGAAAAAAAAACGGAGACCAGTGACATTTCAAGAAATTCGAGAATTTTAGAAACTCCAGGAAGAGACGAGAGGCTAAACCCAGAGCATGCTGATGAGTAGCCAAAAAGCTCGAAACAGCTGCCTAAGATTCGCTGTCTTTGACTGGACGTACGAAAGCAACATTTTTTTACAATTATATTGTTGGGATACTGAATATTTAGAAAAACTTTTTAACATTGCTGGCGCTCCATCAGTAACAACACTACGTAAACTTTTGAGTAGAATACCCACGCTAAAAAACCTCTCCACTTTGTCTTGTCCTATTATGAAATGGCCCGCACCTGAGAGACAGTCGGCTAATATGTTTCTCTCTGTCGCGACGGCTGTGCGGTCGAGGTGGAGGGGGAACGGCACCGGGGCGCACCAGCACCAAGTGCTCGAGTTGGAGAGGCCTGGGCTAAGTCATAATAGCTCAAGAAGATGTCAATCTTGCATTGCTGCTGAAGGACGGCAGTTGAATACTTATCGAAAATTTAAATTGGACATTGTCGAATCAATAAAAGTGGCGTTACTATCTGTCTCTTTTTTTATATTTTTCTGATAACTATCATGACTTGGCCCGTTTCCAGCTTTACGTCGACTTCTGGCGCACCATGTATACCTTTCGGATCTGCAAGGAGCTCCAGTCTTGATTTGTCCGGTGCCCAAACCGACGACTAAATCAGCTATGAAGGTGTCTTCAGTTTCCCCGGACCTGTGTGACACCATGGTGCCCCAGCCATTCTCTTTCGCCAATTTGTGGGCTTCTATCGCCTGTGTTATAGTCCCTGAAAATGAAAAAACAAATCTTTGACAAACCCCTACATTCCAAAGACTAATGATCTTTATTAGATAAACTCAGATACTACAAATAACTTCTCAGTGAAGATGAACTAAAAATATAATAGGCGTATCCTTCAATTCACCGGTTGAGCAACCGGTGCAACCAGTTAGCAAAGTTTGTGTATTCGTTCCGTAGCTGAACGTGTTGCCTAACCGTCATGATGTTTCAGCTGCCAATGTTTGGCTATGATGTGATGTAACATCTGCTTCAGAGATGGCTTTATTGGAGGTCTAAGCAGTAAGTTGTATACTATAGCTGGAAGGAAACGGCAGTGTGAGAAAATCATTATGCACAACTTTGAACACAACCTCTCCTCAGAAAGAATAATACAAATAACACGACTGACACAGCTAAATATATATTTCATGGGCAGAATATTCAGTAATAATTTTCTAACATAGCAATTATATGATCTTGCTACTCAGCTACCCAACCACACATCTTCTCAGAGTATACTCTACAGACTTTCACGGCATTCTGCAACCATCAAAGCATGATGTACTATTTGCATACTAGGAACTATCTACATACAAATTTTTTTTTTTTTTTTTGGTGGTATCATAGGTCTTTTTATAGTCCTGCCACTCACTGCACTTACCAATTTGGTTGACCTTAAGCAATAAACAATTGCAAGCCTTCTCGTCGGCGGCTTTTTGGATACGCACAGGATTAGTGACAGTGAGGTCATCTCCAACTATCTGAATGTCCACACTTGCGGTCATCGCTGTCCAGGCCTTCCAGTCATCTTGATCGAAGGGGTCCTCGATACTCACGATCGGAAATTCCTTCAGATACGTTTTGTACAGGTCCAGAAGTTTTTCCGGTTTCATCCAGTTTTTCTTGTCGGATTTTGGGTTCTTGAAGTCCAGATTGTACAAACCTAAAAATGATCTTAATAGATATCCAAATTCCTGCATGTAGAGTGCTGTGGATCGGATTGATTGCATAGGAAAGGGTCGTTGATATGTAAGAGAAAGTGAACACATGCGTTGACATTGTGGGACGAAGAGGATAACCTTTCAGTTACGACAGATATTTTTCGGACAGAGAGGTAGTCAGCCATCCTCAACGCTTCTCTGGGAGGCTATATGATGAAAGTTTGCATAGAGGCAGCATGCCATAGCTGATCGAACTCGATATCAAAAGCAACGACATGGGCATCACGACTCTAAAGTCGCGTGACGTATGCTAGCAGGTCCCCGCGAGGTTGTTACACAAAAATCTATATATCAAAAAAATTGACTTGCTGACCAGGACATTTGAAGGTCAATTGGTTTTTTAATGGTATCCATTTTTGACAACATAAATGAAAAGAGCAGAAGATTTTACGTACAAATATTGTATCGATCGTTCTTAAATTTTGACCTTGAGATGTCTAGGTTAAGGTCAAACACAAGTACGGCGATATAACCTGAAATCCAATAGTCGTATAGGTAAACTAACGAGACATTATTTTCATTATTTCCCCCCGGACATCCAATAGTGTCCTTGGATCTGACCTTGGCCATGACCTATAAGATCATTTGAAGGTGAACTCTTTTTTAAAGGAACCCCATACTTTTGACCGCGGAAATAAGGAAAAGAGGAAATTTTATGTTCGAATATGTTCTTGGAACTTGACCTTGGACTTAACCACCAAGGTCAAACACAAGTTTACCTTCATTTCTTGGTAAATCAGAAAACTGTGTAATACCTAGATAAACTGCCTTCTGACTGTTCTTTCAGGACTGTTCCCTGGCTACAGACATCGACTTGACCTTCACATGACTTGGAGGTCATCATTGTTAACGTTAGATCCAAGGTCATCATTCGATATCCGGGAAAAGTAATGAAAATAATGTCTCGGTAGTTTCCCTATCCGAGTACTGGTTTTCAAGTTATGCCACCGCACCTGGGTTTGACCTTAATCATGACCTCCTGAGGTCAATATTTAAGAATGTTCAAGACTAAATTTGTTCGTAAAATACTCCGGTCTTTTCACTTACAGGATCCAAAATGGCGGTTCCATTTAAAAAAATGACTTGACCTTCAAATGATTTTGAAGGTTACGGTCAAGGTTAAGTTCAAGGTCACTGTTATTAGATTGCTGGAAAAAACTCCTATCAATCGCAGGGCCATTATTAGTTCAAAAATTACCGTGTGGTTCGGGAACTTTTGGATCTCGGGAAACTTGGGTATTGGGCCCGATGATTCATAATTTCGTACCTTCCTTTCCCTTATAAAATTCTGATGCAGCGACGTCTATGCCTATGTCAATCCTGCCTGTGTATCCCGCTTTAGCGATAGCATCTCTTAGAAGAACCAGAGCATCTTTAGCGATAGGGATGTTTGGAGCAAAACCTCCTTCATCGCCAACCGCAGTTGCGTCTAGACCAAATCTGCAACAAAACATACTTAGAAACGACTCATTTGTTGTCCGTCCTACCGAAAGTTGAATGTATGATCAACTGGAAGGTTCTGCCAGCTTTTAGGTTAAAATAAAACGGAATATTTTTCAAACCGTGGATAAACAAACACGCGAGAGTGTTTGGAATGCGAAATTTCTAAGATCAAGGTTATCGCCAAAGTCATATTCGGACATAAAATTTCCTTTTCTATTCAATTCCGGTTTGAAAAAGGAGTTTCTATTTGAAAATAATAGCTTGGCCTTGAAATGACCTTGAATTTCGTAGTCAAGGTCACACTCATTTGGTCCCCTCGAAACTCTAATACTCTTGTTTGAAATTTTTTTCTAGAATGCGCAGCTTAGAAATATTTAAGTGGGGAGGTTAAAATGGGACACCTTTTATAATGTCCATTATTTTTATGACTTATTACCGACGTCTTTTCTCTAGTTGCAAAAAAACGATCCGGGACTTGTTGGATATTGCCTTAATTTTTTAATTTTTTACGCTACAGAATATCTTGTATAGAAAAAAATATGGAATTCTTGGAGTCAGATAGCAAAATTTGGAAAGTATGGGTGATGTCTTATATACTAAGTGACATATAAATCCGAACACCCAGTTTAAATGGTTTTATTTTAATAAAATTTTGTATAAGTACTTAATGAAGCATAATAAGTAAATGATAAAAATTTCAAAATGATTGCACTGCTTTAAAACCCTTTGACCTTTAATAATGTGTGGATGCACCCTGATGTGCTACGCATTCTCCAACGCGCCCAGGCATGCTTCTGATCAGGTGGTCAATGTCCACCTGTGGTATCTCATTCCAGGCAACCACCAACTCCTCTCGAAGTGCTTCTAGAGTCTGAGGAGGACGTTGCAAATTGAGCAATCTCCTACCCATCATATCCCACACGTGCTCAATTGAGGATAAGTCGGGACATCTTGGTGGCCATGGTAACAATGTGACATCATTATGTTAAAAGAAGTCTACTGTGACTCTTGCAATATGTGGTCGGGCATTATCTTGTTGGAAAGTTGGATCTGCCAGGGTGTCAAGATAGGGTAAAAGATGGGGTTCTAGAACTTCGTGGATATAACGCTGCGCGTTCATGTTACCTCTGATAAAGATTAAAGGTGACCTGGAACCATAAGCTATAGCACCCCAAAGCATAACTCCAACAGTGTGATGAACATGTCTTTCAACAAAAAACTGTGGATTCCTCCTTTCACCACGTCGCCTTCTAACCCTGGCACGACCATGGTGCATGCCTAAACAAAATCGAGACTCGTCACTAAAGACAATACTGTTCCATTCCTGATCCCAGAGTGACCGTTGTCTGCACCACTCAAGGCGATTACGTCGGTGTTCTCGTGTTAAAGGGAGGACCCAGTGTGGCCGGTATGAAAACAAGCCAAAACTTCTCATTCGTCGGTAAACACTTCGCATGCCAATAGGTCTTCCGTGTTCTGCAAACCATTCATTTGCAATGGACCTGGTAATGGTGAAACGGTCCCTTAAGGCCAACAATCTTAGGCGGCGATCTTCACGGTCTGTTGTTCTACGGCGGCGTTCAGTGCCCCTTGCTCTTTGCGTACGGCCTTCTCGAAGCCATGCCTGACAACACCTAACCACAGTGTCTACACTTCTTTGCACTCTAACTGCAATTGCCCGAAAAGAAAGTCCAGCTTCCCGAAGTCCCACTATACGGCCCCTATCAAACTCACTAAGTTGACGAAATCGTACAGGTCTCCGTACTCTAAGCATCGTAACCGATCGTAAAGGATGTCAAGAACCAAAATCCGCCAACGTTGATTCTTTACTGCGGCTGAAATATTCATTTTTAGAGCGTTAGTGAATTAAAAAAAAAACAGTATAAAAACCGGAATGTCCAACTGATAAGGCTGAACATTTTTTCACTTGTTATTTACAGTAAGATAAATACATCCACCAACTTTTATTAAAATAAAACCATTTAAACTGGGTGTTCGGATTTATATGTCACTTAGTATATTTTCCCTACCTAGATCTGCAGTTTTGCGACGGTAATTTCATTTATTATAAATCCTAATGAACCAATTGTATTCTGATAAAATACGGGTAAGAAAGCAAGAATCTTACTTGCTCTTAATGACGTTTTTGAGGTGATGGTATGTCTCGCTGCCCATTTTCATAGCCTCGCTGAAAGATGTAGCTCCAGTGGGTAGAATCATGAACTCCTGAAATATCGAGAATGCCGAGATAGCCTGTAGAGTATATCTTTGAGGTTATCGAGTTAACTAAGCATCAAATTCAGTTAACCTTTACAATGTGACAGCTCCATTTCATGACATATTGTAAATAATGACTAAATTTGACCCCGACAAGGGTATTATGTAAAAAACCCGAAAACAACCGACAAAATGTCACTTTTCAAGGTACGTAAAACTCGTGCCGATGACATTTTTACTTCTCCGAACTGAAATGCGTGCGGAAAAGTGGCACTTTCCGCACGCTGCTGATGCTTTGATCTGGAGTATTTCAACCTACTTGCATGGCTAGCTTGTTCCCAGCATGAGATCCTCCATTAATGACGTTGAAGGCTGGTACGGGGAGAATTAGGGTTGAATTGCCTGCTAGGTCTGCGATGTGTTTGTAGAGGGGCAGACCTCTTTTCGCGGCGCCTGATTTACACACAACCAATGATATACCCAAGATTGCGTTTGCACCAAATCGGGACATGTTCGGAGTACCTGAAGACGGAAGGGTGATTTTAAGTAAAAAGAATTGCGTCAAGTAGGTTGACTATGTATTTCCCAGGCAATGCTGGTATCATATAGCATTATATAAATTAGGAGAAAAATGTTCCTAAAAAAAAAATCTGTAATGAAACGCTCTCACAAGTATTTAGATGCGAAATTGTATGAATATCCACCAATTAATTTAAAATATTTACGCAATATATTAGGCTTCAAAAACAAAAAAAATAAAGAAATGGATTAACGTGCTTTTTCTTTGCAAATGAACGGTGATAACTTTTCATTTATTTCGTTTTTACTTTTTCGCTACTTTTTCACTACACATTAGCTCTGTTATTGCAAGTCAAGTTGTTTTTGAAAAGGAAAGTGCCAACTTTCAGAACACTCTGTATACAGAGAAACTATTTTTAGAATCTCCATTCAATTCCTTGTGGGTGATTCTGTTTTTCTTATCGGTCCTTAGGGGCCGTTCAAGTATTACGTAAGCAGATTTATTACAATTATTTACCCCCCATCCCCCCTGTCAGCAAAAGTAAGCAAAGCTCTTACCCCCTCCCCTCATGCTTACGTAAACATTTGTCAATTAATGTATTGTTTTTTTAATATTATAATTATAACGATATAATTATTATTTGAGAAATAAGAAAATAGATAGACAGCATTCTGTATTTCTACATTTTACAATTTGAAGCAAGTATTGGCTCTCACGCACATGTTCTGAATACCAATTAATGTCTGGAAAATCAGGAAGATCTTGTTTACCTGCCCCAACATATTTTGCATTAACATTATAGCCATCAATTTCCATTGAACTCCATACTTCAGCTAATACATTTCCTGCAAATTCGAAATTAGATCTTTCTAAATGTTCATCAATTGTAACGCCGCGTTCATCCAAATGAGACCCAAAATGGTCATGAGGCAATATTAAACCAGCCAGTTCCCGAATAAGAGGAGCCATTCTGTGCTCTACTCTGTTACAGGTGCTTCTTCCAGGAGCATTGGTAGCTAAAAACAATCCATCACCCGTCTTGATTACCACTGGTTTTACTAGTCCATGGTCAGTTTTAGCTAATGGTCTCGAAATCCTGAGCATGAGTATTAGCAGTAGATGAACCATGCTTTCCACTTCGAATAGCGATGTATGTTGGTCCAGAATATCCAACGGCTTGCGGTTGTCCTAGCATATTGGAAGTGATTTTGATACCAGCATAAACAGATGGTATTAATTTATGACGCTCAGCGATTACCCAATCGTGATCAGGCAATTTGATTCTATATTCCATGTGCATTAGAAGAGGTGCTTGCTTATTTGCCGCAGTTACGCCAATAGGGACTCGAGCTTTATCATCTTGAGATATGAAAAATACTTGATCTCGTCCAAGTATGGATGCTATGGTCTCTAAATAATGGATTGCTGTTTCAGCGAACTTGCTACCTAAGTGGCTCTTGTGGTGATCAGTTTCAGCCCGAATGAGCTTAACAGGGACTGTCGATACATGTCTTCGGCCCTCTGCAGAATTAGATTTTCTGGGAATCAAACAAAGATATGTCCCACTGCGACTAATGTCAAATTCTATTTTACGTAATTCTTGTGTGAGTTCATCAAGAGTTTTTACGCTGCGAATTGATTCCGTTCATCTTCTATCATCTGCTGCACTCCCAAATAAAGCTATATCCGCGATTGTTTTCAATAGTGAATGTTGATTGCTTTCAAGATTAGGACGTCCCACTGAATCCCTCAGAGATAGTCTTTTTTATTTTTGGATTTTCATGACAAATATCTTCTAACTTTCTTTTCATACCATCCCTGTGTTTCTTCTGGGCAACTGCGTTTTGATCCTTCCTGTTTAAAGACTGTTTTGATGTTTTTACTTCCTCGCGCAACTTAATGATCTGTTTATCAACTTCAGCACGGCTTGGCATAGTATCTGTGGCAGACAATACCGGGTTTTATTTTATCTTCTTCCTCTTTTTCAATATTTGACGATGACTGTATAATTTGTGTTTTTTCTGCAGATTTACAGGTTGCCTAAAAATAAAAACTTCCTATGGCTTCTGCTAAAGATTCTCTTATTAAGCTACATAAATACAAAGTATGGCAATATATATGGTAAATCGTCCCCTACTGAGCGAGGGCCGTGGCAAATGCTTGTTCCGGAAGTCGTTGTATCCAGTATACAACTTCTTCCCGTCCAAGTGATTGCGCACGCGTTAAGGAATACCTCAGTACCGATTGCCGGGTGGCGGTACAAGTCCGCCAACGGGCCACTTTAGGTCTATTTAACATCACTAATACGTAAAAAGAAGGTGGTAGACAAGGACCAGTCGACCGAGGCAGTACCACCCGCTAGCTTTTCCCAGGGTGTCTTATAAATGTCCGCATGTTTCCACACCTAAGCTATGCAGTCGGTTATCTACCAAAACAAAGAAATTAATGATGATGGATCCCTCGAGCACTAAAAACTCCGGACGTAAACTCACTCCACTCTCGGAATGTCCGGGTGGAGGGTGGGCTCGAGGGAACAACATCGAAGATAAAATTTGTTTTTCGAACATCTGCGGGATCAACAGCAACATTGATGCTGTTCATCACTACCTGCAATCCAATCGTCCCGCCGTGCTTTTCTTGGCGGAGACAAAAATCTCAGAGGCTGCACCGATTAACCATCTCAACTTCCCAAACTACGAGGTGCACTCCAATCTGAGGAAGAACGGGGGAGTTGTGGCTTTTGTCCGCAGCAGTCTTTCCTGCTCCAGGGATCTCTCTTTGGAATCAGACCGGAAGGACATTCTGTGGCTTCGCCTCAACTCCAAAACATCACCCAAATTTATTTGCTGTCTTTATCGCTGTCCCTCGAACCATAACTGGGATAACCTGCTCGAATACCTCGCCGTCCAGATCGACTTCCTGAACATCAATCACCCCGCTTCAGAGGTAGTTCTTCTCGGTGATTTCAATGCCCATAATGAGCTTTGGTTGGGCTCAAATAAGAGCGATGCAGCAGGTCGTGCAGTCGAAGCGTTCGCTCTTACTCAAGCGCTGACCCAGCTGGTGACGAGCCCTACTTTTTTCCCCCGCGTCTCGTCACACGCCAGTAGCCTGCTGGATCTCTTTCTGACCACGCATCCTGCCCCTTACAGCACTGCCGTCCTGTCCCCCCTGGGTAACTCAGATCACGGTGTTGTGGAGGTTAGGTTTCGGCCAGAAGCCGCTGTCGCCGCAGAAACTCGCACAGGCCGCAAAACTTGGCATTACGGACATGCCGACTGGGAGGGGCTCAGAGACTTCTTCTCTAGCTTTCCTTGGAGAGATGTCTGTTTCACTGACGCGGATGCGTCGGCTGTCTGTTCTTCAATAACCGAAATTATCCACGTCGGAATGGAGGAATACATCCCTCACACAGTGAAAGTTCCTAAACCAGGGTCCAACGGCTGGTTCAACAAATCGTATGACACTGCTCGCCAGCAGAAGATCAAGGCCCACAGAACCTACTTACAAAACCCCACTGTAGAGAACAGACAAGCCGACGTCGAGTCCAGAAACAAATATAACGAAGCGGTTCGCAATGCCAAAACCCAGCATGATATAAAAGTTAGGCACAGGGTAATGTCGCAGCGCAATGGCAGTCGGTCGTTCTGGACGCTGGCCAAGCAGATTGAAAAGAACTTCTCACACAGTAGCCTTCCACCACTTACGTGTCAGGATGGAACTATTGTATTTGACTCAAAGGCCAAGGCGGAAGTGCTAGCCAAGATCTTTGCTGCCAACTCCACCATGGACGTCCCCACCAACGCCCAAGTGCCGTCAATTCACAGGGTTCCCCACACTATGCGGGAGGTAACATTCAGGCATAAGACCGTAAGACGAGTGCTCTTGTCGCTCGACATCAACAAAGCTTCTGGTCCGGACTTGATACCTGCCATTGTACTGAAGAGATGTGCAGCTGAGCTTGCTCCAGTTCTTTCGCGTCTCTTCCAGATATCTTATGAATCCGGCACCTTCCCAGAAAACTGGAAATTTGCTCATGTACAGCCCATCCCAAAAAAAGGATCTAAAACCGACCCTTACAACTACAGGCCTATAGCTCTGCTTTCTGTTATAAGTAAAGTGATGGAGAGGTGCATAAATCGCGAGCTTCTGGACTACCTCGAACGTCACAGCTTGATTAGCGACAGGCAGTACGGTTTCCGGCACCAACGATCCACAGGGGACCTCCTAGCTTACGTCACGCAACTGTGGAGTAAACTCATCCAGTCTCATGGTGAGGCTCATGTCGTTGCTCTTGACATCACGAAAGCGTTCGATCAGCTGTGGCACGCTGCCCTCTTGAGCAAACTTCCATCCTACGGCCTCCCAGAAAAGCTTTGCAGATGGGTGGCTGACTTTATCTCTGGCCGCAAGATATCCGTCGTAATTGACGGATTCTCCTCTTCATCCCACAACGTCAACGCGGGTGTTCCCCAGGGATCGGTCTTGGCTCCAACACTGTTTCTCTTACATATCAACGACCTCCTTTCCTGCACGATCCACCCAATCCACAGCTTCGCTGATGACAGCACTCTACATGCAGGAATTCAGAGTGACAAGCCGATCTCTGCCGCTGAGCTGGAAAAAAGAAGACTAGCGACGACTTCTTCTCTGACAAGAGACCTGGAGGCTATCACTGCTTGGGGACGCAACAATCTTGTACAGTTCAATGCTTCCAAAACACAGTACTGTACTTTGACGAACAAAAAGCGTCCTAGCACTCATACAGTTTCGATGGAAGGTCGAGTCCTACCAAAGAGCCATTCATTTCGGCTGGTCGGAGTCCAGATCACCGAGGACCTATTCTGGCACGAACACATCTCTTCAATAGCTGCAGCTGCTGGGAAAAAGCTAGGCTATTTGTTTAGGGCTAAGAAGTACTTTTCTCCGCATGACCTTCTCACTCTATACAAGGCCCAGATAAGGCCTAGCCTCGAGTATTGCTCACACATTTGGGGTGCTGCCGCCCCGACTACATTGTCCATGCTCGATGCTGCCCAGAGGAGGGCGGTCCGACTGATCGATGACTCTTCTCTAACAGACAGTCTCGGGACTCTTTCGCACCGGCGGGCCGTGTCAAACTTCGTACATCCAGAACTGACCGATACGACCGCTCCTTTGTCCCGAGGGTGTCTAGATTGTGGAACAAACTACGGGAGGAAGCTTTTCCCAGTTCTACTAACCTTAGGCAGTTCAAAAATCGTATTAACAAAATTTCTTTGGGATCATCATAGCAGCCGCGGTGTTCCGGCATTTAGGCTTCTGCCTGCGCGGCTGTTTCGATTTAAAAAAAAAAAAATACAAAACCCTATGACTTTAAATCTAATATGTTTAAACGAGCAATTCGTTCCGGTCACAAAATACAGGGGGATAGTTTTCTGTATATATGTATAAAACTAACATCCTGTACTTTGTGACCAATTGACGGAATCAGTCATAAGAAATAAATCTATAATATAATGAATATTACCTCTATACTTTGAGATAGGCCATAATATTTTCTAATCAGTAAAGAGAAACTTTTTGGCGATTTCTAATATTTCTAGTACTCATAGGTACCTAAAATGATTTCGTCACTCACCTTAGAAAAAAAATTTAGTAGATTGGATTTATTCTTAGTCGCCGCTTGCAATTCTTCTTCGATTCTCTTAGATACAATGATATCTAGTTCCTTGTCGCATGTTGCTTGTAATTTCGCCACAGTTTGTTAACTAACTTTTGTACATTTTGTACTTTCGTACTTGTATGAGATTTTTTAAAACTTTCAAACAATGTTTGGTATAACTTGGATTTGTCTATGTGAAACGACATCTTATTTAAACATTAAACTTTGGCTAATGGAATCAATGGTAACATAAATGTTAACTTGCTTTACTATGCTTACAATACGTCTACTCGCTATAGTATCCAAACCAAACAATACACTGATAGAGGAAATTTAGACAAGTGAACACCACGCGGTAATTCCCCTACTCGGTTCTAACGCGAGTAGGGGAATTACCGCGCGCTGTTCACTAAACGTATGCATTATTTGCGGGAATCCCCGAAAATGCGTTTCGTTTTCAAGCAAAGACAACGTGAGGGTTGCCATTCGTGTAAAAAAGTAAATAACTACCGATTACGTAATCATCATCTAGACTCCCCTGCCCCCCATGTCATCCAAAATAAGCAAAGCAAAGATCCCCCCGCCTCCCCATAGTGCTCACGTAATACTTGAACGGCCCCCTAGCATGAATATTTCTGGAAAATTGTATACTCACCATCTAGTTCAATCATAAATTCATCGACCTCTCTTTGCTGCGTGACGTCGAATTCTTTTTTCAAAAGTTCCGGAGCGATGATATCGTTTATATTCGATATTGCCTTGGATACCCCTTTTCCGTGGTATTCCGTAGGAATTCCATCCCTTAACTCGAGAGCCTCATGAATTCCTAGGTAAATGTGGCATTACGACATCAAGAATATGAAATTTCCATTTAGGTCCGGTTTTACAATCGCTGGTTAACTTTCAAGTCAGGTATACTTTATCTGAAGTCACTTGAAATAGCATAAAAACCTTTGGTCGGCGCGTCCTTTGTAATTTCATGACGTATCATAGGCGTGCGGTCATTTATTTAGAACGATAATAATAATAATGTTTTTATATCACAATAAATGGATTTTACTTTCTTATTTTTTTGATTTGGGATAAAAAATACTTATATTGGGAGTTTAATTTATGTTGACTGAAAGTTAAGAAATGGAAAAATTACAGAATGCCAACGTTTGACATAGGCAAATATTTACATAGCAGGTAGGTATATAAAAAGGTATATAAAGACTTACATTATAGGTATTTATATATCATTCTCGCCTTCGGAGCTGTCGCTAGAGTCATCTTGTAGAGGAATTACAACGGGATTTACAGGAGGCAAAACACAATATTCATTTTCTTTTTCAATAATATGCCTAGAACACTGCTTCCATAGGTCTGTGGCAGCAATATGAGATACTGCATCTCTTATTGTGGCCAATAGCGATTCACTTAATTGAGGGGTCTGATTATGTTTTCTTACTTTCTTTTTTAAAGCAGCCCAGACCAACTCAATCGGGTTAAAAATGCAGTAATAGGGAGGTAGACGTAATACTTCATGGCCATTTTGCTGAAGCAGATTGTCAACAACATACTCTTTTTCAAATTTTTGTCTTTTAATAAGATCCAATAATATGGCTTTGGTTGATGTTTGTGGTATTTCCATTCCCTTATCCTTCATAAAATCAATAATGTCTTGTTTTTTTGTGCCTGTATTCGGAATTTTGTTTTTCTGTCGGGAATGGTATGGCGCATTGTCCATAATAATCACTGAATTTGGGGAAATGTTTGGTATTAACTGCTGCTCTATCCACTTTTCAAATAAGTCGGAGGTCATGTCCTCATGATAGTCGGCACATGATTCTTTGATATTTTTGGCAGATAACAGCAAGGCATTAGGTATAAATCCATTTTCACTGCCAGCATGGAGAATAATGATTCGTTTTCCACGGTTGCATGGTGCATTTAAAATGCACTTGTTGCTGTCGTCAACCCAGCCGTACTGCACAACATCATGGGTATCATACCACGTTTCATCCAGGTAAATCAGATTTCTTTTCTGCTCTCTATAGATTTTAACTTTGTGCAAAAATTCTTGGCGCAATTCAACGATTCGAGACGACTCCATAATCACCATTCTTTTATCTAATTTTTTGTATTGAAAACCACACAGTTTTACAATACAGTGCAGTGAGTCTAAGCATTTGTAATTATAAAAATCTTCAGGATAATCTTTTAATTTATCCCGTATCATTTCCAACGTGGGCACCAAATTTTCTTTATAAAATCCATATATTATACGACGAATATCTTCCTGAAAACCCACGTCTATTCTTTTTAATTTTAGCCCTATGCGCTTTGTGTGGAAGGAATGGTTGACTACATCTCCCCTTTTTATAACCCGATAAATGGTAGACCGACTGATTTTTGTCAGGATACAAATTCTGTTTAAAATTTGATTTTGCGAGGAATCTGGATTTTCGTTTTTCAGACAATCATACATATTTAGGATTACTCTTTGGGTCTGTTTCTCTAAATCTTTATGAAAGAATTCTGCCTGCACAGGTTCATCAACCATCTCCTCGTGGCTTGGAGCATTTTCCCAAGGTCTCCAAAGAGCCATATTTAGGACGCACAAGAACAATCAACACAACAATTAAATCAACAAGTAAACTGAGTATTCAAAAGTCAAAAACACACAAACTAATAAAATCTATGAAAAAACACGGACAGACTAAAGAAAACACGTTTATTCACCGCTACACGGCACTGGCTAAACTGTTTCAATTTTCAGTAGCCACCTGCACTTGTTCGGAGCTCTGAAATACACGCTTTCTCATTGGCTATGTCCACGCATAGGCGTGCTTTACTCCACGTGGACCGGTGAAACTGCCTTTGATCTCTTATACGGGGGATATTTGCTGCGAAATTTGGCGATTTTTGCAGCAACAGAGCGTGTTAAATATAGATATATAAAACGCACCCGGTATTTCACAGTGTTTCAAGTGACTTCAGATAAAGTATAACTGTGGCTTGGAAATTAACTATCAGTTGTCTGTAAATTCTTTTTTCAAGTTGTAGTTAACAATCAATAAACTGCCGATGCAGTAACGTTGCTTTTATGCCTGAATTATCGTGTTCTATGCATTTCGTGATGCTCTGTATTTGTGCCTAGTCCCATCCGTGACATCTTATGTCAATTTAAGGTACATTTTAGGTTAGATATTGCGGTTTAACCACAACTTTGCAGTTATCCCTTTCATGGTCCTCTGGCCGAAGTTGACTATCACTTTAGGACAAACTTGATATTGAAAAACTCTTTCTGAAAGTCAACTTCAGCTTAGCAGATGAGTTCCAGTTAACTTACGATTGAAAAACCGGACAATAGAAACTTACTCAGAAATGACGATCCTTAGACTAAAATCAAAAAGTATAAACTAGCATGTAATATTAAGAATTGCTTTAAAATAAACTAAGCTTAAAAGACTATATAGGGTGTAGTAGGGAGAGGATTAAACTTCAATGTACATACTTGGCAACCTCAAAAACGATAATTTTCGTCTTAGTTTTTTAGGCATTAAATATCGCGTAATTCAAAAAACGGTCAAATTTAGAGAAAAGTCAATGAAGACTTCAAAATGATCTTAAAACTCTAATAGAAATTTGTCAGCAGCGTAAACATTTTATTAGAAATTTGTTGAAATATACTAAGTGACACATAAATCCGAACACCCAGTTTAAATGGTTTTATTTTAATAAAATTTTGTATAAGTACTTAATGAAGCATAATGATAAAAATTTCAAAATGATTGCACTTTTTTAAAGCCCTTTGACCTTTTATAATGTGTGGATGCACCCTGATGTGCTACGCATTCTCCAACGCGCCTAGACATGCTTCTGATCAGGTGGTCAATGTCCTCCTGTGGTATCTCATTCCAGGCAACCAGCCACTCCTCTCGAAGTGTTTCTAGAGTCTGAGGAGGACGTTGCAAATTGAGCAATCTCCTACCCATCATCTCCCTCACGTGCTCAATTGAGGATAAGTCGGGAGATCTTGGTGGCCATGGTAACAATGTGACATCATTATGTTGAAAGAAGTCTATTGTGACTCTTGCAACATGTGGTCGGGCATTATCTTGTTGGAAAGTTGGATCTGCCAGGGTGTCAAGATAGGGTAAAAGATGGGGTTCTAGAACTTCGTGGATATAACGCTGCGCGTTCATGTTACCTCTGATGAAGATTAAAGGTGACCTGGAACCATAAGCTATAGCACCTCAAACCATAACTCCAACAGTGTGATGAACATGTCTTTCAACAAAACACTGTGGATTCCTTCTTTCACCACGTCGCCTTCTAACCCTGGCACGACCATCGTGCATGCCTAAACAAAATCGAGACTCGTCACTAAAGACAATACTGTTCCATTCCTGATCCCAGAGTGACCGTTGTCTGCACCACTCAAGGCGATTACGTCGGTGTTCTCGAGTTAAAGGGAGGACCCAGTGTGGCCGGTATGAAAACAAGCCAAAACTTCTCATTCGTCGGTAAACACTTCGTATGCCAATAGGTCTTCCGTGTTCTGCAAACCATTCATTTGCAATGGACCTGGTAGTGGAGAAACGGTCCCCTAAGGCCAATAATCTTAGGCGGCGATCTTCACGGTCTGTTGTTCTACGGCGGCGTCCAGTGCCCCTTGCTCTTTGCGTACGGCCTTCTCGAAGCCATGCTTGACAACACCTAACCACAGTGTCTCTAACTGCAATTGCCCGAAAAGAAAGTCCAGCTTCTCGAAGTCCCACTATACGGCTCCTATCAAACTCACTAAGTTGACGAAATCGTACAGGTCTCCGTACTCTAGGCATCGTAACCGATCGTAAAGGATGTCAAGAACCAAAATCCGCCAACGTTGATACTTTACTGCGGCTGAAATATTCATTTTTAGAGCGTTAGTGAATTAAAAAAAAAAGCAGTATAAAAACCGGAATGTACAACTGATAAGGCTGAAAATTTTTTCACTTGTTATTTACAGTAAGATAAATACATTCACCAACTTTTATTAAAATAAAACCATTTAAACTGGGTGTTCCGATTTATATGTCACTTAGTATAATTGTTCAAGCAATATTTGACAAAATTTTGGGCCTGGCAACATGTAGATTCATTGAAAGGGGTCTTCTTTGGACGAGATTATATAGAAAACTGAATCAGAATATATTTCTGTGCGGATGCGTCACTTGGAAGAAACCTGGCATTTTGATAAATAGATTTATTTAAACCAGTTAATCAACAAACATTTTTTCACGTCAACGGTGAGATTCAAACTTGAATGTCGTCGTAACGTGTACAAGAGAGAAACGCGATAAGCATGCGACATACAGGGTGTTTCAGTTTATTGTTGCATCACTTTAAGATTCGATAGAACCTTTAAAATTAATGCATAAAGTCTATATAAACATGGGTCGAAAAATGCGTGGCTTCCGAAATACAGGGTGTTTAAATTTACTTTCTAAAATAGTTTCTTTTAAATATTTCGAACAATATTTGATGTATAACAGTGAAAATTGGTATACAAGGGTTTTTTGGTAGCACAAAACGAACCATGGGCATAGTTTTACTGTAGTCGCTAGAGGGCGCTCTCTACTGTAGCTGTAGTGTATTAAAATAAAAAAATTTTCTTAGTGAAATTTTTTGCTTTTTGAATAAAAAAACTGATTCTTCGCACTTTTCAACATAAAAAAGCTCTCTTGTGAATTTTCGTTATAGTTAGCCGTTTTTGAGATATTTCGATTTTTAAGGTTCGATGCATTTTTAATTATTTATGATAAAATAACGTTAAAAGTCAGTATCTCGATAATTTTTAGAAGTAGGCTGAGTCTGCAAATATTTTTGAAATTGAAAGCAGAATAAGGTTAAACGTCAATTAGTTGACAGTTAGTTTTGTTGTCTGTTGAAACCTGAGACGTTTTTTTGCAATTGTGAATGTACGAAATTTAGTTTCTTTTCTTTTTACCTGTTTTTTTGTAAGTTTTATAAAAATGCCATTTTCATTATCCAATCAAGAGTTAGCGGATATTCATTTTGTGTATGGCGTTGTAAATGGAAACGCAGCAGAAGCAGCCAGTGAATACGCACGAAGATTTCCAAACAGACGACATCCAACTCGCTCAGTATTTGTAAGAATGCATCGCCAAATAATTGAAAATAGTTTTGGAAATCTCCAAAGGGATCAAAACATAAATGTTCGTCAGCGCAGATTTACCCGTATGATTCTGCGTGAGTTTGATAGAGATCCGACCACAAGTGTTAGGAGAGTTTCTGGTGCCTTGGGAATTTCAGCAAGCCATGTTCACCGTGTTCCTGAAAATGACCATAGACGTCCTTACCATTTGCAACCTGTGCAAGGACTACAGCCAGGGGACGGAGAACGAAGAATCACATTTTGTCAGTGGATTCTTGATAGAACTGATAATAATAGGGAGTTTTTAAGTAACGTTTTATGGACCGATGAGTCATGCTTCACTAGACGTGAAGTGCTAAATTTTCATAATCAACATATTTGGTCGCATGAAAATCCGCATGCAGTTCGGGAAAGAAATTTTCAGCATGAATTTAGTGTGAACGTGTGGATTGGTATCTACCGTAATCGACTATTTGGACCCTATCTTTTGCCTGCAAGGTTAAATGCTGCGACCTTCTTGGAATTTTTAAAGGCTGAACATGCAAATATGTGGGATGATGTTATGTTAGATTTAAGAAGATTGGCCTGGTTCCAGCTTGATGGTTGTCCAGCTCATTGTTCGAGAATAGTTAGAAACTGACTGGACGAAAATTATCCAGAAAAATGGATCGGCCGTGGAGGACCAGTCGCCTGGCCTCCACGATCCCCTGACCTAAGTCCATTAGATTTCTTTGTGTGGGGATTTCTAAAAAAAAGTGTACCAGACTCCCGTAACCACAAGAGATATGCTAATAGACAGAATCAGGAATGCATGTGATGAAATAAGGCCTTATTTGAATAATGCTATACCACGTTCGATCATTCGTAGATGCGAATTGTGTATTGAACAATTGGGTTTACATTTCGAGCAACTACTTTAGATTTTGTATGTTTGTCCTAACTATCCAGTAGCATTTTAGTTGTAAATAATTAATTTAATTTGTTAAAAATAATATTGGAAAATTAAACAAATTAATATTCTGTTTTTTTGTGTTTATTTGGAATTAGGAATTATTGCTGTGTTTAAAAACACAATCTAAACGATCATCTTAATTACTTGTAATGCCCAAATCGAAAATGTAAAAAAATATTATTTTCCCATAAATAATTAAAAATGCATCGAACCTTAAAAATCGAAATATCTCAAAAACGGCTAACTATAACGAAAACTCACAGGAGAGCTTTTTTGTGTTGAAAAGTGCGAAGAATCAGTTTTTTTATTCAAAAAGCAAACAATTGCACTAAGAAAATTTTTTCGGTCATTTTAATACACTACAGGTATAGTAGAGAGCGCCCTCTTGCGGCTACAGTAAAACTATGTCCATGGTTCGTTTTGACGTAACAAAAAACCCTTGTATACCAATTTTCACTGTTATACATCAAATATTGTTCGAAATATTTAAAAAAAAAACTATTTTAGAAAGTAAATTTAAACACTCTGTATCTCGGAAGCCATGCATTTTTCGACCCATGTTTATATAGACTTTATGCATTAATTTTAAAAGTTCTATCGAGTCTTAAAGTTATGCAACAATAAAATGAAACACCCTGTATATGCTAGTCTGCAAAATTACATTTCGTCGGGTTTTTTTGTCGTTTTTTAGGTTTTTTACATAGTACCCCTGCGGATTAAAGCTAGGACGCTGTTTGTTCCTCAAGGTACGGGACTGTGTTTTGGAAGCATTAGACTGTACAAGATTGTTGTCTCCAAGCAGCGATAATCTCCAATCCTCTCGCTAGAGAGGTAGTCGCTGCTAGTCTTTTTTTTCTAGCTCACCGGTGGAGATAGGCTCTGAATTGCTGCATGTAGAGTGCTGTCATCAGCAACGCTGTGGATTACATTGATCCTACATAAAAGAGGGTCGTTGGTATCGTCTATACAGGGTGACTTTGAAGTTGAGTCATTAATTTTCAGATAATGATTGTAGAAGGAAGATAAACCAAAATATGTGTGTAAAAATAAAAAAAAATTAAAAAAAATTTTTTACCTTGTTTTATAAAGTATCCTCCCGACAAGTATTTCAGTGCGGACCTGTATTTGATCGTGAGGTCCCCTGTGAGGTCTTAAGTCACCTGATTCACGAGCCCGTTGTACTACATTAACAAAGGCACGAGGGGTTGGTTGCACTCGATTGGGAAACCGATCCGCATAAACATGTGCCATTTCTTATTTCGTTTGAGCCACGCAACAGATACCACTATTCACTGACACTGACTGTATACAAATGAATGAAATAATTGTAAAAACATCGTTCCAAATTCTTTCGCTTTTTTGTTTCCGATGCGATGAACCGATACGGCGGATTATATCCGTTGTCGCCAAACACGAGCACATAATATTATTATTGAGACAGGGCGGTACTCAAACTTCCAAAGGGCTATAACTTTGTTACTTTAATTTTACCAGAAAAATGGTAAAGGAAAAAAACATTTCTTTTGATCAGATCTACTCACTGTTAAAATAAATGACTCAACTTCGAAGTCACCCTGTATATTGCGCTCTTAATATACAAATATTTTTTTGAAGAGTAATATAAACTGAATCTATACCTGTACTAGCTCCAGAGGGAACAGCTGCCCTGAATAATCCAAGATCTGTAATCAAATCTACCTCAATTGTCGGATTTCCTCTCGAATCGAATATCATCCTGGCGAAGATATGTTTCATGCACTTCTTATTTGCCATGTTGAATCTACGAAAATGTTTTTGAAAAGATCAGGAACGAAAAAAATACTGATGCTGACGATGATTTATAAGGTACGCGAATTTGTGATTGTCAATAAATTGACAAAATGCGTCATGTGCTATTTTTGAGAAGTATCCAGTGTAGGTTCATAGTCATGAAGACAAGATATAGCAGGTTGAACTGCATAAGAGAATAATAGATAAATAAATATCCGTTATTATATGAAGAATACAATACAATCATTCTTAATAAAAAAGCTAACTTAAATCTAAGCTACTCGTATAACATAATTATGTAAATTTTCACACCAGTATAAATGACGATGAATGAGACTTGTACAAGTGTTGATTTAGCTACTAATAAAATTGAAGATCTCAGTGCACAATATCAGGTAAGGTAAAAGTTTTATCAAAAATTGCTTGTTCGAATATTCTAAGTATTTATAAGATCATTACGGATCGTTTGGGGCGATGATCATGCAAGTTCAATGCACCTAATGTGAAATAGCATAGGATTTTACTTGCCTGGTCAAGTATTGGTAGCATAAATCAGTCAAATCACCCCCAAAAAAGACACTAAATGCATACGCTGCCCTGAAAAATGACCATATCCATATTCTCGCTGCATGGAAAGAACTGATACGTGCAACTTCAAAAGTTTCAAGTTGTAAACGTCAATCAGAACATGATTATGAATTTTGCAACACATCTTAAAGCTTTTTTTAAATCTGCTTTTATTAGCATTGCTTAGCATTTCAACAGACCGATTTTTCCAGTATCAAAAAGGATTCAAATATGTGGAATGAAGTACTGCAACATCCATCGTAGTTTTTACAAGGTTTTATATTGAAAAAGAAAATGTGGTATTGTGCTTTCCAAGTTGACATATGATATAACCCTATCCTTTGCCGCTTAATGAAAAAAAGGCTGTCGATGTTAAACTTTTATCAGCAAAATACGTACCAGCCGTCGATCTATGGTACTATAGAAAGATCGAAGTTCCACAAGAAGTACAGGGGATGATGCTTATGACTCCGATTTATCATTTATGCAATAATTAAAGATTTATTTTTGTTACCCCTTTTTTAAGTTGTTTTGGTCTTGTTCTCTCTGAGTATTAATACTGTTTGAACTAATTTTACCATTATTTCAATATGTTTGGGTACAAAAACCAGGTAAGTCCAAATTTTTAATCAACAGTTTGGGTTCGTGTGTTTATTATATCATATTAAGCACTTTCTCCATATCCTAAAATAAAATGGTATTTTTAAAACAAAATATTCAGTTTATTTTTCCAAAACTTCCTATAATGTGACTTACCTGGCTTTTGCACCTAGGTCTTCAATTTAACATCTTGTTTTCGTCTAATACCGTAATTTTTATTTGGTATCTGAAATTCAGATTTATTTTTAAAAATAAGAGATGCTGATTCAAAAATAAACAATGATACGACAATCATTATTTTATGATTTAAAAATAAATGCCTGCATGTAGCTCTAGCATTGCTTTTAGTTATATCCGCCTATCTATATCTAATAGTTTTTGTAGAATAAGCACCTTTTCAGGCAATTTCGGGAACGTACATACCAAAAGGCAATACTTTTCCCTACGTTGTAGCTAACGTTCTTATAGTAAAGGAAATCATTGCTCGCCAGTCCTAAACATCTGATGGCGTCTGTTTTGAGTATCAAACCATTATTTAAATTTATAAAACCAAGGGAGCATTTAAATGTCATAAATTTAGCCTTAGTAATAGTGAAAGTTGAGTTATTATTATGATTACGAAAAATGAGAGTACTTTAAATGCTGTTCAAATAGCCTCTATCAAACCTATTTAAACTTAATTGAATTCCAGGGGTGTAAGCAGTTAGTTGATCCCAAATTCGGATTCAGCGTCAAAAATTACATTTGAATAGCATGCCCTAGCATCTGGCATCCTCGATTGTTACTCCTCCTAGGAATAGTAACTTCAGGAGGAGGAGGATCTTCTCGATCACAAATTCGGATTCAGCATCGAAAAATATATAGGATTGGCAAGCTCTAGCATCTGGCATCCGAAACTCAATTTACACGTCTACAGGGGTAATTTTTGTGTCTGCGGGTCAATTCTATACATCTAGCAGCTTTTCTGATTTCTAATTCGGATTCAGCGTTGAAAAATATATAGAAATATGATCACGGATTTTAACCCTTATTAGTAGTAGTAGAAAGATTTATTTAGCACATTTGGCTACATAAACAGAATAATTGTAAACAACTTAGAACTAGTAAATTCAAGCCATATGGTGTATGATGTAAATGCTGGACAACCTATAATTGTAGATTTAACAAGTGATTTCTCTTGAGTTGTGCTTCACTGTCTATCCATCGCTGATTCCTCGAAGTTCGTTTTCACATTAGTCCCTCATTTTTAACGGTAGTCTTCAATCTCCGATAGTAGTGATAGACAGTAATTATGGTGCGACTGGGCTAGTTGCAAATCGGTGGAGTGATGACAGAAACATAAGCAAAATCCTGTGATAATAATTTTTTTGGCGGGTAGGTCAAAATGTTTTTGTAGGGGTAAAGATAAAAAAAAACGAGGAATAAGACATAAATAATTATTTATTTCAATAATAAATACAACTCTTATAAGTAATTCCATCAGTCTCTTATAAAACATAGATACAACTAAGGTAGGTACTTTTCACATATGGTAATCTTTAGGATGATTGTTTGTCGTGTCTTCAGCAGATCAGTTTACTTTTTTTTTGAATCATTTTCGCCTCAAAAATAGTGAAGGTTCAATACTACCACTTACTATATTTTGGCTGAACATGGCGGATATGAAGTTAACTAAAACCTATTATAAAAAACGTAACATCTGCGAAACTTGACTGTGGCTTATCCACAGAAAGTTTGAGTTGTGCTTCACTGTCTCTCCACCGCTGTTTATTTATTTATTTATTTATTTCCAACAGGTGAAACCCAATTACAGGAAACACTGAAAAAAAATAACAATTAAAGAGACATGGTTCTTGGACTTAAATCTATAGTATCACACATTCTAAATAAGACTGGATGATCTATAACAGTTAATAATCGATGCACAACTGTCACTGTAAATATCACACGATTCAGTAACACTGTTTATGACGCAGCACATGAGATTAATTGGCGATTTTGTCATAACATTTATACGGCCAGCTTGACAATAGAATGCCATTTGTTGTCGACTCCCTAGCCTTGGAAAGCGGAAACATATTTTTTCAAGTAAATTTTGACAGTCAATTTTATTGTGAATGAGGCCATACAAAAACGACAAAGCAAATATGTTTCGTCTTGTTGACAGTGAATCCAAATTGAAAGACTCTAATAGGGCACTATGGTCACAACCTCTTTCTGGATAAGAACCTGTGCATTTAAGGTGAACATACTTTAAAGCTTTACGTTGAATGGCCTCAAGGATCACGACAGAATTTTGGTATATAGGAGACCAGATCAGAGTCGCATACTCCAACTTGCTCCTGACAAAAGTAAAAAATAAAGTCATTAATGTATCAACATTGGAGAAACCCTTCCAGTTTCTGATACAGAAACCAAGTAGTCGAGTGGCAGCCGACGAGATATTGAGTATATGCTCAGTAAACGTTAGCTTGGTATCAAAAATGACTCCAACGTCTCTATAAGAGGTGCATCTGTCTATAACCTGACCATTGATGTTATAATTATCATAAATTAAATAGTTCACTTTTTTTGTATAAGTCATAACTTTAAATTTCGAAACATTCAGACTGAGACAGTTTCGTGAACACCATGACGAAATTAGAGCTAAGTCATCTTGCAACATGACGCAATCCTCGACTGTCTTGACTGACGTGCAGATTTTAAGGTCATCAGCGAAAAACAAATGGAAACACTTCAGTTCAAAAGACAAGTCATTAATAAATATTAGAAACAATAATGGACCTAGATTTGACCCTTGAGGTACCCCAGACGTGGCCCGATAGTAACTCCACCTATGACCACCATATTCGACAAATAACCTTCTATCCCTCAAATATGAATTCATGAGCGACAGCATTGCATCAGACATACCCACTGTCTTAAGCCTATCCAGAAGTGCATAATGATCAACTTGATCAAAAGCCTTCTGAATATCTGTGTAGATGACATCAACTTATCCCTGATCGTCCAGTACTTCAGAAATGTATTGAGTAATTAGAGCCAAGTTGGTGACCGTAGATCTGCCTCTCATAAACCCATGCTGATTAATAGAGACTGCACCCCTGACCGAGCAGTAAACCGTTTCATAAGCGATGATCTCAAACAACTTGCTGAAATTGCACAGGATCGCTATTTGGCGATAGTTGGAAATATCAGAGATATCTCCACTTTTGTGAATAGGACATATTTTAGAGGTCTTCCAGATATTTGGATATGTCTCTGATTTTAGAATTAGGTTGAATATGGAAGCCAGCGGTTTCGCTAGTATATGAATGCAATCTTTAACGAAAAAACTTGGAATACCATCACATCCAGACGTCATTTTGTTCTTTAATCTTTTCGAAGCCCTAATTACGTTTTCTTCACTTATATTTTTTAAAGAAATGATATCGGTAGAATTATTTGTTGGAGGAGATGACCCTAGTAGACCAGACGGGATAAAAACTGTTGAAAAGAAGGTAGCAAAACTGTCCACTATATGCTGAGGCGTATCGCAGACATTGCCGTTAAGCGTTATCCTTGCGGGGATTCTAGATTGCTGTTTTTTGATCTGGGCAAATGACCAGAATTTGCTAGGATCATTGACAATGGCATCCTCAGCCGATTGGACGTAAGCGGAGTAGGCAACACTGATCTGGTTCTTAATGAGCTTCCTAAAATTACTGAACTGATCATAAGAAAACTTAGTACCGTCACGTTTCCAGTTCCTTCTTGCTATGTCCTTCTTCTTGATATTAAGTATAATTTCACGTGTGAACCATGGGGGATACGAAAACATTTTATTTTTACATTCAGGGACATGGACCTCAAAGATGTTATTGATAACTGAATACAAGGCGGTACAAGCGACATCAACATTAACTGCACTGATCACCTCCGTCCAATTAACATCTTGCAAGGCTGTGTACATTTCAACATTTCAGGAAAGTTAGCTTTGCGAAAGTTAAACCGTGGAGAATTAGCAAATGGGAATTTCGTTGGAGATCCGGATATAATGAATTCCATGATCAGTGCAGGATGATGAACGTCCTCTTTAACAGAAGGTGTATTATCTCTGAGGACTTCTATTTCGATATTTCCTAAAATTAAATCCAGCATTCGACCATTTATATTTGGAATATTATTAAAGTTAGTCAAATCTAAAAACGAAATAAAGTTGCTCATGAATTGAGACTTCTGATCATTAGCGTCACTGTTGAATGATGCGACATTAAAGTCACCAGCAACAATTATTTTACAATTACTGAGTGCATTGTTAAATACTTCTAAAGCTTCAAGGTACTGACCAAACATGTCCACATTAATTGAAGGCGGAATATAAATAGAAAAGATAACAAAATGCTCATGGTTAATAATAAGCCTAATACATACAGTGTCAATCGACGGAAAGTTTCGACTCAAAGCACTAGCGCCAATTCTAATTGCATGGAAATCGCGTTTTATGGCTATCAGGACTCCTCCGCCGGAAGCTAGGCCAGATCGAATAAAGTCACGATCACATCTGAACACACAGTATTCAGCCGGAAATAATTCACTATCACTCACATTCACAGACAGCCACGTCTCAGTCAAGCAAATTAAATCAAATTCGTAGTCACTGACTGCATTGAAGAATGACACCGTCTTAGAATTGAGACCACAAACCTTCTGGTAGGAACACCTTAGCTTAAGTTTCCTTGAAGTTCGTTTCCACAGTAGTCCCTCATTTTTAAAGTAGTCTTCAATCCCAGATAGTAATGATAGACAGTAATTATGGTACGACTGGGCTAGTTGAAAATCGGTGGAGTGATGACAGAAACATAAGCAAAATCCTGTGATAATAATTTTTTTGGCGGGTAGGTCAAAATGTTTTTGTAGCGGTAAAGATAAAAAAATGAGGAATAAGACACATAAATAAAATTTGTCAATTATTTTATTTCAATAATAAATACAACTCTTATAAATAATTCCATCAGTCTCTTATAAAACATAGATACAACTAAGGTAGGTACTTTTCACATATGGTAAGCTTTAGGATGATTGTCGTGTCTTCAGCAGATCAGTTTACTTTTTTTTTAATCATTTTCGCCTCAAAATCGAATTTGGAATCTACGCATCCGATTTACCCAGAAAACAAGTGTCCATCTCGATCATAGACGCACAAGGGTTTTTAGAAATTTTGTATTAGTCGTTTTTTGACAAAGCTGAATTTTTGCCAGTATCTTGAAAACGAGGCATTTTCGGACGGAACGGGCCATGGATTCGGTTTCAGCGACCCAAAAAGCGTATTATAAGATATGTTGCGTTCACGTTCCCGACTGACCCATTTTGTGACTATTTGATAAGAATAATGGTAATTATATGTTAAAATGCTTTAAATGCAATGTTATCCATCGCTATTTCCTTGAAGTGCGTTTCCACAGTAGTTCCTCATTTTTAAAGTAGTCATCAATTTCCGATAGCAGTGATAGACAGTAATTATGGTGCGACTGGGCTAGTTGAAAATCGGTGGAGTGATGGCGGAAACATAAGCAAAATCCTCTGATAATAATTTTGTTGGCGGGTAGGTCAACATGTTTTTGTAGGGGTAAAGATAAAAAAAACGAGGAATAAGACACATAAATAAAATTTGTCAATTATTTTATTTCAATAATAAATACAACTCTTATAAATAATTCCATCAGTCTCTTATAAAACATAGATACAACTAAGGTAGGTACTTTTCACATATGGTAATCTTTAGGATGATTGTCGTGTCTTCAGCAGATCAGTTTACTTTTTTTTTAATCATTTTCGCCTCAAAAATCGTGAAGGTTCAATACTACCACTTACTATATTTTGGCTGAACATGGCGGATATGAAGTTAAGTAAAATCTATTATAAAAAACGTAACATCTGCGAAACTTCACTGTGGCTTATCCACAGAAAGTTTGAGTTGTGCTTCACTGTCTATCCATCTCTGTTTCCTCGAAGTTCGTTTCCATAGTAGCCCCTCATTTTTAAAGTAGTCTTCAATCTCCGATAGTGTGAGAGCCTTAGTTTCAGGCAAGGTGAGCCAGAGGAAGATACAGGCGATGAAGGAAACTCCACCGAAAATCCAGAATACTCCAGATACTCCAATGGATGCTTTCGTTAGAGGGAAAACTTTGGCGACGCCGAAGAGTAGCAGGTTGAAGATCATGAAGGTCAGGCCGCCTGCCAAACCACGAACCTGTCAAAATAGTTGGTAAGAGTTATTTAACATCATATAGGAATCACTAATATAATAAAAAAAAAACAAATAGCTTTGATAGCTCGAACTTGTAACGATTTTTTAGATTTTTAGGTCATATAAGTTACAAATGAGTGATAGTAGTAATGGATGATTTTTTTGCTAGTATCTTTTTGGCAACACTGTTATTGACAGATGACGCGTGAATCGTGTCTCGTGTCATTGTCAAACTTGTTCAGTTTGGTCTATAATTTAACCATGAATCGACTTACGAACGAACAACGCTTGCAAATTATTGAATTTTACTATCAAAATTCATGCTCGGTTAAGAGAGTGCATCGAGCACTGCCTCCAATTTATGGGCAATTTGGTCGGCCTACTGAGGGAGCTATTCGGAAGCTTGTGACTAAATTTCGAACCCAGTTTACATTATTGGACATTAAACCACAAACATGCAGACGTAGAGTGAGGACTGAAGAAAATATTGCGGCTGTATCCGCCAGTGTTAGTGATGACCGTGAAATGTCGATTCGCCGCCGTTCGCAGCAATTGGGCCTCTGTTACTCCACGACACGACCTCCCACAATGTTTCCAATTTGGTGAATGGGCGCTGGCAAAGTTGGAGGAAGATCCACATTTTTATCGAAAAATTGTGTTCAGAGACGAAGCTCATTTCTGGTTGAATGGGTACGTTAACAAGCAAAATTGCCGCATCTGGAGTGAAGACCAGCCAGAAGCATTGCAAGAGCTACCAATGCATCCCGAAAAAATCACTGTTTGTTGTTAAGGCTAATGTCTACAGGGATAAACCAGCAACGATTGACGCACTGAAAGGCAATATTGAAGCATTTATTCGTGAGATACCGGCCGATATCTTGGAGAGAGTGTGCCAAAATTGGACCTTGCGCATGGGCCATCTAAAGCGGAGCCGCGGCCAACATTTACATGAAATAATCTTTAAACATTAAATTATATCGACCGTTCTATCGACTCAAATAAAGATTTAATCGTGTTTTTCAAATTTTTTGTGTTTTTTTTTTGAAAATCAAATCCTATACCTCTTAAAAAATCACCCGTTAGATACTATAAACGTAAACATGATAAAAGATGCAAGTTCATTATTTTTGAATTGGGAAATCTCGAAACTGGAGATACTATAGGCCAAAATATGTGAATTGACCTAAACATACCTTAGTCCAAAAGTTCAGTTATTGTTTTTAAAAGTTCCAATGGATTATTTGTACCATATGGAGAGAATTGGTTTCAGAGGAAACGCGTACTCACTGATCGAAAGTTATTTGTCAAATCGCCCACAATCTGTGCAGATATCAGGATCATTTAGTAAAGAAATGTATATTAGGTGTGGTGTGCCACAAGGAACTGTCTTAGGTCCGCTGTTATTCAATATCAAAACAGTAGAAAATTAAGCATTAACTACTCTAAAACACATTTTTTACCATTTGGATCTTATGCTAGACATCTGCCAAATTACACAAATTTCTCCTTCAATATTAATGATCAAAAAATGCAAATTAATAGAGTGCTCAACATAAAATACCTTGGAGTGGTCTTGGATCCTCACTTACGATGGGACATCCATGTCAATTATATTTTAAAGAAAGTTAGATTTGTATCCTACAAAATTAAATACCTTGGGAATATATTGACAGAAAAATATCTTCGAACATTATACCATGCACTGATTGAGCCTCATCTCACATATGGTATATTAGCATGGGGAGCTGCATGTTCCTCACATATCTATACGTATAATTTAGATGTTTTTCAAAAAAGTATTCTAAAAATGATATTTAAAAAACCGAAACTTTATCCCACTGAAAAATTATACGCAGATGTTCGAATGTATGATATAAGACAGCTTTATTTCTTACACTGTATCACTCACTACCATAAATTTGTAAACACCGACCAACAAATTAAACATAATCATTATACCAGGTACAAAATTCGTGGCACAGTAGTTCCTCAACCGCATAAATCTATAATGCAGCGATCATATCTCTATTAACGCCTAAATTTTATGAAATTATACCTAAAGACTTAAAAGATTTACGTTTCGGAAATTGTTTCAAAAGAAATTTAAAAGAGTGGCTACATTCTATATCTAGGACTGAAATTCATAAACTCATAAATACGAATATCAACTAAATACATAATCTACTGTAGCTAATTTTTGTCCTTTTTTGTCATTTGCATTCTACAGTTTCAACTTAAATTTATTGGTCCATGTACAGGCGATGCCTTCTGTTGGGCCTGTTTTGATTTTATATTTATTTACTCATATTGTTTGTTGTCTTTGTACATTGAGTGAATAAATATTATTATTATTATTATATAATATATAATAATAATAAATAACGTTTATTTCCCAACAGTTAAGGAAAGCATTTACAGGACAATCCTAAGATAAATCAAAATAACAGGAACAGAAAACACATACAAGCAGGTGATTTCGTCTAAAGAAAAAAACAAACAAGAAAAAGATGCAAAAAAACATATTTCACTCAGGTAACATATCTTAAATTATCCAAACAATTTCTAGCTACTCCCAGAATGCTGTTCAAACGGTCAGCATGTATGTCATAATAATTTGATATTGCATTGAAAGTTTCACACATCACTTATGTATATGGGTGCCTTCAAAAACAAATTTGTGCGAGCCCTGCCACAATAAAATGTTTGAGTTTGAATACATTACAGTTTATTTGAACCACAATCCCATTAGCATCAATTTGATTGTGCAGTAGTTTATGCAAGAACATAATTGATGCACGCTTCCTTCTCAGTTCTAAAGACTGCACTTGAAACCTAGACAATAACAAACTTTCAGATATACCACGTTCAGGATATATTATACCGTCAACTTTAAAAGATAAAAATTTTTTAAACTTTCTCTGAACATGCTCAAGAGAATCAATGTAGCAGTTGTAAATTAGGTTCCAAATTAACGATGCATATTCCAATTTCAATCTAATATATGCAGAATACAAAACTAACAGTGACTCTGGGCGGCTAAAGCTTCTACAGATTCTCACCTTTTGAGCTAAGTGGAGTGAAAAATTATGTTTATGGTCAAGAACTACACCCAAATCCTTAATTGAGTTATAACGATTTATGTAAGCATCCTCAATTTTATAATTAAATTTAAAGCAGAAGTTTTCCTGGAAAAGCTGACTACACTTCACTGAGACGCATTAAGAAATAAATTATTTTCGTCACATAGCTACTAGAGAATCAATATCACGCTGAAGTGCAATACAACCAGTCTCAGAATCAGTAATCCTGAATAATTTTAAATCATTCGAAAAGAGGAGCTTATTACAACTTAAATAATGCACAACGTCATCAATAAATAAGGTAAACAATAAAGGACCAAGATTTGAACCCTGAGGTACTCCCGATTTAGTTATATACTGGTACGACTTGAATCCATTAAAAGTAACATATTGCTTCCTTTCATGAAGATAACTTTGAATGAGTGCTAAAGCTGATGAATGGAATCCATAATAAAAAAGTTTATTCAAAAGTATGCCATGGTCCAACCTATCGAACGCTTTAGCAAAATCGGTATATACTACATGTAGTTGACCTTAGGCAGCAGCGGTGGCCGCAATAGTAGACCCTTCGGTTTCCTGATCAGTCGCCGAGCGCTGTGCAGGTTCGAATACCATCCTAGGAGAAATTGTTCTCTTGGCGATGGATGTTGCGTTAGTCCGTAGGTGGTAGACGGTCTCTGACTGTCGAACGCGGAGGTACCACCCGGCGGATCTCGTAGGCGGAGCCATAATGTGTGCATGTTGCATGCACACGTGTTCCCTCGCTAGAGTTCGTGTGGCATCCCCCCTTCCCCCTGTATCCCCCTATAGCCCCACGGTACCCAATGGGTGTTTAGGCCTTAGGCCTTCGTGGAAGTTGGTGTATAAAAAAAACCTTGCCGATCGACATATTCAATAGCGAACTGAGTGAAGATTGCTAAATTAGTTACTGTGGATCTCTTAGTAAGAAAACCATACTTAAAAATGGGACGGAGATCTATGAACTGCAGAGTAAATTCTATGATGCTATATTATCTCCAGCAATTTGGAGAAATTCGACAATGGTGATAAAACATTTTTATAACATAATAATCGAGTTGCTTTACATCATGGAGTATACGTTTGATGAATATTCTGATATGCATTTAATGTACGGATTGGCAAGATGTAATGCTTTAAAAACAAATATCTCGAAAACTATTAGCTTTAGCAGGTAAGCTTTCTTTGTTGTGGAAATACAAGAAAATAAGATTGTTCGGTCAGTTGTTGTATACAGGGTAGCACAAAAAAGTTATGATGAGTTATTTACCGAAATAGCGCTGTAAGTGGCGCCCTTTAGAAGTTTGGCCATAAAAAATAACGGATTCTTGTTTCTTATACTAGAAAACCTCCCTATATCGCGTTTTATTCCAAAATCTGAAATACTTCTCAAGCAGTAAGGAAAAATATAAAATAAAATTATAACCTTGACACCCTGTAACTCGAAAACTATCAACTTTTGGACTGAAGTATGTTTAGGTCAATTCACATATTTTGGTCTGTAGTACCACCAGTTCCGAGATTTCCCAACCTTTCGCAGACACCCTTTATAAGCAATTAGCTAACTAGTGTTTTTTTTGTAGTAGTGTAGTAGAGTGAAATAGCTAGTTGTTAAAACGTTTAAAATAAAAAACGTATTGCTTAGTGAATCGGAAAATTTAAAAATTCGTTTATACAGTAAAAATATTTTACACTTATACTAAGTGACATACAGGGTGGCGCAGAGGAAACGCACGATTTTCACCTAAGCATAACATTTTTTATTTTCAAGATAACTTTGTTTCAGTTACAGCTAAATAAAGTAATGATAGTGCACTTTTAAACTAATGATGGTAAATAACGTCACTCAAGTGTCGCCCTGCTTCGCGCTCACACATCTCCAACCGCTCTTGAAAGTTGTGCATTACACGTAAAATCATTTCTTGTGGTATTCTTGCAATTTCTTGACGAATAGCAATTTTCAGTTCCTGTAACGTACGAGGCTTGTGAGGGTACACTTTATCCTTAAGGTAACCCCACAAAAAGAAGTCGCATGCGGACAAATCTGGGGAGCGTGGGGGCCAAGGGACATCGCCGAAACGGGAAATCACATGTTCAGGAAACATCTGTCGAATCCATTCCATTGATGCTCTCGCTGTGTGAGCTGTGGCACCGTCTTGTTGGAACCACAGCTCTCCCATGTTTACTTGTTGCCGTTGAAGTTCGGCTAACAGAAAATTTTGTAACATGTGAACATAACGTGCTGAAGTAACTGTTACTGCTCTTTCTTCCTCTTCAACAAAGTAAGGACCAACGATACCTAATTTACTGATTCCGCACCACACAGTTAATTTTTGACTATGCAAGGGTCGTTGGTGTAGCTCTCGTGGATTTTCGGCCGCCCAATACCTACAGTTCTGCTTGTTTACATATCCTGTTAAATGGAAGTGTGCTTCGTCACTCATCATTATGACGACGTCAGGATCGCCAGCAAAAATGGCCCGCATTCTCGCACAAAATTCTCTACGCTGTGCAAAATCGCTTTCCGTTAGCTCTTGCACGATCATTATATTGTACGGAGATTGTAAATCGTCATGCAGAATGCGTTGTAACGACCGACGGGACATACGCAGAGTTGGAGCTTGGCGCCTAGTGGACCGTTGGGGACTATCAAGGACCACTCTTCTCACTGTTTCGATATTGCCTGGAGTCCGCACGGTACGGGGAAGGCCAGGTGGCTTCCTCTTCATTACGGATCCAGTACTTCGAAATGCTTCAACCCACCGGAGTATTGTGTTTCGATCTGGAATTGGCCCGTGGCGTTCAACATTGAACTGTCGACGGAATAAACGTTGCACGATCACTACAGAATCATCGTTTCGAAAAAATTGCTCGACGGCAAACACACGATGCTCCGTCATCCACGGTGCCATGGCTGAAACTGCATCGCATGTGTTCTCTGCTGGCGGTGCGGCGAGGTCATATCCCTATTCTGTGCGAAATACCATTCGGTCAGAAAACATGCGTTTCCTCTGCGCCACCCTGTATAAATCCGAACACCCAGTTTAAATGGTTTTATTTTAATAAAAGTTGGTGAATGTATTTATCTTACTGTAAATAACAAGTGAAAAAATTTTCAGCCTTATCAGTTGGACATTCCGGTATTTATACTGCTTTTTTTTAATTCACTAACGCTCTAAAAATGAATATTTCAGCCGCAGTAAAGAATCAACGTTGGCGGATTTTGGTTCTTGACATCCTTTACGATCGGTTACGATGCATAGAGTACGGAGACCTGTACGATTTCGTCAACTTAGTGAGTTTGATAGGGGCCGTATAGTGGGACTTCGGGAAGCTGGACTTTCTTTTCGGGCAATTGCAGTTAGAGTGCAAAGAAGTGTAGACACTGTGGTTAGGTGTTGTCAGGCATGGCTTCGAGAAGGCCGTACGCAAAGAGCAAGGGGCACTGGACGCCGCCGTAGAACAACAGACCGTGAAGATCGCCGCCTAAGATTATTGGCCTTAAGGGACCGTTTCTCCACTACTAGGTCCATTGCAAATGAATGGTTTGCAGAACACGGAAGACCTACTGGCATGCGAAGTGTTTACCGACGAATGAGAAGTTTTGGCTTGTTTTCATACTGGCCACACTGGGTCCTCCCTTTAACTCAAGAACACCGACGTAATCGCCTTGAGTGGTGCAGACAACGGTCACCCTGGGATCAGGAATGGAACAGTATTGTCTTTAGTGACGAGTCTCGATTTTGTTTAGGCATGCACGATGGTCGTGCCAGGGTTAGATGGCGACGTGGTGAAAGGAGGAATCCACAGTTTTTTGTTGAAAGACATGTTCATCACACTGTTGGAGTTATGGTTTGGGGTGCTATAGCTTATGGTTCCAGGTCACCTTTAATCTTCATCAGAGGTAACATGAACGCGCAGCGTTATATCCACGAAGTTCTAGAACCCCATCTTTTACCCTATCTTGACACCCTGGCAGATCCAACTTTCCAACAAGATAATGCTCGACCGCATGTTGCAAGAGTCACAATAGACTTCTTTCAACATAATGATGTCACATTGTTACCATGGCCACCAAGATCTCCCGACTTATCCCCAATTGAGCACGTGTGGGATATGATGGGTAGGAGATTGCTCAATTTGCAACGTCCTCCTCAGACTCTAGAAGCACTTCGAGAGGAGTTGGTGGTTGCCTGGAATGAGATACCACAGGAGGACATTGACCACCTGATCAGAAGCATGCCTAGGCGCGTTGGAGAATGCGTAGGACATCAGGGTGCATCCACACATTATTAAAGGTCAAAGGGCTTTAAAGCAGTGCAATCATTTTGAAATTTTTATCATTTACTTATTATGCTTCACTAAGTACTTATACAAAATTTTATTAAAATAAAACCATTTAAACTGGGTGTTCGGATTTATATGTCACTTAGTATACATAAAAACCTTATTTATAAATTTGATGTAGCTCGCTATATCTCGCAGATCTCGAGGTGGAGTATTATACAATGATATTTAGTTGAATTGGGGTGACCTTGTATATGCCATAGTTTTAAAACGATTTGCTTTCAAAATGGAATTTTTGGTCATATACAAGGTGCGTCATCTATCACTTTTTTTTCTATTTGAAAAATCAACACGCTTTTTACGAGGTGAAATCGAATTTTTTTATTGATAAGTGAAGGTTGGCTTATGCCATTTATGTATGAAAAATAACATCAGTCATGTGACCACCGTGGCTTCGTTTACAGGCCAACATCCAAACATCAAAGTTTTCAATGACTTTTCCCAGAATAATCGGGTCTATGGCCGATCTTTGAGTCCGAATATAGCGCTTTAGGTCTTGAATTGTCCGGGGTCCATTCGCATACACTTTTCCTTTCAAAAATCCCCTAAGAAAATAGTCAAGAGGTGTTAAATCGCACGATCTCTGGTGCAAATGACATCTGAATTTCGTGAAATTGTGCGGTCTTCAAATTTCGTGTGCAAGAAGGCGATTGTTTGACCGTTGCTCCGTCTTGATGAAACTAAAGATCCAATTGTGGCCACAAAAAGACTGTTAACATGCCGCGATAACGTTCCCCGTTGACGGTAATGGCTTTTTCTTCGGCATCTTCAACGAAGAATGGTCCAACGAATTCCAGGCTCTGTAGGGCGTCCATGTGGGCCAAAACTAGTGCGAAGTTTCGACCGTTTTCGTAATAAGTTTGGATAACCAAAATGCGCTGTTGTGTTGTAAACGAATCCATGACTATAAATGGCATACCTTTGACAGTTCATTTATGCATACCACATGAATTTTGACTCACATGGTAACACATAAACTTATAGGTAAAAAAAAGTTATAGATGGCGCACCCAGTATCTTCATTTTGTAAGCAACAATATTTGATATTTCGCTTTACATAGTTAACACATTTGCATATATAAATATAAGTAACTATCAAGAGCTTGTTTTGGATAAATGTGTATTTGCAACTTTCGTCAAAACTAAGGTTGAACAACAATTTAATTATCCGTTTTTGTGATATAAAACTCTGTTGATGCTTGTAGCACTACCCAGGATGTTATCAGTACTTACTATTCATTTCTGGATTGTCATAAGATTCTCATATTTTCATTATTTTGAAAGTAGGGTTAATATCAATGATGGCCAAATTGATACAAATTACGCCATGCTTTCAAAAGTTGTGATTACCTTTGCTGGAAAGAGTTCGGAAACTAAGACCCCCGGGAGAATCATGAATCCCATCGTATTGCTGGCAACGTACACCAGAATGAGGAAGGCTGGGATATAGTCCAAGCCCAAGCAGCGATGAATAGTGCTGAAAAAATATTATTATCGATGATGGAACAATATTAACAACAATTTATGGTAAAGTAACCATATTCTTATACATGGTGTGTTCAAAGCTGAATCATTTATTTTAACAGCTTGTAGAACTCGTCAAAAGAAGTTGATATAAAAAATCACCTATACAAAAGTTGCATAATAAGAGGGTTAGGTTATATTATTATAAATTATTTAAAAAAATCATCATCAAGTTAAATGGATACCTTTTTTATAAAAACTGTTCAAAATTGTCCCCATTTGTTTGATTAACGCAAAATCTTGCTAGGCGAATCCACGACTCTTTACAAGCTTCGGAAATAAAATTCTGGTATCCACTAATTAAATCACAAGCATTTTCAGTGCGCTGTTGAAGTTCTTAGAGCGTATTTACTGCTCCATCATGATACACAAACTCTTTCAAATAGCACACCAGAAAAAAATCGCAAACCATACAATAACACAAGTTCGCCAAAATTAGATAAACGATAAAACTTGTGTAATAACATTCTTATTTTTTAAAATTTCTAATCTTTTACTATACAGTGTTTCAGTTTATTGTTGCATAACTTTAAGATTCGATAGAACTTTTAAAATTAATGCATAAAGTCTATATAAACATGGGTCGAAAAATGCGTGGCTTCCGAAATACAGGGTGTTCAAATTTACTTTATAAAATAGTTTTTTTTCAAATATTTCGAACAATATTTGATGTATAACAGTGAAAATTGGTATACAAGGGTTTTTTGGTACGACAAAACGAACCATTTTTTACTGTAGCCGCTAGAGGGCGCTCTCTACTGTACCTGTAGTGTATTGAAATGACCGAAATTTTTTTCTTAGTGCAATTTTTTGCTTTTTGAATAAAAATACTGATTCTTCGCACTTTTCAACATAAAAAAGCTCTCCTGTGAGTTTTCGTTATAGTTAGCCGTTTTTGAGATATTTCGATTTTTAAGGTTCGATGCATTTTTAATTATTTATGGGAAAATAATATTTTTTTACATTTTCGATTTGGGCATTACAAGTAATTAAGATGATCGTTTAGATTGTGTTTTTAAACAAAGCAATAATTCCTAACTCCAAATAAACACAAAAAAACAGAATATTAATTTGTTTAATTTACCAATATTATTTTTAACAACTTAAATTAATTATTTACAACTAAAATGCTATTGGATAGTTAGGACAAACATACAGAATCTAAAGTAGTTGCTCGAAATGTAAACCCAATTGTTCAATACACAATTCACATCTACGAATGATCGAACGTGGTATAGCATTATTCAAATAAGGCCTTATTTCATCACATGCATTCCTAATTATGTCTATTAGCATATCTCTTGTGGTTACGAGAGTCTGCTACACTTTTTCTTTTAGAAATCCCCACACAAAGAAATCTAATGGGGGATCGTGGAGGCCAGGCGACTGGTCCTCCACGGCCGATCCATCTTTCTGGATAATTTTCGTCCAGCCAGTTTCTAACTATTCTCGAATGATGAGCTGGACAACCATCAAGCTGGAGCCATGCCAATCTTCTTAAATCTAACATAACATCATCCCACATATTTGCATGTTCAGCCTTTGAAAATTCCAAGAAGGTCGCAGCATTTAACCTTGCAGGCAAAAGGTAGGGTCCAGATAGTCGATTTAAACTGGGTGTTCGGATTTATACGTCACTTAGTATATTTGCAGGCACAGCCTACTTCTAAAAATTATCGAGATACTGACTTTTTAGCGTTATTTTATAATAAATAATTAAAAATGCATCGAACCTTAAAAATCGTAATATCTCAAAAACGGCTAACTAAAACGAAAATTCACAAGAGAGCTTTTTTATGTTGAAAAGTGCGAAAAATCAGTTTTTTTATTCAAAAAGCAAAAAATTGCACTAAGAAAATTTTTTCGGTAATTTTAATACACTACAGGTACAGTAGAGAACGGCCCTCTAGCGGCTACAGTAAAACTATGCCCATGGTTCATTTTGTCGAACCAAAAAACCCTTGTATACCAATTTTCACTGTTATACATCAAATATTGTTCGAAATATTTAAAAAAAACTATTTTAAAAAGTAAATTTAAACACCCTGTATTTCGGAAGATACGCATTTCTCGACCCATGTTTATACAGACTTTATGCACTAATTTTAAAAGTTCTATCGAATCTTAAAGTTATGCAACAATAAACTGAAACGCCCTGTATATTTTATTAAGCAACTGTTATTTAGACGATTTTTGAAGAATCAACTGCTTTTGACGACTCCTACTTGCAATTAAAAAGCTTGTCTCTGAACTTTTCGCTGCACATTCACCATTTTTTACAAACGTTTATCAAAGAGCAGTTGATAGTTATATCAAGAGCAGACAATCGAGAAAAATAAATTAGAGAGAAATAAAAGATATAACCAAAAAGATCCATAAAATAGCTGTTGGCGTGTAAACACGTAATCGGAGATACATGAGAATGATGTCAGATAGATAATTTTTCTTGGTTGAATTCATTGATCATCACTTGTGGTGAAAGCATCTTTTTTTCAATTTACCTTTGTTTGGTTATTTATTTATTCTGGGAATATCTATCAGCCGTTTGCAGCTTTTGAAATATTTCAATAAAGTTATACAGGGTGTCCCAGAAGTCGACGTCAAGCCGAAACCCGGTGATAGGCAAAGTCATAACAGCTATCAGAAAAATATTTAAAAAAATTTTATGTATGTGTTCTGAAAATTATAGGTCTTTGAAAAAAATATAGAAATATCACACCCTACGGCAGTCTGTCAACTTACAATGTAATGATGAATAATGCATCTTCAAACTGGTGTCTCAAACTTACTGCCAACTTTTCTCGTTCAGGAAAAATTGCCACTTATTTCCCAACCAAGTATTCCAAAGTAAAACTTTGCCCAACTTTAACTGGCTGTAGGTACTGGAAAAAAATGTACTACGAGAGTTTGGCAAGTAACCTTAAAAGTTGGCGCATTTAATAAGGATTCCAAAATGGTATAACACTTAGAAGATTACTCATTAACTTATGCACAATTTTTATTTGAAGAAAAACTGATGAACATTTTTCAAAATTTCCTAATTAAACAGCGATTATGAAAATGCACAAGGACCCTTAAGGATAACTGTTTGCACAACAGTGAGCGTCAAAATGCTGCTGATGATGATTTACCTTTACAGCAAATGCTCAAACTGCTTTCCTTCAGTCGCAATACACGCTCGACATCTTCTTAAAAAAGATCGGGTTATTAAACGAGCGAATCCACGGTTATTAACAAACTCAGCTGCTTCCAATAGTCTTTGCCGTAGCTCAGCTACATTTTGAATGAGCTTGAAATACACTTTTTCTTTTACAGTTCCCAACTAAAGAAAATCTAACGGATTCAAATCTGGTGACCGGGCTGGCCACGGTATTTTATCAGACCACCCTATCCATCTGCCTGGAAAGTTCGAGATACTCTCTCACTGAGAGTGCATAGTGCGCTGGGCAGCCATCATGCTGAAACCACATATCCCTGTAAATACTCACTGGCACGTCCTCCAATAAATTTTCTAAATGATTTTGCAAACAACCTAAATAAAATTCAGCAGTCAAAGTCTCTGGGAACTCAAACGGACCGATTATTTTACCATTTAAAATTCCTGTCCAATGGTTTATCTTGAAGCGATATTGAGATTTATCTTCTCTCATCAAACGTGGGTTTGCTACGTGCCACTCGTGTAAGTTATGCAGGTTCATGTACCCATCTTTCTTAAATGTGGTCTCATCTGACCATAACATTTTTTCAAAGAACCGTGGATCTTCCCTGTGTCTTTCTAACATTGTGCGACAAAAAGCATATGGGGCTCATAATCCCGGGGCAGAAGAGCTTGAACACGCTGTACGTGGTATGGATGGAGCACTTTTTTTGCAAGATTCTATGGGCTGTACCTTTGGGCACACCTGTTTTTAGTTCTATTGCACGCACTGAAGTACTCGGGTCTTCTTCGACAGCTCCTAGCACCACGTCTTCGTAAGGAAGGAAAGATCTTCCCTCACCGTGTGATTGGTTTGGTAGTTGGCCCTCTGAGAACAGTAAGCGGTGCACATTTGTGAACACTCGATGAACTGGATGACGAGCTGCATTCGGGTACCTCTCACAGTAAAGTCTCGCTGCAGCACTAGCGTTGCATCTGCATTCCCCATAAATAGCATATTCTTGTACGGTGTACACGGACATAGCGGCACTGCACAATCACACTATCAAAGATAGTCTAAGGAAAGCAAATGTTGTTTTGAAGAGCAATTAAACAGTCCAAATCCAAATCACAAGCGATCAACACTCCAGTTCACGAATCCAAAATTAGTAACAGTACGAAATCAACAAGCACGAACATGTAAAGATGCGCAGTAAACGAAGGAGTACTGATCGGTATCAAAGTGTGCAATAGCAAGTAAGTGATATGCTTCATCCATACCACATACAGCGTGTTCAACCTCTCCTGCCCCGGGATTATGAGCCCCGAGTTGCTTCTTGTTGAAAAGATAAATCTCAATATCGCCTCAAGATAAACCATTGGACAGGAATTTTAAATGGTAAAATAATCGGTCCGTTTGAGTTCCCAGAGACTTTGACTGCTGAGGTTTATTTGGATTTTTTGAAAAATCATGTACAAAATTTATTGGTGGACGTGCCACTGAGTATTTACAGGGACATGTGGTTTCAGCATGATGGCTGCCCAGCGCACTATGCACTCTCAGTGAGAGAGTATCTCGATCAAAACTTTCCAGGCAGGATGGATGGATGGATAAGGCGGTCTGGTACAACACCGTGGCCAGCCCGATCACCTGATTTGAATCCTTTAAATTTTTTTACTGGGGAACTGTAAAAGAAAAAGTGTATTTCAGGCCGATTCAAAATGTAGCTGAGCTACGGCAAAGACTATTGGAAGCAGCTGAGTTTGTTAATAACCGTGGATTCACTCGTTTAATAACCCGATCTTTTTTAAGAAGATGTCGAGCGTGTATTGCGGCTGAAGGAAAACAGTTTGAGCATTTGCTGTAAAGGTAAATCATCATCAGCAGCATTTTGACGCCCACTGTTGTGCAAACAGTTATCCTTAAGGGTCCTTGTGCGTTTTCATAATCGCTATTTAATTAGGAAATTTTGAAAAATTTTCATCAGTTTTTCTTCAAATAAAAATTGTGCATAAGTTAACGAGTAATCTTCTAAGTGTTATACCATTTTGGAATCCTTATTAAATGCGCCAACTTTTAAGGTTACTTGCCAAACTCTCGTAGTACATTTTTTTCCAGTACAGCCAGTTAAAGTTGAGCAAAGTTTTACTTTGGAATACTTGGTTGGGAAATAAGTGTCAATTTTTCCTGAATGAGAAAAGTTGGCAGTAAGGTTGAGACACCAGTTTGAAGATGCATTATTCATCATTACATTGTAAAAATAAAATCCAAAAAAAGTTAATATTTGTAGTAACAGGAGTTGACAGACTGCCGTAGGGTGTGAAATTTCTATATCTTTTTCAAAGACCTATAATTTTCAAAACACATACATAAATTTTTTTAAAATTTTTCTGATAGCTGTTATGACGTTATCATATAGATGCTTAACTTTTTAGGGCTATGTGCAGAATATTGCACGATTTAGTTTAGCAACAAAAGAGAAACGTCAACTTCAAATTCAAATGTTTTCTAAGATCAAACTGCTTATTTGACCAATACTTGATCTATATGACGTGTTTTCCAGTCATCTAGACATCTTGTTTAAGACGATATGTTTACTTATTTCGTATGACTTTTTGGTGTAACCCAAAAACCGCGGAAAGAACTGATCTCCACAAATGTAGCGTTTTCTAAACATTTTATAGTAGTTCGGCAACACCGCCTCGTTACATACAGAGCCATCTACGAGCAGGACGATCCGATCATAGATCGCTGTTCTTATTTGTTCAACTATATTGTTCACTGCCAATGAAGCTGTATTCTCAAAATTACAAGTCTTGGAAAATAAAGCTATGAGAATAATATTGAATAAAAATAAATACACCAAAATAAAATCTATGTTACAAGAATTGCAGTGGTTGAATATAAAAAATTTCATATCATATGTGGTTCATATTTTTATATTTAAATAAAAAAATCATCTTTTGCCAGAACATTTAGAACCCTACATCGAATTGAATAATCATTACCACAATTATTATACAAGAGGAAATATAGATTTTCATTTACAAAATTGTAATAGTAATTAATATAACTATCAAATCAATATTTCGGAAAGGATTATTTGAATTCAATAAACTAAATAATGATATAAAGTCTACTTGTAATTTAAAGATATTTAAAAGAAAATTAAAGGAATATTTCATGGACAATGAAAATTCTTAGAAATGCAAATTTTCTTTGTTTTCTGAATGACTGTATGTTATGTAATTGTTTAGTTATTTAGAAGAATGTAATTGTAGCAATCATGCTAAATAAATCTTAAACAAACAAACAAACAAAGTCCAAGGGCTCTCCGCAGAGTTTCGCATGTTAATATGTTGAATACTACTCAAATAACACATATTTTTATGATAAGCATCAAAATACGTAAGCTGTGACTAGTTTTTATGGAATCGTATTATAACATGATGATGTAACCGAAAATCTGCGATCGGCTTCCCTACTATAATGCAGAAGAATCTCAAGGTCAATGGGGCCGATCATCAGATTATAAAGACATTGCAGATATAACTACTCTTTTGTCTTACCTCGGCAAAATATTGCAAAATATTTCTGAACTGTAGTATCTTATGGGTCAGGAGGTAGTATCAAAAACGTACTTTGATAAAAAATGTATTGGTGTAATCCTGTTTTGCTTAGTTATTTTATAGAAATCATTAATGAAAAAAATAGAAGGGATCATGCGGAGAAAGGTATGCAAGAAATAGAAAAAAATAGTGAGCAATCCAACTCAATTCATTTCGGGCCTGATGTATCCAACAAGCAGAAATACATGCTGCTCGGGTTACCAATCCTTTTTTTCTGCTCGAGCCTTCTTTCCTTCTTTTTACGGAAGGCATTAATGTTACAAGACGGATAAGATAGATTAATAAAAGTGGACAGCTTACCTGCCAGTTGTTGTGGCTAGAAGGAAAACGGCCAAAAGTGTTGCTGAGACTCCTGTTCCGAACGCCGAAGTGATGGCCAAACTCCTGCGACCAATTAGAGTCAATAGCACACCCGCCATAATTGAGAAAATGAATCGTACACACGCTGTTATTACTGCTGCTAGAAAATGGTCCACGCGTTCACCTCCTAGAACATTAGAAAACTAGGTATCACTGAAATTGCTATTCCAATAGAGATCATAAGCTCAAAACACATATTGTCAAGTACGAGATCTGTAAATTAAGTATTGAGACCGGCAACGTAGCGTTCGATCTGGCAACACTGGAGTTGTCAGGCTTTGAAGGGAGTATGTTGTCAACCTTCAGTACAAGCTTGAACCCGCTTGACTCATCTGGTTGTCCATAGCGTTTTTTTCTGTGAAACGACAATGCTTCTTGTCACTCACCAATAAACGAGTTTTTGGCCAGTAAAAACATCCATGTGGCGCCTGTGACTTTTTTCTCTTGGGACAGTATGGAGGTTCCAGAACTGCTTTGATGAGTGAAAGAACCGTCTTGAGCTTTCTGTGGCTTCAGAAGGGACTATATAAAATTGTAATTATATTTGAAAAAAAATAAAAAAATAACTTAATTCACAGATCTCGTATACCCTTTTCTGGCTAGATTCGCTTTTCTGTTATAACAGTGGATATTTACTTTGAATAATTTTTTGATTTCATGTTTGTAAGAAATAACTCGGCAGTATTTATTGAATGTTGAAGTTACCTTGGACGTGTTGGAGAATATCCACAGCGTAAAATACGATCAAATAGGTGCCAGATAGAATCTGAGCCGCATTGAACAAATTAACGATCAACAGCGGCTTCAACACTTCAGGCTGCAGTAGAAGTGTCAACGTGGTTCTTTCTTCTTGCGAATCTGCCTTACATCGATGGATCAGCTGATCTGTTTCTTCTTTTGCCTAATGTACCACAAATATTTTCAATGAAATCCAGTATTTTGTATAAAACATGATTACGAATGTTTACTACGATTGCCCTCTCTTCTGTAACTATACTAAGTGACATATAAATCCGAACACCCAGTTTAAATGGTTTTATTTTAATAAAAGTTGGTGAATGTATTTATCTTACTGCAAAATAACAAGTGAAAAAATTTTCAGCCTTATCAGTTGGACATTCCGGTTTTTATACTGTTTTTTTTTTTAAATCACTAACGCTCTAAAAATGAATATTTCAGCCGCAGTAAAGAATCAACGTTGGCGGATTTTGGTTCTTGACATTCTTTACGATCGGTTACGATGCCTAGAGCACGGAGACCTGTACGATTTCGTCAACTTAGTGAGTTTGATAGGGGCCGTATAGTGGGACTTCGGGAAGCTGGACTTTCTTTTCGGGCAATTGCAGTTAGAGTGCAAAGAAGTGTAGACACTGTGGTTAGGTGTTGTCAGGCATTGTATTGTATTGTATTGTCTTTAGTGACGAGTCTCGATTTTGTTTAGGCATGCACGATGGTCGTGCCAGGGTTAGAAGGCGACGTGGTGAAAGGAGGAATCCACAGTTTTTTGTTGAAAGACATGTTCATCACACTGTTGGAGTTATGGTTTGGGGTGCTATAGCTTATGGTTCCAGGTCACCTTTAATCTTCATCAGAGGTAACATGAACGCGCAGCGTTATATCCACGAAGTTCTAGAACCCCATCTTTTACCCTATCTTGACACCCTAGCAGATCCAACTTTCCAACAAGATAATGCCCGACCACAATAGACTTCTTTCAACATAATGATGTCACATTGTTACCATGGCCACCAAGATCTCCCGACTTATCCCCAATTGAGCACGTGTGGGATATGATAGGTAGGAGATTGCTCAATTTGCAACGTCATCCTCAGACTCTAGAAGCACTTCGAGAGGAGTTGGTGGTTGCCTGGAATGAGATACCACAGGAGGACATTGACCACCTGATCAGAAGCATGCCTAGGTGCGTTGGAGAATGCGCAGCACATCAGGGTGCATCCACACATTATTAAAGGTCAAAGGGCTTTAAAGCAGTGCCATTATTTTGAAATTTTTATCATTTACTTATTATGCTTCATTAGGTACTTTTTGTTTATTAAAATAAAACCATTTAAACTGGGTGTTCGTATTTATATGTCACTTAGTATATTCCTTTCTTACACTTCTTTACACCAGTTGGCGAGGAAGTATCATAAGTCAGAAACATTTAAAAATCGAGATATATGAGTTCCTTGGAAACACTGGATCTCTCAGTGGAAACAGGGAAACAATGTTTAAGGGATGATTCAAATTTTCATTTCACAGTAGGCTGTGGCAATTGCCATCACAAGCTTTCGTCGATATCATCAAGATTTTTTTTGCTGGCCGCTGGGTGCGCCATCTATTACTTTTTTTACCTATAAGTTTATGTGTTACCATGTGAGTCAAAAGTCATGTGGTATATGCATAGATGAACTGTCAAAGGTATGCCATTTATAGTCATGGACGCCCTACAGAGCCTGGAATTCGTTGGATTGTTAGTCGTTTTGAGGGAACTGGTTCAGCTGAAGGTTGTAGACCATACCAACATGCTCTTCCAGCTCGTACTCGTGAAGACATAGCCGCAGTCAGTGAAAGTGTGCGAGACGATCCAACCACCTCGACGAGGCACCGTTCGCAACAATTGGGAATTAGTGAGACCACTTTACGGCGGATTTTACACATTGATTTACACCTCCATCCATACAAAATCCAACTAACACAAGAATTGAAGCCGGCAGACCATCAATAGCGGCGTGTTTTTGTTCATTGTATGCTGGAAACAGAAGACGGATTTTCGGCCAAAGTGCTCTTTTCTGATGAGGCTCATTTTCACCTCAATGGGTACGTAAATAAGCAAAACTGCAGATTCTGGGTTGCTGAAAATCCACACCAATATCATGAATAATCTCTCCAACCTGAAAAGGTGACTGTTTGGTGCGGATTATGGGATGGTGGCATCGTTGGAGCATTCTTCTTTGAAGATGCCGAAGAAAAGGCCATTACCGTCAATGGGAAACGTTATCGCGGCATTTTAACAGACTTTTTATGGCCACAATTGGATCGTATCGGTGCCGACGATCTTTGGTTTCATCAAGACGGAGCAACGGCTCACATATCTCGCCAAACAATCGCCTTATTGCATACGAAAGTTCAAGGCCGCATAATTTCCCGAAATTCAGATGTCAGTTGGCCGCCGAGATCGTGCGATTTAACACCTCTTGACTATTTTCTTTTGGGGATTTTTGAAAGGAAAAGTGTATGCGAATAGTCCCCGGACAATTTAAGGCCTAAAGCGCAATATTCGGACTGAAATTGCCGCCATAGACCCGATTATTCTGGGAAAGGTCATTGAAAATTTTGATGTTCGGATGTTGGCCAGTAAACGAAGTCGCGGTGGTCACATGACTGATGTTATATTTCATACATAAATGGCATAAACCAACCTTCATTTATCAATAAAAAAATTCGATTTCAGCTCGTAAAAAGCGTGTTGATTTTTCAAATAGAAAAAAAGTAATAGATGACGCACCCTGTTTATTTGTGCTAAATATCAATAAACAATGTACTTCCTCGAATTACAGCGCAATCACAGAGAAGTAAAAAACTGAATATAGGCAACCAGTTGCGTTGTACTGTTCTGCTGTTGCTATCTGTTTTTATTTTCAATGATCCGTTTACATTTGTCTAGTATCTCGGTTAATTGCATCATCGCCAAATTTCTTTTTATTCTAATTTATCATAATATAATATTTTAGTATAAAATATGTTTTTTTCGTGAAATATTGCACTAGTTAAATCCAGCAAATGTAATCTACAATCTGCAACCAGCAAAGCAGTTCGGTGCAAATTGGTTGCCTATATTCAGTTTGTTACTTCTCTGTGATTGAGCTGTAATTCTAAGAAGTGTAAACATTATTATTTTGCATTGTTTATTTGTACAAATGAAGCAAATTCTCCCGATTTTACCATCAAAATGCTAAATACACTAAGTGACATATAAATCCGAACACCCAGTTTAAATGGTTTTATTTTGTATAAGTACTTAGTGAAGCATAATAAGTAAATGATAAAAATTTCAAAATGATTGCACTGCTTTAAAGCCCTTTGACCTTTAATAATGTGTGGATGCACCCTGATGTGCTACGCATTCTCCAACGCGCCTAGGCATGCTTCTGATCAGGTGGTCAATGTCCTCCTGTGGTATCTCATTCCAGGCAACCACCAACTCCTCTCGAAGTGCTTCTAGAGTCTGAGGAGGACGTTGCAAACTGAGCAATCTCCTACCCATCATATCCCACACGTGCTCAATTTAGGAGAAGTCGGGAGATCTTGGTGGCCATGGTAACAATGTGACATCATTATGTTGAAAGAAGTCTATTGTGACTCTTGCAACATGTGGTCGGGCATTATCTTGTTGGAAAGTTGGATCTGCCAGGGTGTCAAGATAGGGTAAAAGATGGGGTTCTAGAACTTCGTGGATATAACGCTGCGCGTTCATGTTACCTCTGATGAAGATTAAAGGTGACCTGGAACCATAAGCTATAGTACCCCAAACCATAACTCCAACAGTGTGATGAACATGTCTTTCAACAAAAAACTGTCGATTCCTCCTTTCACCACGTCGCCTTCTAACCCTGACACGACCATCGTGCATGCCTAAACAAAATCGAGACTCGTCACTAAAGACAATACTGTTTCATTCCTGATCCCAGAGTCTGCACCACTCAAGTCGATTACGTCGGTGTTCTCGAGTTAAAGGGAGGACCCAGTGTGGCTGGTATGAAAACAAGCCAAATCTTCTCATTCGTCGGTAAACACTTCGCATGCCAATAGGTCTTCCGTGTTCTGCAAATCATTCATTTGCAATTGACCTGGTAGTGGCGAAACGGTCCCTTAAGGCCAATAATCTTAGGCGGCGATCTTCACGGTCTGTTGTTCTACGGCGGCGCCCAGTGCCCCTTGCTCTTTGCGTACGGCCTTCTCGAAGCCATGCCTGACAACACCTAACCACAGTGTCTACACTTCTTTGCACTCTAACTGCAATTGCCCGAAAAGAAGGTCCAGCTTCCCGAAGTTCCACTATACGGCCCCTATCAAACTCACTAAGTTGACGAAATCGTACAGGTCTCCGTACTCTAGGCATCGTAACCGATCGTAAAGGATGTCAAGAACCAAAATCTGCCAACGTTGATTCTTTACTACGGCTGAAATATTCATTTTTAGAGCGTTAGTGAATTAAAAAAAAGCAGTATAAAAACCGGAATGTCCAACTGATAAGGCTGAAAATTTTTTCACTTGTTACTTACAGTAAGATAAATACATTCACCAACTTTTATTAAAATAAAACCATTTAAACTGGGTGTTCGGATTTATATGTCACTTAGTATAAATACGGCCAGCAACGAAAAATCTTTCTGACATCGATGACAGCTTGTGATGGCAACTATTACAGCCTACTCTGAAATGAAAAAGTTTAAATCCTTCCTTGAACGCTCCTCAAGGAGGCGTCGTTGTTTCACTGTTTCCGAGAGTCCATCCAGGAAGCCTCAAGAAAGGTTTATAAGTCTGATTCCTCTTTTGGATATGGTATGTACATTACGAGAAACCATCATTCATTGGCCCTTCTGTACCTTCTTTTGTTCGTCGTATCACATACAGCAAACCATGGCCAGCTGTATCGTGCTACTCATCAGCATGGTCTAGGATTGGTCCCTGGGACAACAGACGAAAGCATAGCAACTACCCTCTATCTATCTATCTATTACCGGAATCGCATGCTTCGAGAGCGCAAAGCATCAGAGGGGCAATAGAAAATATTTTCATGGAGGGGAGTCCCTACGAAAAAAGTACTGGAGGAGGTGCTCAGGATTGATGTTAAGAATAAAATTATTGAACAGTGGGGTTGGGTCGTCGTAAATTGAAAAATGTGCAATTTTTTTAAACTTTGATATTCCGGTGGGTGTCTGGACCCCTTGGACACGACTCCTGGATCCGACACTATACAGGGTGTTCCTTAATGGTAAGCGAATATTTAAGTTGCTGCTTAATGATGTTCCGTTAGTAATAAGAAGCAATATGTAGTATGCATGATGGTGCACCACCGCTTTTCAGTGTAGCGGGTCGTAGTTATTTACAAACTGTTTATCCAAATCGTTGGACTGGCCGCGGTGGGCCCCATGAATGGCCACCAGGGTCCCCAGACCTCAACAGTTTACATTTCTTTTTATGGGGCTATCTTAAGACATTAGTGCACACAAGACCCATTAACACTGTAGAGGAATTAAGAGAAAGAATAGTTGCAGCTTGTGATAGAATAAAAAACGCTCCAGGGATATTTCAACGAGTGCGCAAGTCCACGAGAAGGAGGGCGGAAGCATGCATACTAAGTGAAGGGGGCCATTTTCAACAATTTTTGTAATCATTTGGTTGGTTTTAATCTTGTGTTTATGTTGTCAGTTGTTGTTGTTCATTACTCCTAATGTGTTTAATTTTTCCAATCAAATTAATAATAATTTTGCAAGTTAGACAATAGAATGGTTTTTATTTTTTCACTCAAAAATGGCGTATCGAAGAAAAACAATTCAAGAGGGGTCATTTGTTTTAAATTGAACGGAAAACTCAAAAATAATTTTTTTTTTGGCAAAATACCATTGGGTACCATTTTTTTTCTTAAAAAATATCGAAGTCAATACCCGTACGCACGCAACTGTTGAAGCTAAAAATTATTTTTGCAATGAAAAATATGCAACTTTATTAACTTTCACTACGTACTAAATATCAGTGAAATATCTGAAGCGGTTCTGAAAATATTAATTAATTTTCATTTTTTTCCTAACACTTCAACACCCCGAGTTTTTGTTAGGAAACATTTTTGGACCATAGTTTATAAAGAAAACTAACATTAATTTTTTGTGTAGATTCACACCCTTAAATATTCGCATATCATTAAGGAACACCCTGTATAGCAGGCATCGCTGGGAGCTGTAAATATCTCAGTTCGCGTTGTATAGCCAATTACCACTGCGACCGCTAGAGGCTGACGATCATGTTGCTTTCGTTCGTCCAATTACAGATAGCCAACCATGAATAGCTGTTTCGTCCTTTTTGGCAAGTCATCAGTATGGTCTAATCTTTATCTTTAGACCAACAGACGAAGTATAGCAACAATCTTCTAGGAATGAGATCTATCAAAATAAGACAAATCTATCTATTACCAGAATCCACCACTGCGAAAGTGTATAGCCGTTATCTGTTGGAACTGGTGATTTGTAGGGTTATCAAACACGAACCGGAAATCTTGCAAACCAATAATAAAAAATCGCTCAAACTTGTTCTTTTTTGACATATTAGTTTTGCATCTTTTCTGAGCGGTAAAAACTATCGAGGGTAGGGGGTTGCATGCAGTGGAAGAGTATATTTCTTGCGTTAGGATGTTTTTTATGCTTAAATTTTAAAATGATATCAATATTTTCACTACTCGCTTGGAGTGATAAGAGCTACATCGCTGGGGCAATATCACAAAAGTCTTTGATGAAACGTTAGGGCAGCGATCCAAGGGAAGTGCAAAGTCAAACTACTCGACGCCAATTTTTTATCATGTTATTTTTAGTGCGAATTCTTAATATCTAATCGAACCATTCGTACTACAGCCATAAATAATTTTTATAAAGGATTTACTACATAATGCAACATCTAAAGAAATTACTGCATGAGTTCACTCATTAACAACGTGAAGAAGGACATGGCATTGACCATAGATTAAGCATTTTTATCAATAAACTTCACGGAATTCACGTTTGAAAAACATCTGGAAAACAATAATAATATACTAAGTGACATATAAATCCGAACACCCAGTTTAAATGGTTTTATTTTAATAAAATTTTGTATAAGTACTTAATGAAGCATAATAAGTAAATGATAAAAATTTTAAAATGATTGCACTGCTTTAAAGCCCTTTGACCTTTAATAATGTGTGGATGCACCGTGATGTGCTACGCATTCTCCAACGCGCCTAGGCATGCTTCTGATCAGGTGGTCAATGTCCTCCTGTGGTATCTCATTCCAGGCAACCACCAACTCCTCTCGAACTGCTTCTAGAGTCTGAGGAGGACGTTGCAAATTGAGCAATCTCCTACCCATCATATCCCACACGTGCTCAATTGGGGATAAGTCGGGAGATCTTGGTGGCCATGGTAACAATGTGACATCATTATGTTGAAAGAAATCTATTGTGACTCTTGCAACATGTAGTTGGGCATTATCTTGTTGGAAAGTTGGATCTGCCAGGGTGTCAAGATAGGGTAAAAGATGGTGTTCTAGAACTTCGTGGATATAACGCTGCGCGTTCATGTTACCTCTGATGAAGATTAAAGGTGACCTGGAACCATAAGCTATAGCACCCCAAACCATAACTCCAACAGTGTGATGAACATGTATTTCAACAAAAAACTGTGGATTCCTCCTTTCACCACGTCGCCTTCTAACCTTGGCACGACCATCGTGCATGCCTAAACAAAATCGAGACTCGTCACTAAAGACAATACTGTTCCATTCCTGATCCCAGAGTGACCGTTGTCTGCACCACTCAAGGCGATTACGTCGGTGTTCTCGAGTTAAAGGGAGGACCCAGTGTGGCCGGTATGAAAACAAGCCAAAACTTCTCATTCGTCGGTAAACACTTCGCATGCCAATAGGTCTTCCGTGTTCTGCAAACCATTCATTTGCAATGGACCTGGTAGTGGAGAAACGGTCCCTTAAGGCCAATAATCTTAGGCGGCGATCTTCACGATCTGTTGTTCCACGGCGGCGTCCAGTGCACCTTGCTCTTTGCGTACGGCCTTCTCGAAGCCATGCCTAACAACACCTAACCACAGTGTCTACACTTCTTTGCACTCTAACTGCAATTGCCCGAAAAGAAAGTCCAGCTTCCCGAAGTCCCACTATACGGCCCCTATCAAACTCACTAAGTTGACGAAATCGTACAGGTCTCCGTACTCTAGGCATCGTAACCGATCGTAAAGAATGTCAAGAACCAAAATCCGGTAACGTTGATTCTTTACTGCGGCTAAAATATTCATTTTTAGAGCGTTAGTGGATTAAAAAAACCGGAATGTCCAACTGATAAGGCTGAAAATTTTTTCACTTGTTATTTACAGTAAGATAAATACATTCACCAACTTTTATTAAAATAAGACCATTTAAACTGGGTGTCGGATTTATATGTCACTTAGTATATTAAAGTAAGAACGCGATGCTTATATCCTATACTCTTTTTGGTGAAGTAGCTTTGTGTTCAGCGGATTTACTGTTGGTTTGTGTTAGTGAAACTGAGTAGTCGAACTTACTCGACCAATCTGTAGTAACTCGAAAGGTAAGTACTAAAATACAAAGGTAGACGTCTCAAGATTATTGTGGTACCCGTTTTGGAAACGATGTCCTTACCTTGTTTATGTTGCCTCCTCTGAGCCATAGCATTGATGCTCTTGCTTCTTCTATTCTGCCTCTTCGTACAAGCCATACCGGACTTTCTGGTAGGAAGAAATATATTGCGAGTGCCGTAATCGGTGGAATCGCACTCAAACCTGAGAAAACGAAAATCATGATCACATTTGAATCGCGAAATTTTAAAATTTCAGGAGACAACAAAGACTGTTACTGATAAATAAGCTAGTTTTAAAGTGCTTTTGGACATAATGGAGGAAGAAGGAAGGTGAATTCGAGCAGAAAGTAGGATAGGTAACCCGAGCGATACGTATTTCTGCTGGTTGGCTTCATCAGGCCCGAAATTAATGCACAAAAGTAGACGCTCAAATCCATTTTCCTCCTTTTTGCGGATTTTACCAATTATTTTTTCTTTTCGTTGTATTCCTTGCTCCGCATGATACGTTCCCATCTATATATAAAAATATATGAAAAGTACATAAAATATTAATCATATTTTTTTTTTGATTATTTTGAAAAAACACTTTAAATATTGGCATGATGATAAAATCTAAAACAAGTTGCTCGACAATGTTAAGCAAATTCAGTCTACGACAAGAAGTGTTAATTGATTCCCCATTTCATTCTGTAGATTGTAGATAAATATCTACCCCTGGAATTCTTATTTAAACTTTTTTGGCCTCTATCGTAAAAGAAAAGACTCAAGTGACTTTTGCACTGACAAATTCATTTACTGCTATCTGAGTTTGTTTCTTATGCGGGATATCATTTCTTGCATGTGCGAAATCTTGAGTATACGTCCTCATATCATACGTTCTCATATTTATAATACAGGGTGTCCGCAAAGTTGGGGTTTTCCTTTACACGACGTGTAGATCTTGAAAACATAAGCAATTTTTCTTAGTACCATATATACTAATGTCTTAAGGGAACCGAGATAAAGGGCTCTGCAACATCAAAAATATCTGAATACCGTCCTGTAGCCGCGCCTCGCGACATCCCCGAGTGGTACTAGGACACTAGCTCAACCCGACGCCAGAACTGGGTCGGGGTCAGTGTGTCAGGTCAGTATGCAACCTTGAACCGACGGTTACGGTCACGCGTGTAGAGGTAATCGCGTAGACGAGAATCCCTCAACAAGCACTAGAGACGTGGCTAGAGAAGTGCAAGTATCAAAAACTAAAGTGTGGCAAACGCTGCGTGAAGAGGGGCTGTATCCGTTTCACGTCCAACGTGTACAAGCCCTTCATACTGACGATTTTCCAGCAAGAGTGCGGTTTTGTGAGCGGTTGTTGCATCAACATGACAATAATCCGGACTTTTTGAAGTGCATATTGGTGACAGACGAATCTACGTTCACGCGTAATGGGGTGAATAACTTTCGCAACACTCATGTTTGGTCAGTAGAAAATCCGCACGCTGTCCGTTGGGCACATTTTCAAAAAACATTTTCGGTAAATGTTTGGGCTGGCATGGTGAACGGTATGCTCATTGGACCATTTATTCTCCCAAATCGATTGGACGGGATGCAATACCTAGACTTTTTACGCAACATTTTGCCTTCCTTGTTTGCCTGCGTCTGCTCGGTAGCGCAACAGCTGATTTCATTTTCTGTTGGAGCGGTATGATTTCGGGCAGAGACGTATTGAGCCCTTCTCGTCAACTGGAGAGTGAGTACTTTTTCCTTTATTTTTTTTACTTGGTCGCCCTCGTTTCACTACACATTACCTTTGTTATTTCAAGGGTAGTTGTTTCTGAAAAGGAAAACCCCAACTTTGCGGACACCCTGTATTTTGGAAAACGGTTAGCTTTATTTAGTTACCTGCAACTTCTCTCCAAGGCAGCAGGAATCCCAGTGCATATACCAAAAGTATACCAAAAGAATAACTAGCAAAGGGACCACTGGAAAATATACCTCGAAGGTGAGGTTCGGATATTTCACCTATGAACACCTGAAAATTGATTTGGAGTTAACCTTTATGTCACTTATTCAAAAAGAGACAGGTTTTAACGCCATATAAAGCTATCAGGAGGTCAAAGTTTGTTTTCATAGTTTATATTTTTGTTAACAATAGACTGATAAATGGGGCAATAGATAGAATTTGATATTTTTTCAGGAGTTTGAACCACTAATCACTTTGTTTTGTTAATGATCCATGAGTTATGAATCGTTATTCAAAGATATAGACACATCATCCTTAAATTTTTACTTCGATAATGATGATGACACAGTTTATTGACTCCAAACAAAGAAGCTTGCGATTTGGAGTTTGAACCTAACACTCAGTTTCGTGATGTTTAATAGAGAAAAAAAATGGTATACGAGGGATGTCTTTTAAGTTTTGCATATAGAAACATAGTAGGCCGCGCGGATCGAACGTCAGTACTGAATCTTAACCTCACTCTTTAGTAAACTTAAATTCAAAGTTTGACAACAATACGTGCAGTGTTCTCACTACAGTGAATTTTTAAGTGTCACCAAGTCATTAGAAAAATGGAACTCAACCGAGAACATTTTCGCGCCATAATTTATTACAACTTTCAGAGACAATTATCGCTGAATTACTGTCTGTTTTCGGCAACGAAGCGCCACATCAGTCGACAATTTCCGTTGGTATGGAGAATTCAAACGTTGGCGGGTGAGTATTAGCGACGATTCCAGGGTGGGATTCAAAAAATTTTAAATGAAGAATTAGGAGTAAGAAAATTAGTTTCTCGTTTCAATTCCGGAAACTCAAAAAATGTGTACAGCATTGTTAGTGGTGATGAATCGTAGATTTACTGTTATGAACCAGAAAAGAAACGACAGTCGGCTGTTTGGGTTTTCGAAGATGAAGAAAAGCCAACAAATGTCATCCGTTCTCGAAGTGTTTCGAAAACATGGTCGCAATATTTGTGTCAAAAGTGGGCCATATTGCAACAATTCGTCTTAATGAGCAAATAACTGTTACTGTGGATTGGTATACTACCATTTGTTTGCAAAAGTCATCGCCGAGCTTCGAAAAATCAACCCCGAAAGAAGAATCATCCTCCACCAAGACAATGCAAGCTCGCACACAGCCCAAAAAATAAGACATTATTTAACGGAAGAAAACATGGAATTATTGGACCATCCTCCATATAGTCCCGATCTAGGTCCTAACGATTTCTTTACTTTCCCGAAAATTAAAAACAGACTGCGTGGTCAAAGGTTCCAGACACCAGAAGAAGTAGTTGACGGATTCAAAAATGCCGTTTTGGATCTGCCAGCAAACGAGTGGAATAAGTGCTTCGAAAATTGGTTCGAGCGCATGCAGATGTGTACTAATCTTCGTGGAGAATACTTCGAAAAACAATAAAGTCATTTAAAACTATCTGCCGTATAGAATGGACTTCACAACGGAATTGGAGGTAAATGAAAAAATATCGGGTAACTTTTTGATTGTTAAGCATCCCCTAAAAAAACAATTCGTGTCTACATTTAATAAACTATATTAACCAGAGTATTGAAAAGATCTTCAAAATGAGATTTTATAATATTTCCCAGTTGATGCAGCGATTATTTTCTTATTGTATGTTAATAGTCCATATTCTGATGCTTTGGAATTTTGTGGACGGATGTTTGAAATACAGGGTGTTTCAGTTTATTGTTGTATAACTTCAAGATTCGGTAGAACTTTTAAAATTAATGCATAAAGTCTATATAAACATGGGCATAGTTTTACTGTAGCCGCTAGAGGGCGCTCTTTACTGTTCCTGTAGTGTATTAAAATGACCGAAAATTTTTTCTTAGTGCAATTTTTTGCTTTTTGAATAAAAAAACTGATTCTTCGCACTTTTCAACATAAAAAAGCTCTCTTGTGAATTTTCGTTACAGTTAGCCGTTTTTGAGATATTTCGATTTTTAAGGTTCGATGCATTTTTAATTATTTATGATAAAATAACGTTAAAAAGTCAGTATCTCGATAATTTTTAGAAGTAGGCTGTGCCTGCAAATATTTCTGAAATTGAAAGCAGAATAAGGTTAAACGTCAATTAGTTGACAGTTAGTTTTGTTGTCTGTTGAGACCTGAAACGTTTTTTTGCAATTGTGAATGCACGAAATTTTGTTTCTTTTACCTGTTTTTTTTTGTAAGTTTTTTAAAAATGCCTTTTTTATTCTTCAATCAAGAGTTAGCGGATATTCATTTTGTGTATGGCTTTGTAAATGGAAACGCAGCAGAAGTAGCCAGAGAATACGCACGAAGATGTCCAAACAGACGACATCCAACTCGCTCAGTATTTGTAAGAGTGCATCGCCAAATAATTCAAAATGGATTTGGAAATCTCCAAAGGGATCAAAACATAAATGTTCGTCAGCGCAGATTTACCCGTATGATTCTGCGTGAGTTTGATAGAGATGCGACCACAAGTGTTAGGAGAGTTTCTGGTGCATTGGGAATTTCAGCAAGCCATGTTCACCGTGTTCTTAGAAATGACCATAGACGTCCTTACCATTTGCAACCTGTGCAAGGACTACAGCCAGGGGACGGAAAACGAAGAATCACATTTTGTCAGTGGATTCTTGATAGAACTGATAATAATACGGAGTTTTTAAGTAACGTTTTATGGACCGATGACTCATGCTTCACTAGACGTGGAGTGGTAAATTTTCATAAACAACATATTTGGTCGCATGAAAATCCGCATGCAGTTCGGGAAAGAAATTTTCAGCTAAAGAACGTGTGGATTGGTATCTACCGTAATCGACTACTTGTACCCGACCTTTTGCATGCAAGGTTAAATGCTGCGACCTTCTTGGAATTTTTAAAGGCTGAACATGCAAATATGTGGGATGATGTTTTGTTAGATTTAAGAAGATTGGCCTGGTTCCAGCTTGATGGTTGCCCAGCTCATTATTCGAGAATAGTTAGATACTGGCTGGACGAAAATTATCCAGAAAGATGGATCGGCCGTGGAGGACCAGTCGCCTGGCCTCCACGATCCCCTGACCTAAATCCATTAGATTTCTTTGTGTGGGGATTTCTAAAAGAAAAAGTGTACCAGACTCCCGTAACCACAACAGATATGCTAATAGACAGAATCAGGAATGCATGTGATGAAATAAGGCCTTAGTTGAATAATGCTATACCACGTTCGATCATTCATAGATGTGAATTGTGTATTGAACAATTGGGTTTACATTTCGAGCAACTACTTTAGATTTTGTATGCTTGTCCTAACTATCCAATCGCATTTTAGTTGTAAATAATTAATTTAATTTGTTAAAAATAATACTGGAAAATTAAACAAATTAATATTCTGTTTTTTGTGTTCATTTGGAGTGGGAATTATTGCTGTGTTTAAAATCACAATCTAAACGATCATCTTAATTACTTGTAATGCCCAAATCGAAAATGTAAAAAAATATTATTTTCCCATAAATAATTAAAAATGCATCGAACCTTAAAAATCGAAATATCTCAAAAACGGCTAACTATATCGAAAATTCACATGAGAACTTTTTTATGT